TGTGCGAGACATGTATATTTGGGACGAGAAGAGTTTTAAGGTCGTTTCGCAATAAAACACAGCTTGCTACTACATAACACTTGAAGACATGTCGTATTAGAAATAAAATAATTAAAAATGGAGCAAAGTCATTCAGCTCGCTATCGAAGGAGAGGTAAAGAGTGACAACACACCCACATTAAATGATTTAATACCATGAGATGCGTCACAAGAATTCCCCATAACAAACATAATAACACACTCGTCTGGCTCTTTCCGCTAATCTCTTTTTTACCTTACAGGGAGCATGCGTCACGTTTAATCAGTAGGCTACTATTCATTTCATATCAATTATTGTCTTCACCTTCTCACGGCTTCTTCTTATCTCCTAGCGTTAGGTTTTTAATATTTTTATTTCGATTCGCATCAAGGTTCATTTCTATTGAGGTATGACTGGCATGTCGATCGGTTAGGCCCAAAAACATATTCAAGTCCCGATCAGCCAGCATGCACGTATATAATTGCATAGAGTTTGAGCAAATTCATATTGTTTAGCTACACTACCATAGACACGCTAGGAAACGCCAGCTTTATACGAGTGCATTACAGGCAAAGGTAACTTGCCAAGAATTAGGTCAGCATTAGATTAAAATTTAGTACACCTTGTAAGTCTTAAGTTCCAGCTAGGTACCATTTGGCTGATTGACAGTAAGAAATGCCAACCAACAAACAACTTATTCAATACTTATTGATTACTATAAATGGAAAACCCTTAGATGAGGAGGTGAGGAATTTGGATGAAGGATCTAAAATTTTGAAGGATCTAAAATTTACCTTTAACAATAATAATTGTCAATAAACTATGCTACAGTCAATAAAGGTTATGTCTTACCATGCATTGAGTTTTCCAATATAAATATTAGGTTTTCTAAGAATGTTGAATGTTGTATTGCACTCATCCACTTCTCACGTGTCTCATTCTTGGAAATCGCCACATGGACAAGTCTAAAGTTGGGGATTTATGATGATTTGAACTGGATAGTTGTTGGAATGTAAGAATAAAGATAAATACAATTTGAGGTAGCAATTTACTTCTCATTAATTGGATTACCAACTGCCTAAAATAGAGATTGTTAGACTCCTCAACATTTCCTGAGGTCAAAATGTCAAGGAAAAGTTTATCTATTTTTGTTGTTATATTGGAACATATTTACACTATATATGCTAAATATATGCCATATAATAATATACCTTGTGACTTCTACAAGTATAGGTGCATCACGATGATCCATTATTATCAGCATAACTTCACTGAAATATAAGACACATTAAATGTCAGAATGGTATCTTTTCCACAGCACTGGACAGAATGATTCAAATTCTATTAATTAATCAACTATCTCAAGCTTTTGGTTGTCAATTAGGATAAAGCTTACCCAATATTCAATAGAAAATTTATAACTGTTAATCAAATAAAAAGTTCAATCAATTTGGGTCAAAAATTTTGCCTAAATAACTTACATTAGTTTTTCTCTGTTTGTAATATCCTTGCAAATATCTTCTTGACAAGCCATATTTGCCATAATTCCAATTGATATTTCCTAAATGTTCATAAGAGTGTTCAAGATGATTGATTTAACAATACTCAATTTTACTGCTCTGAAATATTAAAACGTTCCAAAATGCGTTCCAAACGCGTTTCAAAATGCGTTCCAAACGCGTTTCAAAATGCGTTCCAAACGCGTTTCAAAATGCGTTCCAAACGCGTTTCAAAATGCGTTCCAAACGCGTTCCAAAATGCGTTCCAAACGCGTTTCAAAATGCGTTCCAAACGCGTTTCAAAATGCGTTCCAAACGCGTTTCAAAATGCGTTCCAAACGCGTTTCAAAATGCGTTTCAAACGCGTTTCAAAATGCGTTCCAAACGCGTTTCAAAATGCGTTCCAAACGCGTTTCAAAATGCGTTCCAAACGCGTTCCATGAAATATTTGAATTTGAAACCGCGTTCCTTCTTCGAATTTTTCTGAATGATTAGCGTTTACCGACTCGGATCACGGTCGAAGTTATTGTTGCGTAGAATGACAAAACATTTTGGTAAAAATCACTGAACTACACCACTTGTCTGCAAAGAAATTATTCCCCCTTTGAAGTGTAAAATGTAAATAAATTTGTAAACAAAAATAAATCGACGCTAACTGATTGTAATGACGCTAATTGACGAAACTGATGCAACGCGTTTCGCACTTTCGCTAAAAGCCGAACGCAAATTCAACGCGATTTGGAACGAAATGGAACGCGATTAGAATGCAATTTGGAACGAAATGGAACGCGATTGGAACGCAATTTGGAACGCAATTTGAAAGGAAAGGGAATGCGATTGGAACGCCATTTGGAACAAAATGGAACGCGATTGGAACGCAATTTGGAACGCGTTCTGTTCTGTTAACTTACTTCTGAGCAGTACCGTATAACAGAATACAACAGCAAAGTGAATATAATGCACAAGTGTACAACTTGAATTCTTACAGTTAATCTTGAGGTTGTAGATCCCAAAATTATCTCAAGAAAAATATCTACACCATTGACTTCTTGGAGGAATAACGCTACATCCTAAAGAATGAAATTGGACGCGGTCTTTTGTATCGTTACAGGTTTGTATACCTGCACTACTCATCAGTGCTATGCCAAAGTGTGCTACTTTTATTGATTTGTTCGTTCTACAAATGATATTGAGCAATCTCGATACACAAATACAGATCACAACCACAGTGGACTGAGTGGAGTACATTGATTAAAGTCTTACTCTTGTCTAGCATACAAAAAAATTAACTTGCTAATCTGGAAAGTGAACATCAATTACAAGGACTTAGTTATCCTAATATCAATGAAAGGATTTGGAAGCGAGTCAACCTGCTATCTAAAGCCTATACTGTACCTTACTCATAGACATATCCCAAAGTTGACAGAGTTCTGAATCCAAACTATCCTTAACAATCGAGTCTTCATTATCGCTCTTTATCTGCTGAGTTGCGTTAAATAAAACTTTAAGAACCCATTTCTTACTAAACAAGGTGTCACCAATATTATCGGAATACAATATGTTTGCTTCTTGCTCTGACATTGGTGGAGGCGAGGGATTTCGAGCAGCCATATTGGAATATTAATTAAGGTAACATTAGTGTATCTTACATGACGTAAATGGATTGTCGTGAGCAATGACGTCGAGTGTCAATGTTACACGGATAAAAACTCATCAGGTTGTTGCATCAACATCGAACAATGTTGTGCTGCCCATATTGTTCAGAGTTGTTATCAACTTGGAACAATATTGTTACACCCGATTCAGTTCCAACAATATTGTTCCAAGTTGATAACAACTCTGAACAATGTGGGCAGCACAACATTGTTCGATGCTGTTCATATCAATGTTGCATCAACCTGATCGTTTTTAGGCGTGTATGCTGCGCCCCATGAAAGGTATTGTTACAATGTTGTTACTTGTTACAACAAGTTGCAACAGTATTAATGGTTCAACAACCATTGCTAACAATACTGTCCACATACAGGGTACGCACAACATCGTTCACTCCTCTTTTTAATTTGCATTAACATGATGATTTTATGCTGTGTACTCGCTTAAAAATTATATTTTCATTTTTAATCTTTAGGCATAGAATTTACAGGCACGGCATTTGTACATGGTAGTGTGGTCATTTTTCTTTTTACGCCTGCGTGCCACAATATTTTAGAAAGCACCAAATAAGATATTTTTGTCACACACTAACCATGCATACCGCGGTTATGTAAGTCAGCAGATTAACGCAGAGATGCATCAATTGAAGCAAAATAGCAAATGATCATAGTTTAGTTGTTATTTTAGAGCATCTAGTAATCATACCTTAAAGGCGTTCTAAAAATTATGCTGCGAAAAAAAAAACGATTGTTCGTGTTAGAGTGTCGGTCAATTTTTTGCTGTGTACTCGTAATAAACATGAACAAATGAATCTTTATTTACGTCTGGAAGCTGGCTACAAATGAACCACGATCGAAATTGTTATCAATATTAAGTTGTTCACAGTGAACTCGCTGGTCGCTCAACTATGATAACAGCACATGCATTTTTACGCCGGCAATGTGAGACAGAGCCCGCGGTTTAAAATTCTCTACTAGGCATTTGATATATAATATTAGTTGATTTCATTCAGCTAAACCCTTTTGCTATAGTTTATTGCTTGGTTGGTCAAATGTGCTAACCGCAGTGTCCTCGTTGTCGTTGAGTATTACGGCTGGAGGAAGTGCCTGTTTTTGGGCACTGTGCCCAATTACATTTTGAAACGCCGTATTCAACCTAGACTCAAGGAAAAGTTACGGGCAACAGAGTGATCAGGCACTCGGTCTGCTCAGGCCTCTGTCATCTCATCAGTATGGTTTAGTATAGTGGACTCTGAGTTAACCGCACGAGCAACCTGACCAAGGTCGAATATACTATATTCCGGTATATTCGATTAGCCTGGCGGTGACGTTTGTAGTTAAGAGAGGAAACATTAGTAGACAGGGGATCTAACATTTTGAGGTAGTTAATTGTGTTATTAATATGAACATATGCATATCGCAATTGACGCGTTATGAAAAAAATCGTCTTACTGTCTGTTTTAACGGAGGAATATTTCTTCACTGAAGCCCGTTCTCCACTGGCGAATTTGTTCGCGCGAACAGATAAAAAGTAGGAAGCGATCCTACTTTATCGCGGCGAATTTTTTTGGTAAGCCAATCACATCACTGGATTTCAGATATCGGTTCACGTCGAACGAATAAATTCGCCTAGTGGAAAACGAGCTTAAGGCTCCGTTCACACGCACGGGGTCGGACCAATCAGTTCAACCTTGCTTAAATTCGTCTTGTTCAGGTGTTTACACAATAAAAAAGGAAGAAAATTTGACCGGCTCTTTGTGTTTACAGAAGAATGCTGGACGAATCGAGCACTGTTCAAAATTCATCCGGTAATTCCCCGTGAAGGCAACTTATCAAATTTAGCCACGCTTACTACCTCTGAATACAGTGGCGGACGTGTTTTGGAAGTAGCATTTTGGTCGCATCGAATGAAACCAATCCAGTAATTAATTAGATTAATTAGATTAACCTTCATTAGCATCTCATTAGCGATATTAGTCTTAGCTTCATTCTACACTAGAGGCAGTAAAGGCAGTTTGGTCAGACCTATGTCAGTCAAGCCTGGACCAAATAAATGCGTAATAAGGTAATTATTAGAGTACTATATAACTACCAGTTTATTCACGGGAAACCACTGGCAAAACCAGTGGCCTCCAACTCGTTTAACCACTACTACTTTTAACTATTCAATTCTATAATATTGATTGCGTGATAGTAGGACGAACCAGTTACTACAATATTATTATACATTTTATTTCCCCTGCCAGATGAATTTAAATATGCTTATGTTGTTTCCGCTCTAACAGGATATACTTCTAGCACCTCACTGAACTTGTAGTTTGGCGGTGCGCTCTCCTTCTACAGTATCTGAAGTAAACTCGAGCTGCGAAGACTACACAAAGCAGGGTAAATATAAGAATTTTTTCATTCTTGTTGAAATTTAAGGTAATAATATAACGATGATCAGGAAACCTGAATCATTTGCCGTGCACCGAATTATTTTTAGAGACATCTTGTTTAATTTTAGATTTTTTGATTGAGCTGGCAGCTTTTTAAAGACTTGAGAGTTGAGTTGAGGTAACTATATATACCGCGCATTTTTACAATTGTGTAAATGTGTATTAGCTGCATTTTGTGAAGTATTCGGTCACGCAATTGTCACGTCAATTTCGACTTGATGAAAAACAGCCTTAAACATCAGCATCTTTCTTGCTCCGAACCATCTGTAATGAAATGTATTTATTAACCTCAAATTACCATCATTTAATATTGCGAAATCTACACAGTTTTTTTTGCTTCGTCCGCAAACGAAACGAGCTTTCAAAATTCCTTTTCGGGCGTGATAGGGTTAGTGCAGAAAGGGTATATAGGCATATAAGGGTATGTATTTATCCTCTCTTAAAAATTTCCAGGGATGCAAACTTAAATGTTTCCGTAATCGATCTTGAATATTTTATCTCAAGAAAATATATCACGAACGCGAACAAAAGGGGCCTATTTGCTTATTCTATATTGTTTCATTTTTCTATTGTATTGTTCTCTATATTTTATGAATATATGCAAACCTTTTTCGTCGTTTTTCTTAGCAAACTAAAATTCTCATTGCCCTTTCTTTCGTGCACGAAAACTCAAAAAGTAATAAAGCTAACTTGATAAAATTTTCATGGTTGACTTTAAAAACAATTGCCCGGCTCGAACCTGAACCTAAAGTGCTGTATTGAGTGTATTCCGTCTAAGTAAAATAGCGACTTTTTATACTTTATTTTAGATAGTTCGTTGAAGTTTTATATTTATAGCCTTATAAACGCTTAATACTTCAAAAGTTTTTTGAGGTTCAGCTCCCAGGCAAAAATATTTAGAACTAAATAAAACTAATTCTGTCGTTCTAGCGTTAAAACCTAGTTTGTTATCGTGTTCACAAAAATCGTGTATTCTCCCGGCACCATTGGATGTGTCTGGTCTGGGTAACTATAGTGATTGAAGATTCCAACAGGTCTTTTTTCACTCAGAGCAACTTGGCTTGCAATATGGCATGAAAAGATTTTTATAGCTATTTTTCAAATTAAAATTAAAAAAAAAATAATGTACACCATCCTCATACCTAGGGTCTTTAGAAAGTATAGAACAGCGAAATTACCCTGGGTACGAGGTTGGGTGTACATCAATTTTGCACGGGAATGTCGTCGAGTTCTTTCACATATTGTAGCTGAATCTTTCGTATTAAAATTATACTATAAATTTCCATAGAATTATTGATAGTCATTGATCATTTCAATTTAGGATGAAGATATGTATGAAAATATTCATCATCCTTCTATCAGTCATAGTACTTCATATAGCATACACTGATAGTTGGGGCGTACGACTTCCTAGTCCTGGACGTATAGTCAGGAGCACAGTGAGAGTAGTAAAAACTGGAGTGAGAAAAGTTGGAGAAGGTGCAAAAACTGCAGTGAGGAAAACTGGAGAAGGGCTTAAGAAAGCAGGTGAAGGAATAAAAGAGGCAACGAAAGTTACTGGAAAACATCTTTATAAAGGATTAAGAGCGACTGGAAAGGCTTTTATCGCAAGCTCAAGCTTTGTTTCAGATATATTAGATCGAGTATGTATTGATCAGCATTGTATACTTATTTCTATTAAGACGTTTGCACAGGATCGCTCAGAGGGCGTTGGGGAGGTGCAATTTGCTTTGGCCCCAGGTTTGCAGGACACACCTATGAATACTATAGGAGTAGCAAAAAAATATTATTTGAACTTGAAGTAATGCAGTATAATATTGTTTATTATTGTGAAAACTTCGACCCCTAAAACGAAGGGAATTGCATCTGCAGAACTTCAAAGCCTATAATTTTCTTGAAGAGGTATGCCCTGGAATAACCCTAAAAGTGCTCTATCCCTAAAAATAGTTTTGCGAACGCTGCCCCAAGCTTCGAGCATTTGGTTCGCACTACATTTTTCTACATGAACGAACTATTTTATTTTTGTGGCATCTTTGCTGGGGGGTTGGGTCTAAAGAGAAATAAGAGAGTTTGTGAATTTTGTGACCCGGGTAACTTTTTAGTGGGCTCTTTCTGGAAGGGTACCCCTCCCTGTTTAGTGTTTAATCACCGAGGTTTAAATTTAGTTGATTTTTAGGTAAACATAGTCAAGTTTGTTTGGAAAAAACTTGGAGGCTGTTGTACATTTGACCGCTCATTATGTCGCGCCAAACGGGAATACGAAAGGATTCAGAAGAGATTAAAATATTACAATAAAGATATCGATAAGAAATGGAATGAAGGTATAAATAAATATATATTGTTTGAATTGTATAAAACATGAGAGTAGGAAAAGCCGGGTACAAAGTGTTTATCAATCATTTTCAGCTCCGTTTACCCGCGTTTTTATAAATATCAATCTTAAATAACAGTTTGAATCGGTTTGGTTATGTGGTGTACCTTGCAAATATTAAACTTGATTAATTGATGAAAACATATATAAAAATTATTGATAAACACGGGTTTATTTTTAAATCCCTTCTTATAATTGTTTATCTTCACTTTCATAGTTGAAAGAGTTTATCAGTGGATAATAAAGATAAATGAAAATGTGGAGGATATTGGTTATCACGTAGAAAGATTGACTTCCGGTCTTAAAGATTCTGTGGAGCCGTTACATCCTCCAATGATTGTTCAGTACAACAATAAGATGAATTTGATAAAGGTTATTTTTAATGATCTTTAAATTTGCCCACGAATAGTTTTCTATTGTCTGGTTTACCTTGCTTACTTTTATAGAAAGGGCAGGGGGGCATTTTGCCTCGGGCCCCAAACCTGAAGGGGCCGCCGATTTGAGAAAGGACCTAAAACTATTTCAGTTTAGGCGGCCTCGATCATATTCGGCGGAAAAATGGCAAAAACGACCATGGTCGTATTTGCCATTTTCCGGCGAATATGACCAAGGTCGTATTTGCCATTTTCCCGCGAATATGACCATGGTCGAATATGACAAAGGCCCCAAAAAAAAAATTTTGCCCCGGACCCCACAATTTCCCTCTGCAGTTCTTATTGTATTAATTTTCCTCTGTTATTCCTTTCTTTACCGCCTTTTTCAGCAAGATGTCAAGTGGAAGAATTCATCTGTTCTGCATCTTACTCGGCAAGGTTTGAACATCCCAAATTATTTTCTGTTCTTTAAAAAATCGTTCAAGAGTGTCCAATCAATTTTGGCGCAATTCAATGTGAAAACGTGTTTCACATGTCCGTCAAAACCTGTAGAACAATAGGATTCTCGATAACGAATCCTATTTATTATTATTATTATATATGGCTTTTCATTGGTTTGTAATAATAGTCTTTTTCATTGCCGTAACTGGCTTGCAGACTCCCAACTTCACGAAGGCTTTAGTGACTTTACTAGAAAGTTATGTAACTAGAGTGGCAAAATGCAATGCACTCTGGTTCACAGCGGTTTTATGAAATATTTTATTTGGACAATTATATCTTTTAAAAGATTTTGCACAGCTTTGCAAAATGGTATAATGGGGGCTAAAGTCACTTCCATGTCTGCAGAGCCTCAAGCACACCGAAATGCATGACATTAAATTAGCACAAAAAAATACCAACCATGCATGCATGCTAACTATTTATTCTTCCAGGAGTGACAACGTTAGTTCAGATTGAAATGGCCTGGCAATGTCCTAAAGTTGCAAGTTCTGTTCGAAGTGGTTTAAAAGATCTCAAAAAAGCCAGAGATAAATGTGTAGCCATCTTAAGAGAAAGCAACGACTTGCTTCGCTTCTTTGCAAAGGTCTGATGTATGCATGTATATATCAAAATAGAATGTTTGAAAATGGACAGCAATATTTGTTTTCATGTTAACCATTTACAGTATATGCAATATGCATATTCTCTAATGAAGTATTCTGGGTGAAAAAGTATTACTGCATGCATGTTCATTGTGAAATCATAATCGTGAAACGCACTGAATGAGGATATCAAATTATTGCAATGCTTGTTGCATTCCAGATTCTTGTTGCAGTAAGACACTTCTTAGTCCTGCTTCGGATAAATTCTCGACTTATGTGTATATATTGTACTGACTTTATATAGGGTTGGATACAACTGAAGTCCGCGCTATCATCTCAAAAATTGCGAACACAACTTGAAGATATCAAAGCTCTGTGTAAGGATATACAAAATTCTGGATGTGTGTCTACAATTGAGAAATACCTTCGTCAAATAACGAATGCAAATTATGGTGCAACGTTTGGACTGCAAGGGGATATTATAAACATTTTAACCGGGATTAAATATACGTTCTCCTGTCTTAAAAGAAAGCAAAATGTGATTACAACAGTAACAGGACATTGTAAAAAAGGAAATGAAAATTTTAATACAGTATATCGTCAAGCTGTTCAGGATTTCTTCCCAAACAAAGACCTGTGCACAGGACTCTCAGGCAAAGATTATACAACCAAAGATAATGTTTTGAAATCATTGCGTATTTCGGCATTTGAAGAAGGTTTTTATTCCAGTTGTGAGTTGAATAACAGAAAGGTTATAACGAAAACATGTTTAAACTACAGTACTCTGGCAAGTACGTATGATTTACCTCCACAAGAGAGTTCAAGACTTCTTCAAGAATGTAAGAAACTTATACCAGGTCGACTGGGTAAGTATACCCGGATGTTGAATATTTCTCTTCTAAATTTTACCAAAATTCTTATCTCTTTGCGCTGGAGAACATACGGCACGTTTAAATTTATTATTGCCAAGTTTTCAACTCGATCTTGCATTGATTTACAGTATGTATCCTCGAGCATCAGCCAACATGAATATTATAAAACTTAATTATAACGCGCACAACCTGCACCTAGAACAATATAGCTATAAAATAATATATATATTTATTTATCATCAGTTCTTCTTTTTCAGGTAAAGTTCGGTGTACTTCTACAACTTGTAAAAATGGAGGCAAATGTCAAGAAAAGCTGGGTGGGTATGTATGCGCGTGTGCCAAAGGTTTCGAAGGACAAGACTGTGAAAAAGACAAAGGTAGGTATATTAAACCTATAAGACAATCTGCGTTTACGCTGTCATTATGGTAAAATACTCCGCTCAAAAAGATTTTTAAAATCTTACATATATATATATATATATATATATATATATATATATATATATATATATAAATTATATTATGTATAATTATAAATGAAACAAATTTGACTAGGCATATATTCACTGATTATACTAAGGGCAGTTTATCTGGAGTGCTGCATTTTGTGTTACAAAACTATTTAGTAATAAATATGCTTAGTGAGTTTGTTGAGTTTACTTAAATTCATTTTATTATGCTCTGGATATTCATGGAACACTCCGCCAAATATTTTTATAATTTTCATTCATAACACGTAAGGATTATCACACCAAGTCATAATCCTTACCTGTTATGAATGACATGAACTTACTCTTTACTAACACCAATAAGTTTTCTCTTCAAGGTCAGTAATATTTTGTGTTCACTTCATCCTCACTTTATCCTATTTTTTTTTTCAATCAGATAAATCTCGTCAATGTCGACAACATATTTGCCAAAATGGTGGAAGATGTCAGCAAGAGCAAAATTCTTACACGTGTTTCTGTGCTCAAGGTTTTGCAGGAAGACATTGTGAATCTAAAGCAGGTCAGTTTCCTCGCTCATTAAATTTCCTGTTTTTTTTAAATGTTGTCATTTTTATTAGAGAGGCGTCTAGTGTTGATTCACTTCGTAAACGTTTAGAATACGTAGCGGTAACAACTTATTTTTCACCAAACTTATACAAATGTAGAAATGCGAGCTTCAATGATTGGCAAAATGGTTAGTTCTTTTTATAATAAACATTGCATCACACATTTTAATTATGACCATGCACTAAAAGGTTTAGCCAGAAAGAATTGGTGGGAAACTTCATTTTCTATAACACAGCTACAGAAGGCAGTAGCGGAAGTGGTGAAAACGAAAGTGGTAGTGGAAGGGATACTGACGACGATAGTAAAGACGGAAGTGAAAATGAAAGTTATGATGAAAAAACAAGTGACATCAAGAACACCAACGACGGGGATGCGGATGCAGAATAAGATATATAATAAACAAGCACGATTTCATTTTAAGACTGGTCTAGCCTTTCCACAAAATTGCTATAGAGAAATTGACGTTATATACCCTAATAATCAAGCAATGCTGTAATCACAAATATAATCTTACATGCAGCTAAAAAACTTAAAGTGGTGTACATTGTTTGCATTTCAAATTGCATATCTAGCGTATCTAGTATAAACAAGTGCTTTATCAGAAAAAAATATTCAGCAGAAAACTTGGTGTTAGAAGAAAAGGCTACAAAACATCACATCCTAAAGATATAGGACTGAGGGACCCAAACCTGAATCTAACTCCGCGTTTGTTTTATTCTTATGTTTTAAAATTGTATTCTGCTTGATCTAGATTATCCTGCTTGTCGTTATGGTAATTGGTGGGGAAGTTTTGACAGAAAAGGATGGTCAGTTTGTCCATCATCAGCGCCATATATCGTTGGTTTAGAAAGGTCTAAATCAGCAAGACCGCACAATGACTTTATTTATCATCTTGAAGCTGCTAGATGTTGTCAAGGAACTATTCCGTTTATCAATGATAATCAAGATTGTGTTGTTGCTGACTGGGTCGGAAGTTTTGACAGGTATCGTTATCATGATTCTTTAAATTCTGGATCATAAAACTATTTCGTCTCCTGTTTGTCATACGCAACATGGTAGACAGGAATTACTCCAAATCTATATTAACTAAGAGGAGTCTTGTCATGCATGTCTTAGATCGAAAACATGGAATTTGTGTCCTCGTGGTTACTATTTGGCCGGGCTTGAACGAAGTAATGGTGGAAACCTGCATAATATTGAGAAAGCGAGATGCTGTAAACCAAGAACACAACCATTTATATACAAAGATTGCTATAAAGAAAATGTTTGGGCTAAATTTGATCATCATAGAAGTGGAATGGTTTCTTGCACAAGAAATGGATATTACATTACTGGACTTTACCGATCACAATGTGATTTACTTTACTGTATTGAAGAATTCATGTGTTGTAGTATGCTTTCGTCTGTTGAAGGTAAGTATACTACCATGAATATATGCAAATGTGATTTCTACCATATATAATTTAGCATAAAATGGCAACCAACAATACATTTGTATATTTACTTGTTACATAGATGTCAGAGTGTCAAAACTTCAAGTGCGGAGTGAAGGATGCAATGATAAACACAAAACAGTACGATGTGGTCTCGCTATTATTCGTATCGATGGGAAAGATTATTCTAAACATGGTAGAGGATATAACTTTGTTGTCGTTGATGGTTGGACAGGTACCGGACGGACTTAGATTCACTTTATTTTATTTCATTTTATTTTATATTTACCGGTAGAAAACTATTAAATCTCACGAGTCTTCCAAGGAAGTGTAGCCTTGTAAAGCTGAGCACGTCTAAATGACCGCCTTTTTGACCGGCAAGGAACTAATATGATCTAGGATTATGGAAATTTTTCATTGACAACATGGTTTCTTTTATTCTTTTTGTAGGAAAGGTTGAAAATGAAATCTCTTTCGATACCCACGCTAATGTTAAAAATGTTAACAAAATGATTAAATTTTTGCAAGGAATCGCGTCAAGGTTAGCTACATATGAAATATAGATTTTATAGATTTCAATCTGCTTAACAGAACATTCTTTTCTTGCATCTCTTCTTTAAAGATTACAACACTTTCCTTTTCCAGCCTTTATATTGCATTCTAATTTAACATGATTGATTGTACGAGAGTCATTGTAACGAAGTATTTTCTTAGGGATTGCAATGGATTTTGCAATAGTTCGTGAATACATTTTTTTGGTATCTTTTAGTAAAATAGTTCTCGCGGCAATCCAAGACGAAGGAAAAGGATCTATGACTTCTGAAGCTTACAAAGCATTACTTGCCATTGGTGCTACAGAACCCATGAAAAGAGATTTTAGAGGTTCGTTTGCATTAATCGGATTAACTGGAATACCAAAGCCTGGATTTGTCAAGCAAGTAAGTAAAAATATAAAATATAACTGAATTTATTTACATAAAAACCTAATTGGCCTAAGAGTCTTCGTCAGGTGATCATGAGTATAACTACCCTTGAAGACTAGCGTGTACATTGCCAGCCTGACGATATTGTTGCGCTATGCTAATGTTTGCTTTATTGCTGATAAGCGTTTGTTGATTGTAAAAGCAATAAATTTCTCAAGAAATGAATAATTTTACAGGTTGATAATTTTCAAGGCAAGGGACCAAGTATAGTGGAAAGATTAATTACAGTTCCATATACAGGTAAAATAATTATTTGCGATTTATATATACAGAGCAAAATAACTGTAAATGAATGATGGCAGTAATAATACTAATAACTACATAAGACATGGGTTTATATATTGTACTATTAAGGTTTCCAGTTGCATGCAATTGGAACATGCATTCATGTTTATTGTTAGAAACGATCATGCAGTGATAGTTAGGAAGATAATTACTTCTAGACCCGCGGGAAGGCCTAGCTGATGTATGAGATAATTAGGCTATGAACTAACAGCTTACTGAATGAAAACGATATCTGTCGAGTCAAGAAAAAACTTCTAGACGGGTTGCCTATGTTTTAACTCTGCAACTTATCACTCGCTGCGCATGGCGTTGATAAACACTTGTTGTTTTTACAGACAGTGGCTGTGTTAGCGAATACCGTCACAAGTGTCATTTAGTTCACCTGCAATCATTTTTCACCATCAAATTCAGACTTCGATTTGGGCGTTTAGATTTTATTTAACCAGTGAACAATGAATGATAAAACACCACGTACTATCATCTTATTCTCTTACGACTGAACATTATATTATTCCTTTTGTTTGTAGTCTGCCCTAATTCCCATGAACTTGGTATGAGAAATGGTGAAATACAAGATTCTCAAATCTCAGCATCTTCGGAATGGAGCCGAAATACCGGAGCAAATAATGGCAGACTATACTTCCGAGCACAACGTGGTAGGACTGGGGCGTGGTCAGCGAAGGTCAATGATGTACACCAATGGATACAGGTTGATATGAAAAAAAGCATAGTAGTTCTTGCGATTAAAATTCAAGGCAGGGAGGATTGTTGTAATCAGTTTGTAAAGAGTTATGCTGTGTATTGGAGTAATGATGGAAGAATATTTCATCCGTATAAACAACACGGGCAAATAAAGGTATGTCGGTCGGCGATCGGTATAATTCCTAATGAAATTTGACCAAAAATCTTAGAATAACTTGTGTCTTATACCGGCCTGAATAGTTCAAGCTGAGACACATAAACGTGTACCGTTGCACGTATGTGTTTTTTTTTGAAAAAAGATTTTTGAAAAAAGATGTTCACCGTTTTTCACCGTCAATTTCTATATCATCAGAGGCAAAACTTTGAATTGACAATTTATTTCATTTTATATTTCACTTAATTGTGTGCTAGTAAATGACGTCTAGCCACTACTAAACTCAGTAGCCACTGCAAAATATTTATGGCGTTCCCCCCAACTTCAAATTAGCAAAATACTTGTTTTAATGTTAAATAGGTATTCACGGGAAACAAAGACAAAGGTAGCGTGGAACAACAAATATTTTCTCCGCCAATCATTGCTAAATCGTTCCGGATTAATCCCAGATCATGGAATCAGCATATCTCGCTTAGATTGGAGTTCATTGGATGTTAAAACTTTCTTCAGTACAGATTATGAGACCAGAATGATTGTTTGAATAATATCTCGAATATGCATGCATGCTGGAGGTATACTCAGCATAATAGGATTATTTACTCAGGATATTTGCATCATGACGGATGGCACAGAACGTTCATCAATCATCTTTGCATTTTGATTGTTTCTTAAACTGACTGATGTTATAATAATTTAATTACTTTATATATACTGATATTATCAATTTTTCAGTTAATTAATTGCGCAAAAATATTTAATGAGTCTACTTCTCATAAAAAGATTCATAAATATCTTTCAGGGGGAGTTAAGCCAGGTTTTGATTACTCGCAAACAGTCGGTTTGTCACTCATGGTACATAAAAAATTGTCTGTGGGAAAAAGTCTATATTATTGATCGGTATTGGACTTCACTGTCTTTACATATGAACTTCTAAGAATCTCGAGTTTCTGAGGTAACTAAATAATCTTTGTCTGAGGTAATATCAGGAAATAATACAATGCAAACGTATCCACGCTTCGTATAGGAGCTAATTGCTGGCCCTAACAAGAGCCTTATAAGAAGGGCTATTTTAAGATAATCCTTATATATAAGGAACAGTATAGTTTGTTTGTAGGAAAAGTTCGTACGAAATAATGGGAAAATTACTAATAATTCCACACACAACTTTTACTTCTCAACACAACATTCCGAGAATCATCACAAGCTAGGTTAGTCTGGTTAGATTATGAATGTCTAGAAAAAATATCTACCGACAGTCATTTTGGTTTTTGCCACGATTTGTTGAAATGAGAAAGTGCAAAATCCGATGATCATAGCTGCTGGTAATTTTATCACGGCAAGTAATACGGCATAGTAATATTTTTTGGTTAAAATTAGTTTTTCATTAAAAGAAAATGAGTTCTATACTGAGTCTAGATTCATACGGAAAATTCTTACAATGGCGTCAAAATATAGCAATATACGAGATTCAGAAAACATTTCTCAAATTTCAAAACATTTTTACTCTCAACGACAAATTAACAGTTCGATTTTTCACACTTCACAACTCGTGCGTGAAAGTCGTACGCACTCGACAAGATATAGAGTAATCTCTCTATATATGACAAGCAGATAGCTACCATGCATAATCTGCAGATAGCATTGAGTCAATATACTAGTATTTAATCAATGCTAGGGTCATATTTTTACTACAATCATAAAAGAATAGTCAATGGTTGCCAGGGTTTCTATAGTAATTTTACCAAATAAGTACATTGTCAAATTAGTTGAAGACAAGGCGAATACAAAGATATTTTTGAGAAATTCTGATTTTAATTAATGAATGTGAGTAAGATGATCTCCTTAGTCTTGTTGTTGTGAACTTTAACCATGTGAATAAAGTGTTTCTGTTAGCAGTTCATTTAATTAACACTGGAAGTATTAGTTTACAGGAAGCAGTGAAAAAGTGACATATAATTTGACACACATAAGAATAGCCGGGAATCGGTCGCAAATTATGCACCGAAAAAACGCACCTTCATAATATATAATTTCATTAACAACTTCCAGGTATTTCAGTAATCCATATTTGGAACTCTGCATGTTTGAATTTGTTAATGACCGTTATGACCTGATGGGTAGTTATAGTATTTGAGTTCGCCAATCATAGACAAACGAGACGCAGTGAAAGTCTTTTTCATTGGTCTGCGCTTAGCAACCATTTGATTACAGGATCACATGAGCAGAACAAATTGTGGACAGATTTATAAAGACAAACATTCTTTAGCTGCTCGTACAGAGTTAAATCTGGTCTCCGAAGCGGATTGTAGTGGATTGCATAAACAAACAACCAACCTTTTTTCTTTGGCTCTATTGAACGCCACATTTTGATGCAATGAGGTAAGCTTTATTATCATAATACAACTTTCAGATACTGTACGTAGGATCTTTATAGGAATGTACACCACTTAGCTACTTAAATTCCATACAACCCGGATGAAAATACCTTTATATTCCTCAGAAACAATTTTTACATATTTATACAAGTATGTAATTTTGCGCACAATTCTACGCTTTATTTCGTCTATTCGTGATGCGACATCTGCATACTGATTAAATTCATTTATAAGAATAGATCTAGATTAACTTGCTCGCGATATATAAAATATTAATCTTTCTTTCTTGTTAGTCAAGAAGTAAGACAGTTTTGCATATTTAAATAAAATCTTCTTCTGATCTACATCAATTGATTGTTAACAATAATATGCATGATTAGCGTGCGTCGCTAAATACCTTGGTTGATGATAAGATTTCCACGAGCGGGGTACACAGAATACACAAAAAATGTATAACTAATATATAAAACGTTATATGCTTCTAGTATTTGTCATATTGCGGTTCTAAATCGTACGCGAAAACAACATACGTATACGTCAATTTCGGTTTGTACAGGAACCTTGACAGACTGTAGTATACTCGCTGAAAGAATGCAACCGTATCAACACAACACTATTAATTTAACGGATTATAATATTTGGGTGATAATTTGTGTAATTAATACTTGTGTACATCATGAAGACAAAAACCATAAAGTTGATCGTAAAATATAAATGTACCAGGTAAGATCCCTATCAGCTGCTCGTATATATTCGGTGTTAAACTCAATCCTTATAGGGTGAGATAAAAATTTAGTCTTGGTTTTATCTTCAAGTGGCTTTCAAAATAAAAGTGTTTGGACAAAGAGGCTAACAAAGACCATGATCACATCATTCACATTCTACACAAAACTTGCCGTCGGCGAGTTAGTTATCAATATTACATGCGTGGGTATCTCTTGCATGCGTGGGTAAGCCCATCTCTTGCATGCGTGGGTAAGCCCATCTCTTGCATGCGTGGGTAAGCCCATCTCTTGCATGCGTGGGTAGGCCTATCTCTTGCATGCGTGGGTAAGCCCATCTCTTGCATGCGTGGGTAGGCCTATCTCTTACATGCGTGGGTATCTCTTGCATGCGTGGGTGACGCAAATGGGAATCTTTCGACTGGCCCTTGTTGCTTTTCGGCGTGTGGCCCGATAATAAAACTTGGTTGAAAGACGAATTAATGTACTTCAATTCTTGTTTTAAACTTTTAAAATGTGTGCAATTTTGATTATGACGGGCCCACACCAAGCGTAAATTCGATCTTGAAAAAATATTAATAATTTCGCGGCTTCTCTGTCTGTAGGACTGTTGGGACGAGGGGTGAGGATCATAGCCTGTCAATTTTTAATAAGCAAAAACATGGGTAAAAAAAGGCAGCAATTATAACTCGCGTTCATTATCGCGTTGCCTAGTTTAGCTTAATTCAACCGCTGGCCGTGTAGAACTCAGCCTCAAGCGTTAATTGGTGTGTAGTTGGTATGAAAAATGCATCTTTCTGACCTTTTCTGACAGGGATGGGAAGGGACAAACCTTTCTCTAGGGAGCCTTTCTCTAGGGAGCCTTTCTCTAGGGAGCGATCGGCGCGGGCAGCACTAGAAATTCGGGTAATGCCTGTGGAGGAGGTAGTCCACGCTGTCTAACAAAGCACATGCACATCGGAATACAGGACAAGTGACATGACAGAAGTCATTTAATAATCAATATGAAAGGAATGTGGTATCCACATCCGTGAAAAACGTTACAAAGTGAACTATCTTTTGCGCTCATTTGTCAGGCGCATCACATCTTCTGTGATTAAACTGTTAAATGAAGGGTAGGGTCCGTGGGTGCTACCAGTGTGTAACCAGATTTAATTGATACATTTTCTCCACGAGAGCCAGTTGGGTGCACATAGACAGCCCCTTCTGATTTTAATCATACCACATTTAGACCAGGGGGGGAGCTTAACCAGATTTGAGCAGCAGATTTAACCAGATTTTATCACTCCTTCTTTTTACACGTTTCTCATTCCGGGTTTTAAAGATTCCGGGGGTTCTCATTCCGGGTTTTAAAGATTCCGGAGATTCTCTTTCCCGGTTCGCCGTTCTTGATTCATCGTTCAATGATTCTCAGTTTTAAAGCCTAGCCGTCTGACAAGACAGGTGTAGCCGTTTGATAAGAAATAAAGTGATAAGAGAGAAAACAAACAAATGTTGAAATATAAGTTTACAAGGAAAGCATTGCTTGTAATGTTAATTGCAATCATCCGACATGTGTCATTATCAGTATCAAATCATCTATATAAAGGTAAAGGGGCGACCTTCTCAACATCTCCGATTCTCCCAGATAACTTATTAATTACCCTCTTTTTATAATTATTATTATCATTATGCGTGAGATGATTTTGAAGTATGAAAAAGAGTCTTGAAGTATACTGCGGTGCACTTTTCTTCTGAAAGTAGATTAAATCATTTGGACTAAACAATATACCTGCCTCCAAGAGATTCCTGAACAGACTTCAACTGATTTTCTTTTCTGAAATTTTTTTCACTAATTCTTATAAATAGCATTTAGACACCCACGTTTAGTATCTCAATTTGAGCGATTAAATTTTAGGGTATATTATGGGTATATTATGGGTATATTATGCGACTAAATTTTAGGGTATATTATGGTTATATTAGAGTATATTATGCGACTAAATTTTAGGGTGTATTATGGTTATATTAGAGTATATTATGCGACTAAATTTTAGGGTGTATAGCACGACGGGTGGAGCAAAAGCGAAGCCATGCAGTAGTGACGAAGGGTTTGCGCAAAAGTTGTCTATTCCCACGTGACTGATATATACTAGTACTATGTGTATATTTGTATATGTATATATTTTCCAACTGGACAACCTGGGGATGACTGTCCTACATAGGAAAATTTGCTGGTATGACATTCTGGCGATGACAATTATCTTGAAATCACTTTTAAGAGCACTTTTACTGCCGTTGAAATGGAAGTGTTGATAAAATATCGCATTAATTCAATTCCTCAAGTCGATCAATTCATGTGAATTCAAATTTGTATTTACTTCCAGTGTGTTTCCTATTGGTTAATCGGTTCTGAAACGAAATTTAATTGGCTCACCTAGGCGTAACAGGAAGTTGATCAATTTTCTATCAAATGAATTGATCAAAGGAATTGGTGCAATATTGTATCAATACTTCCCTTGCAACGACAGTACCATATATTGAATTCAAAATCTTGCTCTTCCATGCGATGTTAAAAAACTTAAAGGCTAACTAAAATTCTCGTTCGTGACACTTGTCCTCTTTCGACCGGCGGAAAAAAGAGCTGGCGCGTGATGAAGTAGGAAATTGAACTCATTTGTTTTGTAGTCAAGTATATGGCCAATAACACACCAATAATCGCGCTAAACGCCCGCGCGAGGGTACTAATTCCGTTTGGAGATTAGGAATTACACAGGGAGCATAGCGGAATCCAATGTTGTGCAAATTCTATGCATGCCATGGGGTGGTTTTGTAACATTTGTTAGTTGATGCGCATGCGCGAAATTTAAACGAGGGAAACTGTTAATCAGCAACCTACTGATTGGCTGAAACAAAAATTTATATTTCAACAATAACGTCAGAAATTTAACTGCTAATTTGCAAACTTTTTCATAAAACTGTTTTATGAACAGTACACCAAATGAAATGGGAACAATAATAACAGATCCAATGAAAATCGTCAGGAAACATTTGTCAAAAACAAAAAAGGTTGCTCTTCAAGACTGAACAGCGAAAAAGAAACGATTTTCAATCTGTATAAAGCTATGAAATGTTTTAAACCGGTACGTGTCTATAGTATAGTTGTTTATTCTGTGTTTGCCTTTAGAAAGGATGCAGGTTTTTGCAATATACCTGCCTCCAAGAGATACATGAACTTGATACATGAGCGTCAATCGAACGTTAATTGAAGGGGACCATATTCATATATTCTGTTATGACAAGCTGATTTCTATTGCAAATGAAATTGTTTTCAAAACAAATTAGCCAGGCTTATGGTCCCCCTTAATTACCGTTCGATTAACGCCAATGGCTCGAATCCCTTGATACGTCGTTTTCTAAAGACATAATTGACTATGAAAGGCTTTTACACCATCGCTTTAACTTTCAAAGGGCTTTTGAAGGCGTAAATTTAAATTTTAATAGAAACTGTCGCTTCAAAATCATGTCGAAAAGTGTGACGTTCTGTACTTGAATATTTTGTACTGTTTTGATGTTTTTCTGAAGCATCAAAGTTTGAAATTTTAACAGTTAAGCTCGAGGTTAAGCTAGCTGGCAGGGTGTATAAAACGCCTGCAGAAATGGGTGACGTTAACTTCAATGTTATGACTATATTTTCTACCCTGACACTATTGAAAGAAATATTGGTTATCGATGCATTGTCATTGATTCATTTCATAATAGTTATAGCCAATCTAGGAGTGGCTAGTCCAGGATATTATTTCTTTGGTTGGAAACAGCGAGAGGTTCTGCAGGCATGTATTTCTAGTATTATATGCAGTGATTATCCCACGAAAAACATCTCCTCATATGAGTAAATACACTATTGTAATGAAATAGCTAAAGCTCGTGTGAGCGGTCTAAGTTCCTTGTTCCTGTGATAAAGTACAATGGTATCATTGGAGGGTCAGCGATAACAAAAAAGATCATAAACTATAAAGAAACGCAAAATCAGAGAAAATGGGATGAATAAAATAATTTATCCAAAATTCATGTGTAATCGTGGTGACGTTATCGGGTCATAAGATTGACCTGCATGTACCATTTACTGGTATGTAAAATCATAAACGTTTTAATAGAACTGAATATAACTGATCCCTGTACTTGTGCAAAATATGTCATTCAAAGTCTCTATTGAGACATAGCTACGAAAACCAAGGCAAAACTCAAACCCATTAGTCATTACTATAGTTAGTGAGTAGTGACAGAGATAGCCAATCAGTCACAAGGCGTTGCCCACACTTTGACCACAGGAGCATAAAAGCATGTCAATTGTGTTATATATCAAGTGTTATTATTTGGATGGGGATAGTTTATTGAGAACTCAGTAAAACACTCGTAAAACTCATACGCTACAACATCCGGGGTACGGTGCGCGTATTTTCCGTATGTCACATTTAATTTAGAAGTGGCCACTGGGTTTGACATAACAAGTTTCAAAAATTTCCCGCTATTTTCATTGTTGTTGTTGTCAAAATGCGAATGGCCTTTCGTATATATATTAACTTTGGAAATACAAACGAAAACACTTAAAAGTCATCTTTAGATAGGCAAAACTTATTCTACTTTCATGTTTAGGCTATAATTAAAAAATATTCGCTTTTATAATGGTCTTTTGCGGTTTATTTACTTGTCGTCTTAGTGTGTATTTTTGTCATTCTGAATTTAAGCCCGAATATTAAACAGAACATTAAACCGGTTACGAGAAGATATGAAATTTTGTTCTCGTGTGAAAAACAATATCTCACTTGAACGTAACTTCTTGCAGCCGTATGATAACATATATAGACCAAAGGTCCGAAGCCAAAGGCACAGGGGGACCGAAACCGGTGTGAAAATTAAAACCAGTTTTAATACAGCAGATAATTCGTCGTAATTCACAAGTCGTAATTTGTTGTAATTCAGTTTGCATACTGATATGTCGGATTTCGCATAGCAACGAATTACTGTAGTCAATATCAAGTTTCCATCAAGTCATTCTATTTTACGTAGAAATTCGACAGTTATATGCTCCTTGAATACAATTAAACGCTATTCAAAATTCCCGGGAACTAAACTTTTTTGTGCTTTGAGAACAAAGTGAGATTCTTTGGAAAATATCTTGGTATGCTTTTTTTATATTATCCCATTAAAAAACTAAAATGAAAAATGAATAGATCGCATAGCAACATTGCCAACAAGCTAATCTCACACGTTATTTGCGATCTACGGCTACGCTAACTTAAGAGGTTTGTATTATATTACACCTGATTTCTGTGGAATGATGAACAGCCAGGGCCCAGGTTATCTATCGATTTAATATCAATGTATTTTAAATCCTACTCAGCATTTAAGATAACTTTCTTGCAAAAATAATGTGAAATTTGAAAGCCGTGAGTGTAACGGGGATAAAATTGTGTGTTGGGTAACACAGTATGTTTCACACTTACACATCTAACTTCCGAGTATACACACTTCACAAATATATATTCATATTACTACCCCATTCCATGCTATAAGGTCATAATGAGGTGCAAGATAGACGAAACGAAGGTACATTTACAAAGGTATATACACACTTTTGCGTTCCTTAGTGCATGTTAATATAGGTCTTAACCTTGCATCTACAGTATCTTAACTAAAAAACCAGCTCGCATAAATATGTTACTAAATGTTCTTGGATAAAATAGATTGAAAAAATCAATCGCACATATTCATTTGCACGCTGTCACTGTAATATCTCAATATCTTATCAGCATCAGCAATAATATTGTTCTAATTTCTAAAAAAAACAGCTAGAGCTAACATGCGGTTTTCACAATATGATCAGTTTGAAAGACGATCTTAACTGTAGCTTATACCGTTGTCAACTGATGACTGCATGGTATTTAATTCATCATGACGAACAACGACGCGGCTGCTCGAGGAAGTGTATTACGATACATAATATAATCAGGATTTCACAAGGAAAATTTTTTTATGGAATTTAATTACTCTAACAATGTTTTTTTTTAATTTGTGTTAATAGTATTAGTTGATAGGTACCCCGCGTATATTGGTATATTTCTTCTGAAGAACAGAGACAAAACAAAAATAACAAAAATAAATATATGCATCATAGCCTATATATACCTTGTGTAGATACACGAACAAATAACATATTGTTTTTCGCCATGTAAATTACAAGAATAATACAGTTAATGCAGTGTCTGCTGTATAATTTGCCCTTCAATGAAACTCCTTTAATACGTCGCAGAGATTTAAGCCCGTTCTTCACCAGGCAAATCTGCTCGCGCGACGCAAAGCGAAAGCGGAAACCAGTAACAGCCGAATTCATAATAGAGACGCAAAACTCGTCTTAGACGGGAAACTCATCGAAGACAGGAAATTCGTCTGATGTAAATCCTGTCAAAGAAGGGTTTCTCATCCGAATTCTCCCGTCTAACTTTTCCGTATAAACAGACGGGTAAGTTGGACGAAAATCCCGTCTGGACGAGAAACTCGTCTTAAATTCGCATTTAGACGGTATATCCGATGAGTTTCTGAAGTTTTTGTAAATTAACCTTGCCGTCTAAGATGAGTTTCCCGAATTCGACTAATGTTGGTCTGTAAAAAATAGGATTCTACCTACTTTTATAAGTTTGCGCGAAAAAATTCGCCTTTGGAGGAGAAGGGATTTCAGTTTGACGATGTAAGAGAGAATCGCAACTCTTTTCACATTGAAACCATATATCATTAGCATTGTTCCGCGGAACCTAGCTTGCGTATAAATAGGTTTATTTCAAGTCAAACACGGCTCATTCCGTTGCTATCAACTTCTTAATATGAACATCTTATAAACAAGGTAGTTATAACATGTGTGATCAATGAATGCGCTTACACACTAGGCGCAGTAGGCGGAATATTACGCACGACGCGGAATTCTTCTTTCATTGTTCGTCAAGGCTCACGCAGTTTAAAACTTCCGACTGTCGTGACACAGTCTTGCAAACAATTTAATCACGGATTCTGTGAAATTCTAAACATTCCGGATTCATCGTTATTTTCGCGGACTAATTGTTTCAGGCAGGAAGATTGTATCAGTTGCAATCACAACATCACCCAAGCCCAAGGCGACATGCCGCCTATGAAATGCAAGACACTGCACGGTAGTCATAGAATGTAAACTAGGTTTTTCAGTTTTCACACCACTAGGGGGAAAAGACATGAACGACAAAATTATTAAGAAACAAGAGTATTATGTACTAACAAAAAACATCGATTAGCTAGTTCCGATGATTAGATTATTATCAATTCCGACAGTTCGTGACTTTATGGTTGTATGAGAAATTCGTCACTTCAAATATAGATTGTCACATCAAAAAATCTTACTGGAGGAAAAAGGTTTTCTTGGCCAACTGATGAGCAACTTTTAAAATGTTGCATCTCACTGGTGAGGTATGTGGAGGGCAGTGAGACGCCAACATTCCTCCAACAATTGAATGATGCTGAAAGTATCACTGGTCAACAACAACCACAACAACAACAATTACAGTTTACACCAATTATTAACGAGATCACAACACGTGGCGATGAGGGAATACCAGCTGGCATCTTTTCAGGGAGCGTTAGTGAAGGTAAGTGCACTTACAGCCATTAAACGACATTCTTATGAGATATAGACTTGCCCAAGTCCTTCTCTTAGTTTCGCGAATGATTCATGTACGAAATATGAATAGCTATCAGCGAGGTAACAGCCTGAGGTAGCTATTAGTGGAGTTGAAATCTAAACCTCGCTCATATCTTTCTCATTAATACGACTTAGTGTTTCTGGAAAACAATTACAGCTAAATTAGTAAAGGTTGTTTTTTAAAACTGTTGACGGGTTGTAACATATCATGTGCATCTAACTCAATTAACTAATACAAAACAGGCTGTTAAATAATTTGGACCGTTTGTATATTGTATAGTATGAATTGAAAAAGGTCATGCTATTTCAAATCTCAAAACACCCCCGCACAGCAAAGTGCCGTATACAAGCCAGCCCTTGTAGTGATTTTGTGGTGATGTTTAATATTCAGTTTTCGAACACAACCATCTCAGTAAAGCTTGCTTGCATATAATTTGGGTAAAATACAACCTTTTTCAAATTTAATTTAATGTTAATTAGAGGTGAAAACTTGTGTTAGATACAAGAGTCTATAAGTATGGAGAGGGGACTAAAGAAATTATAAAGATCAAATGAGGATTTACCTCGCACTAATTGAAGTGTCATCCATATGTGCCGGAATAACTGATGCATTTCTAGTAGGGAAAGTTCTGTTTTGTACTGTCCAAAATTTTTCTTAATAGCATTTGTTTTGAGCTTTTCCATGTATGTAATGACTTGTAGATTAAAGTAAAATAATAGGGCCATAAGAGCTGTTTCCAGAGGCCAGTTGTATAAAACTCTTAACTATATTTTGCATATCAATTACGATTTTGTGGCACTTCACTCGATATTTTATAAAGGTTTTAAAAGGGTCTTAATTTCGAGTGGAGTCATACACAACTCAATTCAAGCCAGAAACAGTTCAGAAAAATTAGTCAACTATCGATCCTCTGTCAGGAATCTAACCTACGCTTTTGAGATGCCGGTGTAGTGCACTTGCCACTGAGCTACTATACAGTTAAAATGAAACTAGCCTTTTATACAACTTGTCCCAGTTTTTTAAGTTTTTATTTTCTTTGCCTTGTTTTTAAAGAGACGACTTCCCTGCAATTTTATGATTTTCGGTGCGTTTGAACTGACTTCAACAACTTGGAGAATCTGAATTTCTTTTGTTTTTGGTTTATGAATTTATAGGAGCGGCAACCAGTGGTAAGAAAGATATTAAAAAGCCATCAAGAAGTAGGTAAAGTTCCTACTTTATCTTGTTTCTGTGTGCATTTTATGTACTTTTCCATCAGCTAAAGGCATTTGTTCACCTCATGTAATATAGACCAATAGGTAATATGTAATATTTATTACACAGGAAACCGCGAAGTTAGTTTATGGAAGTTTCTTTACCGTTTGCTGGAAGCACCAAATTACCAACTTATTCGTTGGGTAAACAAAAGAGAGTTTGTGTTTCGTGTGTATGACACAGCTGGTCTGGCGATGCGCTGGGGGATGGAAAAGAATAACATACACATGAATTACGACAAAATGAGTCGCGCAATGCGTCAATATAAGCATGGTGAAGTACAGAAGGTTCCTGAAACGAAGCTTACATTCAAGTTTGGCGATGTTGTGGTGAACGAAATTAAGAAAGGAATAATTTAAAGACAGAACAGATAAAAATAAATCAGACAGTAATTTTTAAATAAAGAGCATAAAATTAAATATTATTACGTGATTATATAATTAAAAGGTGATTTTGATAATAAAATATATTACAAAGAATTCTTGTCTTTTTTGGAAATGGAAACATCCACGGGGAGTTACACTTATTTTTCGAACAGGTTCAAAATACCACGTTTTTTCGAAAGTGTTTACTGTAAATTATCTAATAAACGCCCCGCTTGAAGCGTATAACTTTGTATCAAATTCCTCTGTCCATTAAATTCCCTGTCTCCAATAGACTAGAGATTTAAGAAAGAAAGGTCAACCTTGTAAAGCGGGATCACAGAAGTTACAAGCACAACATTCCCTACTGGGTCAGGCGTAACTCATCCCATTGGACGAGCTGAACTGAACACATTTCAAAAGAATATTTTCGCGCGGCAATTTGCACCGAATGGAAATCCGCCGGCTTTAGGCCCCCTCTCAGACGGCAAGACCCAAAAAGTAAAGCCTGCCCTGCGATTATGAACAGAATTCTTGGCTGAAGCCAGGTGAATTACACTACAAAAATCAACGCAAGCCTAATATAAACACGGCTAAAATAACTTACGTCCCGAAACTAAGTTGATTTCCTAGGAGTTTCCAGTAGTATTCACACTATTATAACTACAAAGATAATTATCAAAAATGGTTACAAAGATATTTTTACAAACAATTTTCTTTTTTTGCAATGCTAATATTATGCTTATATCATTATATGGCAAAAATCACATTTTTAACGAGTGGTATGTGTGTGTGTGTGTGTGTGCTAAGTGCACCAAGCTTATTAGCGGATTAAGGTGACAAGTCGTTTTGGGAACCGTGACAGATAAAAAATCAATAAAAAATAAGTAATTCTCAATAGTGTTAAATAACGAACTTCCATTAAAATTCTTCGAGTCTATTTGTCTAAAAATGTCAAAATCGGATTTTTTATGCAATGTGTATATAACCATGGATAATAAAATCTTTTAACTATCCATGGTATTACACTTTCGAGATTACACGTTTGGCTCTAAAAAGAATAATATCCTGTGAACCTCAGTAAGTATGCAGTAACCTTTTAGGAACGCAAAGATTAACGCACACTTCATTGGCATTTCTAATTTCATAGATAAAGGAATTATTTACTTATCAATTAGGATTTATTACTATGACCTCTATATTACAACTAATGCCTAATATTATCTAGCTAAGCAGCTATACCCGTATGAATACCAGTGAAGTGTGGGTTCATTTCATACTACGCTATTCCTAAAAGGTTACTGACTTACTAAGGTGTACTATACAATGTCAATAACCAAATTAAGAACTTAATTGTAAACTCTATAGTATTATATACATATTGTTTTAAATACTTGCACCCCGAGAGCATAATGCATGTCAATGCTAATGTTATGCACTTTAAACGTGACTGAAACTGGACTGCAAATGGAATTTTGACTTCAAAAGATTAGCACAGTATTAGTCTAATAATTAAATTATTAGATTATAAGCTGTTCAAGAGGGTCACACCTGGAGTGTTCAAAGTTGCGAAAATTGGACGCTTCTTGTATGACGATTTTGCGGTCTTTTTCAGCCAATTTTTACGCACTTGTATGTGAAGAATGTGACGTAATTGAAGTCTTTCAAAGAGAAAAAGTTCAAATGGAAAAGAAAACAAGAATTTGATATGTTGACGTTTATCATCATATTTTTAAATTATGCAATATTAACTAATCTACCATGTTATATATAGCCGTCATCTTTTTCATATTTCAGGGATTCATTTTGTCTTCACTGAGGCATTGAATTATTAACAATCGTCTCATTTTTTTCAAGTGGCGTTAGAGAAACATTAAGAAATTAAGAAATTACATTTCTAAGTGCAGAAATTAGTGAAATACATTTCTGACAAGATATAAAAGATTAAAAGATACCGCCCAACACAGACGAAGATTTACGCAGAAGCATCGATGGTATTCTTTCCGTGCTGATAACCAGGATATGGTATCGACGGTAGTTCCCACGGGCGAGGTCGTTGCGACATATTCGGGTAGAAACATGCTTGGGAAAGTTCGTAAGAGACCGTCATAAGCCGGTGATACAACATTGCAATATACTGCATGATTAATACGGCAGTGAACAATGTTAAAGAGCCGAAACCAAGCGGGCTTGTGAGAAGAAACCCGTAATCAACAATAAACCACAAAATATTAACAAGAGAGAAAACTAGCAGAGATCCATTAGCAATGAAAACTAGTTGTTTGCGATTTTCGATCAAAGTGGTTCTCTCATAGGGAAGAAGGAATTCCTGACATAATTTTTGCCAATATTTACGTTGTTCACTGACACCAACGTCAATTATTCCTGAAAATACATTTTATTATATCAGTTTACTTTTTTATTTTATTAGTTTAATCATAAAACGTTAATTTTCGTCATTGTAAATAGTAGTAACTTCATATTTGAAATTATTTTTTATCATTTATGTAATTCTGTCATTATATTCTTAAATTACTAGCGCTAACAATTATGTAGGTTATATAAAAGTTCAATTTTCATTCCTTTTTAAAATTTCCCCACGTCTCAAAAAATTCCCCTTTCTCTGCGCAAGCTAAAGTGAGTTCGCAAGCTGTTTTCTCGTTCGAAAGGCCGCGAATTTATGATGTATACGAACGATGAAAATTTCAAACAAATTTAACTAACCTTCATCTTCACCTTCATCGGATATTTCTACTGTCTCATCTTTGTTCACGATGACGTCATCATCAGGTCCCACTCCCTCACATTTGTCAGCGGTTTCTGTCGCTTCTTCTTCATGGTTGATGACGGCCTGTATATAAACAATTAGTCGGATATTAAACTGGTGCTGCATCAATACTTCATATAGTGTATGTCAGTGGTTTTCAAGTAAATGACGACAAAGGTGAGGGAAGGGTGAAGAGATGCACTTCTAAGAAATAGATAAACAGTCAAGAGGGGATGCCGTGTCATATGCATGGACACAGCCACTAGGAATGGAAACACGAAATCGAGCAAAGTAGTTAGATTACTTCATTAATTCCGCTGCCTTTCAAAACGACTGTATTTCAACAAACTGTCTACAAACTGTACAATTTTATCTGAGGTTTCATATATAGTTTAGAAGACGTTATGCATTCTTAAGTTCAATAGTCTTGACGACCATGTAGTTTGTATAGATATGGCAGAATATTTTACGTGTAAGTGGCAACCTCATTATTCTCACGGTATTGGCTATGTGTGGGCTCTGAAGTGGAGGGACTACTCATGTGAACTTACTTTTACGCAATTAAAGTTACAGCTATAAATGATCTTGCATACCTCATAATGGTCGGTATCAATGATACTAGGACAACAACTACAACAAAAACTCTGCACATTCTGTGGACTTGCAGGTTTCTTTCTTCGACACACGAACTCTAACAGACGGTAATACCAATGAACCGTGGCGGGTGTGTCCAATTCTGAAAGGTAGGTAATAAACGGGGTTTTGGATATTGTAAAGAATATAAGTCTCTCTTTTAAAAACGTTATTTAGGAATAAAACAATTCGTTTAAAAATCGAATTTCCAAATGTTTTTAAGTGTTTTTTTAGGGGCTGCTTACATAACATGAGCCAAGTTAGCCGTGACTCAACAAAGCGCGAGATGATTTTGAGGTATTGAAATAAATCTTTATGAAACCATGTTATTGTCTGGTTGATTACATCATCACACCACTGCCAGGAACATGTTATCTTAATACTCATTTCAATACCTCAAAATCATTTCATGCCTCGTTAAATCTCGGCTAACCAGGCTCATGTAAACAGCCTTTTAATCGTATAATAAATTAATGGATATGAAAGTTTAAGGTGTCGTATATGCCACTTAGATTGAAAAACAAACATCTAGGTCCCATTCACAGTGCTTTTAGCGCGCTTCATTTGAACGTCGTTTCAAACGATTTACCAAAAATATAATGTGGGTAAAACATACCTTCATTTGTCTTGGCCATATTAACAACAGTGTAGGGAAATAAGAAGATATTGAATCCAGGGAGACACAACAGATACCATAATGATTGTAAATTACATAAAAATTCTTTGGGATAAACAAGAGCTGTCCCTACAAATACTCCTACATATATAATGACATAAACCATCGCTACGCTGATCTTCATTTGTTTATCCAGATCATGAGGAGGGTCATCAGAATGGTGGAAGGTGTTGTAAGGGTTGGAAATTACGCGACCCAATGAAACCAAAGCGAGGATAAATATGACAACTGCAAGAATGTACGAGCCAGCCTTAGCGAAGGCACGATGAACATCTGGGAGTGTAAACATACATACAGCGATATATAGGAGTAACAAGGCCATAAGGGTGATACCAAGAGCTGTAACAACATCATGTCCTCCTGTGATGTAGAATACTGATCCTGTTATCATCCAGATCATCACTGAAGGACTAGAAAAATATTCACACAAAAAGTGAAACACATTGACAAGAGCAGTATCGTGTTAATTGATGACAATTATTAATACAATGCACTTTAACATACTATAAAACATCCATGCATGTAAGAAGTGAATCAGTTAAAACAAAATTGGATTGTGCGAATAAATTTTAAGGACACTTCAAGGAATGTCTCTAAAATTCTACATTACCAGATACTTATGAGTTATGACACTGAAAATGATTAAGGTCAGTGTGAGTTGTGAATCATACTACATGCAAAACAGATTAACCGGAAGATTACCTGATAACCATGAAAAATACGCTGATAATAAGATAAGCAAAGAAAAGTACAGACAACTTATAATTAAAATGTCGAATATTCCAAAAATCTTTGATTAAACAACAAGTGTTGGCAAAACTTGACATGATCCAATGTCGCCGTTGTTGAAAGAAACCATCGAATGTTTCAGGACATAAAGTTGAAACTTCGGCCAAGGAACAGTAGTCTAACACCCAGCCTGATTTTAATAGCAAAGAACTCAGGAAACGATCTTCACCTAAAAAGAAAAAACACAGATTGATTTATATAACAATGTCAACGAAGCCAACTTTCAAGGTACTTATATTTCCTGATATAATTATCATTGTAAATGAGCATAAACTTAATCATCTAATGGGGTTCGCTAATAATCGAACCTCAAAATAAAAACAATTTTCGTTATTCAGTGAACTCGTCAGCAATAACCATTTTACGCGAGAAAATATTATTCTGAACTCGTCACAGTGCAGTATTCTTATGTAAACTGGGACTCCATATACCATAAGATTTACTGACTTACCCAAGTCCTTTTTGATGTAGTCGCCTCCATTTTCTGTTTGTCTTGAGAAAACTGGAATGACCTGAGATAAAGCTTTCAGACGAAAAACACTGAAACATCCGTTACAATTCAAGAGTGATCCAAACACACTGTTTGCTGCCTGCACAAATAAAGCAAAATCAGGAATAATCGCCAGCGGACAAGTTTTGCTTATGAAATAGCAATAGGACAAAATGCGGCCAAAAGGCAGATAATCGACAGATATGATTCTCAAGGTTTCAGTAATTGTTTCTCCGCCATTTTCACCTTAAACGCTCATTTCAAATGTTTTCGACAGTAGCGGGATTAATATGATCTCCGCGTAATTGTATATCTTTAGGATGTCAACGACCGTTACAATTATAAAGCCTGAACCAACAAAATTTTGAACTGTTGTAAATGGACCGAGAAAAATGTTTAGAAATAACAACCTTTTCAAACAAATCATTCATTAAAAATTAAAATATTCTATCTCATACCTTAACTAACCAATGCCAAATGGCGTATTCATATATTTGATACCAGACAACAGGTCCTGACCCTTCAGCAAACACACGACAAGTAGCAGCACCAACAAATGATTTGCGAAGCATTAAATCCAGCAATTTCTCGATAGAAGAACATGTAAACGAAACATCCACGTCACAAGTAAGGAAATAAGTATTCGCAGGATCTAAAAAACAAATGAAGAATAATAAAAAAAGGTGAATTTCTACAAATAGGTAGTGCAAGTAGAACAAGCACCATACTCTCGGTGTCTCTTGTTGCAAACAAAATATCCCCTCAAAATCATTTTATATGCCGACTTTGCAACGTAGCAAACGCTAGCAAAAAACTACAAATGAAGAAATAATTACGAGCAGAAAGAACTCTCAAGTCGCTAAAAAAATCAGAAATAACATGAAAAAAGTTTTGAGTGAACAAAGCAGCAACATTGAGGGGCGGAAACACACCGTGAATTGAATTTCTTTTCGTGTCAATTATCCAAGACATAATCATCATTTGACTCCATCTTTTACCTTGCTTCACCTAGTATTAAAACGACACATGCAGAGATTATTTATTGTTTACCAATATAGAGAAAGCAATTTGCACGTGTCTATACAGGGCGAATGAACACAAAAGGAACATTGAATGTCGTTATATCAAACATCACTTTGTAAAGAGTTCTTCTTCTGATATATGTGAACGAGTGAATATTGAAATACTAATATTGAAATAAGAGTTCTAATACATCAGATCATTAATTCGTAACTAATTACTCGTTCACATCTATCAAAAGAAAAAAATCACACCTGAAATCGCAAGAGTAAAAGAGCATGTAGAGCAGGAATGTCTGGTATCATCAAAAGACTAACAGTTTGAAAACCACGGAATCAGCATTTTCTAAACTTTAATTACCTTAAGAGAATCTTTAAAATGCAGATAAACAGCCATCCCGTCTTCCAGTGTTATCAACATTTCACTACCATAAGGCATTTTTATATCTCGTGTCATTGTAGAAATATTCAATATCTCCTTACAAAGATTGACAAAACACCGTGCTTGCGTGTTCAATGTCCCAGACGCTGTAAAGGCATCGTCGAACACAACGTGTGTTTCTAAACTGTTATACTTCCGTTTATTGTTGTTAATACGTGACAAACATACTAAGTATTGCGCCATGATTTTGGGATCTTCGTGGTACACGGTGGTACAAAGAAACACATTAGCTTGATTGTGCGGGTATGTTTGTAGAAATGGACGTGCTATGGCGGAATCCTCTCTGTTAAGAATCAAGTATTGTTCTAGGAATACTCCTAAAAGATGAAGCAATACAATACATTAGTGGTTGGTATGGACCGCGGGGACAACATTTTTTGGCAGCCAAAAGGGACTTAGGGACTGATACGCTCCGCGGGCGTAAGGTATATAGAGTACATACCATTGTATGTGTAAGGAATTAAGAACAGGTATTTCTCTGGAACCATCGTTTCTTCTTGCCCTTTCCAAATATATAACATTACATACGCCATAAGACCAAGCCACAACATCGCTGCTATAATGAGCACATGATAATGTTCTACACCCAAGACATAACCACAGGATGACGGAATAGTCCAAGACTCGCATGACCAATGTGCTGATGATAGAAATATCGCAACTGGAGTGACAAGTAACAATGGAAAAGCAAACGCCTGACGTTGTATACCAACCATACAAGATAGAGAACCCAAGAGATATACTCCAAAACTGCAAATAACATTCACCCATATATAGACAGTGTATATTTCAAGACCGTTACTGATTTGATAGCCATGAACATCATACAGACTAACAACATCATAGAAATGACAGAAAAAAACGCAGACAAATGGAGTTGTTATCAACTTAATAGCGCTGTTTATAACTCCAGATTTTCTCGTAGCTCGACCGTATGAAGACGATAAAACATCAAATTCTGTCAAACGGTCTGTTGAACTCAAATCCGCTTCACTGTTGGACAAAGGATTGTAATCTCGTGAGTCAATTAGAGATTCAACACGAGATCGAAGCTGCAATTTCCGCAGTGGTGAAAACCATGCAACATTTAGTAACACCAGAGATGCAGGTAGAGCTGTTCTTTCTCTTATTCCAGTAAACTAAAAAAGTTATTTCGCCGTTGATTAAAAATTGTCGTCGTTAATTAAAAGTATATATGATTGTATAAATGTACATAATCCCTCCCCCAGCCTTGCCCTAAGGGTTGATACAGGAAGTTTCCCAAGTAATATAATGTAAGGCCATTGGCTGACGATATTATTGCATTCACAAATAAATTCAATCGGGATATGACATAGTATTACACTGCCAGAAACGCGCAAGTTGCAGCAAGTCTGTGGCGTTTCTGGCTGTGTACAATAAGGGTGAAAAGTGCAATGCTATATTAATTAGTTAAAAACAGATACCATTGACTTTGTTACATTACTGATGGAGGTATTGCACCAATGCGACTCAACATGTTACAGAATAGCAATAAATGGCAACCAATACCTTGTATATTCCCCATCCCAAAGCAGCTAGATCTAAAAATACTGTAACATAAGCTAGGATGTTTATCACAGAAAAGCGCTCATTTTCTCTGCCAAAGTAAAATTTAAATGCAGGCAAAATGAACACTGCATTCATGTAGAGAATCAGCTCTGTAGAGGACAGATCAGGTAATGTCAGGACAGCAATGGTAAAATAACATACACCAAAAACTTCTAAAAGAGAATCAAAAACACCCTAGAAAAATAAAAAAAAAAAAAATTGTTTCCAGGGTGCCCAAAAATGACCCCTACCAAACTCTGACTGTTTGACAAATAACTATTCTGTAGGTCAAAGTGCAGTTTACATATTTTTATTACTTATTTTATGTTTCAAAGTTTCAGATCAAAGTGAAACAAAATAGGTGGTTGTTTCAGGAAACCGAAAAGGTGATTTACTAATGTGACCGTTTAATTACAAATTTGAATCACCAACTTTTTAGAGTTGACACTTCTGACAGGTCAAGCCAAACTGTGTGTATACAATCAGCAAACTGCTGGTCAAAGCCAGGATTTAGTGATGGCTCAAAATACAACATAACTTTTTAATCAATCAACATTTGAACTGGAAGTATGTATGTTCAACTAACTTCAGGAAAAAATTTCAGCCCAGATCAATGATGATTCTAAGAATAAGGGTTTTACTATCATCCCATCTCAATGCATAATTTTTAATAGTACTTCTTAGTTTACTTCTTAGAATCTTTACAAGATCTGTCTTGGGACTTTAGAATTTTATTCTTTTAGAATTTAATATTTTTATTGTCAAAATTTCTGGTTTAATTTTCTATCAAATGATTGCTGAATATTAGAGGGAGCTAAAACAATAAGTTATTTCACATTCAATTTTAAAATTCTTTAAATTAAAATTATGATTGACTTTATGTCAAGATTTTATATTAATTAAGGAAGTTAGGGCAAAGCTAGCTAACAATGCAGATACAATTTATATTTTTGCCTTTTCGGGTTTTTTGTTGCATTGATATTCCCTAGCCCCTAGGAGATTAATATGGATGATGATGATGATGATAACCACCATAGAGATATGTACCTTGTACAACGATATTTTGATAATACTTACAACAAATATGGCACAAGGTGTTGGCCATTCATGTCCGGGCACGATTCCATGTAACCATAGACTGCGCAAAAACTCCACTAAATATGGTACCATGATAACAATAACCAGAGCTAAAAACATTTCAGCATCATTACCACTATGTTTTGAACGAGGAATTGCAATTAACGCCATTCTACTTGCAACAGCGGCGCTTAGGGTCAATATTGCTACCACAATCGTAAATAACCATTTACAAACGCTTGCGCCCCAGCGAGGCCACAGAAATGGGATTTCGACATCAAGCCGAGAATTCTGTGACGCCGAAAGCTTGAATTCGAAAGATGAAGAAGCCATGACTAGAATTGTATCACCAATATCCGCAAAGACTGAGAGTGAGTCAGTGAGAGCACATGCAGGAACCACATTACCATGCTGGCGGATACTTCACCAGTCTTGTGACAAAATGTCGTGCGTTGATAGGTCGCACACACGCTAGGAAGTATCAAGTATCAAGATCGCATACGCAAAATTATTGATTCATTTCAAAGTAAAAAACTTTAAAAAAAGTTCCGAAAAGACAGGACATGTCATGTTTTTACTTTACTTTTTTAAATTGTCATACGTTGTACGCCGGTCGTACGTTGTTTTTGGTTCATCGCAATTCAGCGCAATTTCAGTATGGTGCACCGGATTTACCAACATTTTACATGCATGATTTAAGAACAAATTTGAAATTTCTAATAGCACACGTTAGAAGTGGACTAAGAGTCTTGTTTCAACCAGGTTTCAACTAGGTTTTTCAACTCAGCATCACAGAGTTCCAGAATACAACTTTGCAAAATTGGTCAGATTTACTGCAATAGGTATCAAAATTTGGTATCGATACTGCAAAAAATCTCTGGTAAAAAAACTGGTATCCTCTATCTCTACTATGATCTCTACACTACAGAGTCTGCGGGCAGGCCATTGGGCTGACTACTAGGAAGATTAGCACAGGATGTGCACGTCAAATAGGCCGGGCAAATGGCGAGCCCCATTTTACTTTTAACCCTCATTCGTGTTTTACCCTATTATCTGTAGTTGATCTGTAGTTTTGTTTTTCCCAGTGAATTGTTTAATCCCCTCAACCGTCTTTTACTTTTAGTCCGTGTTATTGTCACCATCACAGTGACCTCTCTGCAGTGACCTAATTATACAGTATTCAGTAATCAGTATACAAGTCAGTGGGCCGAGGATACAAGTAAACTTTATTACGTAATCCGAAGCTCAGAAATACTGTCAGAGGATATGAAACGTAAACAAAACTCGAGACAAAACGTATCATAAAAATGATGTTTCAAAGTGTTCCTGATAACCGATCTTTAAATGTAGAGTCTCGAAGAGGTAAGTATTCGAAATGGATCCCTAGTTTTGTACTGGGAATGTTCAGTTTATAATTAAAATATCTGGGTTTTTTCTATAGCGAACAGACCTGAACTTTATGAGGTATAAAATATTAAATATGCTCGTAAAAATGTTTTCCTTTTTGTTGAAAACTATTTAGCACTTTGATAAAGGTAGATTTTTATACTTACAGGAGGTAAAGCTTTATAAAAGCGGACGAGAAAGAGAAAAGTAAAAATATCTTTATACTTTATTCGAGAAATTGCTTTCCCTATATTTAGTAACAGTGTTAATGGCTAAAAATATAAAATTGTTGTTAGAAGTATAGCTATGTATAGCTATGCTGAAATCGTAGCTGTGGATGGTCAAAACATATTTACATGTCTGCCAATTTTATATTATGATATATCAACATCATAGCTGCCTTTCAACCTACGTCCTTGAGACTATGCAGCTGTCCAGCTAGTGTCTCTAATTTTCCAAACGTTATGATTAGTTTCATTTTACTTTTTTTAGGTATGACAATTTAGCCGATTTTTTTGCAGTTATCAATACATTGCAGGCATTAGAGAAAGCTTATATCAAGGATGCAGTCACACCAAAAGAGTATGTACAATAATGTGCATATCATATTAAATTTTATCTTCTGCATTGGTATAGCTAACCATGCAGCCAGACAATAATATTTTACAATTAATTCTGTATAGCAAAAATATATGTGTAATGTATTTTTTATTATTTAATATACAGTAACATACTCACAAGATCTATATTTGAATTTTTTCTTTAGATACACTGCTGCTTGTTCCAAATTGCTTGTTCAATACAAAGCAGCATTCAAACAAGTTCAAAGTGATGAATTTCCAACTGTTGAAAGCTTCATGAAAAAGTATAAGGTAAGACACTTAACACATATAGTCTTTAATTCTATATACATGTTTGGTTATTAATAGTATATTCCCTGACCAATTCTTGGATCACTACAATATAGATATGCAGTGTTGGAGAAATGATCAGATATGGAATTTTCATAATATTTTTTTCCATAACCCATATTTCATTGTTTTCACAAAACTAAATCACGCATGCAATGTTTTTAGAGCAGATATTTTTGTTAAGTGTCATTGGTGCTGTCATTTGTTGCTCATTTATCATGTTAATGATCCGTTCACAAATTAAATTAGTGCCAACATCTGTTTAATTAAAACACAACTAAAACATTAATTACTCAGTGATTGCTTATATAGTTGCACTTGATTGATCTTTTAGTTTTATACTCAAGCATTTATGTTGTTTTTGTTAATTACAGTGAAATACACTAATACCTCCTCCCCTCCAAAACCAGTTTACACAATTAATACATCATCTTTGATATATTTTAGTTGGATTGTCCGGCAGCCTTAGAAAGAATCAAAGAAGATCGGCCTATAACAATAAAGGATGACAAAGGAAACACAAGCAAGTGTATTGCTGACATTGTTATGGTATGAATCCAATCAGTATACTATAGCTGAAACTACCACTTTAGATATAGTCCTACTGTAATATTTGCTCATGCTATGGAATGTTAAAATTTTGCTACTGGTTTTATAATTAATAATGCTGCAACATACTATTTAAAATGTTAACCAAGCTCTCATATATTAAGGCACTTTCTATTTATTTCTTTTTATAGCTTTTTATAACCATAATGGATAAACTGCGTTTGCAAATAAGAGCGACAGATGAGGTATAAAATAAAATTCCTGTCAATATTGGAAATGATCGATACATTTGTATACAATATTTTATGCTATTGGAGCTGTACACAACTGTGTCTGGTCACTATATTCTTTAAATTCAAATCATAAACAATTTGATAATCAACTATTGTTTTCAGCATAATATGGTATTGTATATATATATATGGTCAACATGCTTTTTTTTCACATGCATGATTCAATATTTATCTCATCAGATCCACCCAGACTTAAGGGATTTGATGGATACTATGAACAGTTTAAGTAAGCTTGCTGAGGATTTTGAAGGCAAAGTAAAAGTGAAATCCTGGTAGGTTAATTGTGGTCACACAAGCTGTTCCCTAAACTGTGTCACCTGACTCACCTCACTCATTTACTATATTCTGCCCAATCTACACCAACATTGACAAGTTATATGGTGTTCATGCAATTTTCAGAATCCATTTTTCCACTATAATGTCATCAACTAAGTAAGCATTCGCTGTTGTACACCCGTAACAATGCTGACAAATTTCCACTATTTCCAGGAAGTAACTTCTTTATCAGTAACAGTTTAGTAAAAAATACTTCTGTAATATATTTAGGCTTGACACAATGGGTCAAATGAAAGCTAGCGACGAGCTATCAGAAGATCAAGCAAGACAAATGTTGTTTGATTTAGAAACGGCCTATAATGCTTTCAACAAATCGTTACATTAGTTATTTCACATTATATGGTAAACGTTTTTTGAAGTATTCTTCGTCGGTAATATACCAGAAACCCTCGATCTACATACCTTAATCAGTTACTTCTGAAATAGTTTATATTCCGCATTTCTCCCATTTTAAACCCATTCAGAAAACGTGAAATGTTAAAACATCAAGGAACTGCTTTTAGGATCTGCTAAGTGTAGATCCACAATGTTTCTCGTTTCCAAGTAATTCCTTTATTCCGATTAGCTTAGGTATATCCAATCCAATATTCGTCCAACATAGCTTTTGTGACAAAGCGTGCATATCAAAAGTAGTTTGAAATGATGAGGCTATTATCTATTGGAATTTTAGCAATAGTAATGACGAACGTGAATTAAATTATACCCTGATGCCATACAGGATAATCAACGACAACGTTGTATATGCTTAATTCTACAGGGTGTCCCAAAAAAAAGTCCCCGCTATTGAAATGAAGCTTTTGTTGGAATTTGAATGCATGATCAACGCAGTAGTGTGTAAATAGCATAGTTATTAGGTTGAGGCATTCAAATAAAACGTCTTGCTTTCAATTGGGTTTATCATAATATTAAGGCAATCAGATTCTAACAAAGGCTCGATTTCAATAGAGGGGACATTTTTTTGGGACACCCTGTACATATTATACTGCCGTTACTGCCGGGTGTCCCAAAAAACCCGAAACTATTGAAATCATCTATTGTTAAAATTTGAATGACCTGTTCGCGAATTTTTGCTCTTGAGGATTAGCGCAACCTGTAAAATGCTACTAAATAGGCCTACAAAAAATACAGTAAGAGAGACATGTCGAAGCTGCTTGAGTTGTAAATTTGAATATTGTTATCTATATGTGTAAAGTGTATTCGTAATAAAAATCATTTTTGGGTATACAAACAAATTTTACTGTCACATGAACATTCTTATGTCAAACATTTATACACCAAGTTATACCCTTGTGGGTCCCAACAGGTGCTTAAGCATTTAAACTCTAGGTATTACATTAATGTTATGGGTGATTTCAATTGTTTTGGGTTTCTTTGGGACGCCCTTATAAATTGAAAATCTTTAAACGTCAGTTGTATATTATGATAACAGAATAAAGACGCTAAACACAGACATATAATTGGTTTGATTCTACACTAACAGTAATCAACGTCATCCACCAATGTTGAAAATATGTAAGGTCCCGCCACAGGCCGCAGAGAATAGAGAGCAAAATATTTTTATATATGACAATGTGTTATGAACTTGTGATAATGTTATTGATTAAGATAACGTACACAACTAGATTTCTTATGCCATACAAAGGATGGTGACATACAGAGTTGCAAAAAGAGTTCAACCTTCCTCCGGTACCCGTACCCAATTTTATTAGTGTTCAGGCTACGAAAACAAAACCGGGCACCCATTTTAGCCGTGCCAATAAATCGATTGTAGTGTAAATAGGGGCTGAAATATTTGGTTCTTTGGTACACGCATGTGATCAATTAGAGTGTTTAGTAAGTTTATACTTACAGAAAGTTAACCTTTACTGTCTCATCCCTTCTTACCAAAACAATTCTCCACATTCGTTACTACATTTTTTACTCTATTACACAAGGAATAGTACACTCGGTCTGTTTAGTTATAGCTTTATTTTTCTTCCTTTTTAACAAATGAAATATATTGAATTTTCATTGAGGACTTGAGGTTAATTCTTTTCAGCAATATTTATCAAAAGTCGAGCATTCCCTGCGCTGTTCATGATGCCCTCCTCCATGATGAAACCATAACCAAGGTTCTGCGTATGATATCTGCAAGTTAAAAAAGAATTAAAAACTTCAAATGTTTAGAGTATTTTCCCAGATATACAATGTTTAGAGTATTTTCCCAGTAGTCTTACCTGTTGTCACCTTTGTAAGGCTTGCTATAGTACAGGTTTTCATACAAGCCTTGGTCAGGAGACTTCCTACCAGAGAACATTTTCACATTCCACCAATTACTATGGAGATTATAATCAAATGGTACACTGAACATGACACACAAAGATTTTTGTTTTTTAGGAATGTAATAACAGAGTACGCCAACTACTCCTGTTGCAACTGGACCACTTGTTTTTCTGGCTGGAAATATCGCGCCTTCGTCTGAACTCACAGAAGCAGGAAGAAATTCATCAGATGTACCAGAGCGAAAATAGACACCATCAGCTCTCCATTCGTATGGTGTGTTATTACCAATACCAATTGCGATTTTTCTTTCAATATTTCCAAGAGCCTCGAGCACCGACTGCAAGACAGTCACCCCGAGTTCTATTAACGGGATAGCTGCAGCCAAACCTCTCTTAGAAACTTTACCTAAAACGAGGAGACAGGTTTTATGTGACCTAGATTAATGCATGGTATTTTTACCATACACTGGTTGCCACAGAGTCACGGGTATCGTTGCAGTTTATGGTGTCTCAATCCTACATTCGTACAGTTATATACTGTCGTGTTCTGCCGTAACTCTATATAGGCCGAAAATATTCTCCGTTTCGTTAAATTAAATTTGTTCATTTTGAAATTACTTGATATATAATATATATAATATAATTTATCTTGTCCTTGGGCGCCAATATGATTTAAAAAGATTAAAATTAAAGTGTTGGATTAACTGAATCTATTTTATCAGAAAGATTTTTTTACTACCTTCATTTTCGTTTCCTCTGTCTGATTCGTCCAATGATTTCTCTATTAAAGCAAAGATACTTATGGTTTGTGGCGGTGTATGGTCAAGATTTGTGGTGAGGCATAGCTCGTTGGAAAGAGATAATAAGGCAACCAAGTCCCAACCAACATTGTTATGAATGGCGAGGTGAATGATGGGTCGGTACGTTGTTTTTTTAGAGGTGGAAACTAAATTACTGAGTGCATGTTAAAAAAATTATTCTAAAAAACCGAAACTGCAAGGATAAACATTGTCAAAGCAAGCAGTTTATACCCAACTTAAAAGACTGGTTGTTTGATTTGAATATTATTCAGTGGAATTTCTATAGATGGTTTTAATAAGCCTTTGAGACGAATTATTTTTATTATTCTACAACATACTGTGGTGCATTACTAACCTTTCTCAACATTCTTTATAAAGTTGCCACTTGACCCAATGAGACAAAAAACAGACAAAACGATTAGAATTTTAATCAACATTTTCAGCTAAAAATATTAAAACATAAATTGTTTTGTTAAGGCTTGCCGCACATAGTGAAAAATCTGAAAATCTACTTCGCTATATAACAATAGCATACCTTAATTTGCACTTTTCTTCGCCTCTTTATAATCTTTATGGACGCAAAAATAAATGCATTGTCGTACATGCATAGAACTTATATACTTTTATATTTGTCATCCAGTGTTGAATCAGGTTTGGTTAATGTTTAGTGATGTTTTAGACATCGTTTACTTTACTGATATATAGATATGACTAATATAGCAATGTTTTCGCTTTTTGACAAACATGGCTGGGTAAAACCACTACTTGCAGTAAAACTGTGTGGTTAAAATCGATATTGAATTTATAGAAACCTTTGCTTGGGAAGATGAATTAAAAAAGTAGGTATGTAATAAAGAAATAGAGAATGCAATGTTAATTGGGATTTTCAAGTTTGCCAGCTAAGTAATCAAACAGTTAATTAGAATCACAGCAATCAAAATTGAAGTCATTTTTAAACTTTCAGGTGACGCCATGTATGATAATTCTTAAGCCATCATAAACTTGTATGTTTTAAGCCTATCAGTCATCTTATTTTCGCTTCGTTGCGTTGCTGAGTAACGTGAAGTTTTTTCTGTGATTTCATATTAATAATCAAAGGTGTATACGAGGTTGGCCATGGGTAAATAATCCTGAACAAATATAGCTGTGCTAGCATTTTAACCGCAGCCGTCATCTTGGAAATTAAATTTCAATAACACTGAATTTGAAATTATATTTGCTGTCCTCAGAATTCCGAAGGAAAGCTTTTGCATCAAAATCTGATTCTTCTGAAATTATTTCAGAAATGCAACTGCACCTAGTTCAGCAAACACATCTTCTGAAAGTAGAACTAACTAGGATGCAAGACTAATTTGGGCTTTTCCGCACGTTTTAAAGAACGTAAAATTGCGCATTCTATTTTGAAGAAAGTATGAAATTAATCACATTAATCACACTGGTAATGTGAAACGGCTCAGTGCATTACTTCACTTTGAAGGATATGATGTTTGCAACAATGCCAACAATTTAAAGCACAAACAGTTAGAAATTATTGCTAACTAATGATATGAACACTGAACAGTAATTTGCACTCTTCCACACACGCGTATCGCCGGCGTAATGTAGGTTCTCGTAAGCATAAACGAGTTTAAAATAAGGATATAAAATATCCAATGTGGATGACAACTCACGACTGCCTTCAGGGGTGTAACTAGAGCGATAATTGGGGCGGGGGGGGGTGAATATTCATATATTCACTTCTGCCCGACGGATTTCTATTGTAAACTATTGCAATTACAAAAAAAATTCGAATTGGATATATGAATATTCACCCCCCCAATTATCGTTCTAGTTTATACGCCACTGACTGCCTTACCATAGACTGAAACACCTCTGGTCGTTTTAACAGCAAACACTTCTATGCATTGCTACTAAATATTTTTTTCTCGGAGAGGGTTGGCTTAGCTGTAACTTAATAAAAACTATCCAGCATGAAGTCATTGAAGTGCCGCACAGCATCAGTTGTTTTACACCGGTAGAAAATTGAGCGAGCATCAAGCATAGCTAAGACAAAGACGGTTTATTGTACACAACAACTGTTACTACATAAAGTACATCTGTTGTGATATTCAATATGGCGACATCGTATCATTATAAACAAAGTAAAAACCTGACTTCGTAAAGCCCGGCACAGCAAACCTGAGTAAATCTTTTTTACAAATTTTAAGAAATAAAATGATTGGACCAAAAACATCACTGTTTATCCAACTAGTTCTGGCAGCAGGCATTGGGGGAGCCATTGGGTTTTATATACAAAATAAAGTCTGGTCCGTTGAAAAGGTGGGTCTGGTGGGAAACACTTAACAGTAACCCACAAACCATCGGAGATATATAAGACCATAGACAATCCAAACTGTCTTTGGATTGTCTATGATAAGATATAACGTTCTGAACTGGTTCAAAATTTGATCTAACATTCCTCCCATTGCGGTTACAATAGTCGACCGCCCTTTCTAAGGACAAAGGATTGTGGTGTTTTCACTGTTTTTGCTTTGTTGTTTACACAGTGATATCTCTGATATATTTAAAGTGCCTTGGAATAAAAATCTTAAATGTTTTAACAAAGATTTTCTCGTGCTATTACAGGTAACACTGTCGCTTACGTAAATATATAGGTATAGCATATCTAGCTCCAAATGGTTATCATGTAAGGCATAATGTTGCAATGCAAGCACAATGTTCCTACAAAGTGGTGCGCAAACGCTGAGATTTTCATGAGAGTTTAAGTATTTATTGTATGGGTACTCCTTTGGTGATTATTTGTTCCCATGTCGGGAGTTGGCTAATCTATAGACATCTTTAATGCAATTCCTGCTTCGTCTTTAATAACGAAGGAAAATCGGGGGTTTTACAGCGTTAGTTAACCATTGGACATAACATAGTTGACAGGACAATAACTCGTGTGGTAACTAACATAAGTCTAACCTTGTAATCCTGTTGAAGGTGGATTTTGAAACGTCAGCAACATTACGCGAGCGGCGAGCGATTGAATACCACGTGTAGTTTTCCTTCTCGACTCACAAAACTCGCAGCAAGGCTCTCACAGCAACGATGTTTTCTTTATTTTGAACGTTTTTATATGTTGTCATTTTGTCAGGCGGATTAAGTCCAGAAAATCGTTTTCGACTTTCGTGGCGCTAAAGTCTATGGGTTGTAAAATACTCTTTGCTCGGAGAGTTGGTTGAACTGTTCGATTCCTGCTTTAGTAAACTGCCGACAGTGAATTTGTAATTGCTTGTATTTTGCTGCTCCGTGTTGCAAATCCCCAAAGGTAGAAAGCGCGCGTTTAAAGAAAAAAGAGCGACGATAATTAGCCTGTCGCAATGTATGTATATTGTTAAAGACAACTATCAAGAAATACTGTAATAATAGGATTTAGGTTACACTGCTGATCATTCAATTTTGTTTGGATAAAGTAAAGCAAAAGCACACAGTCAGGCGTAGCTTAATTATGCGTGAAATGATTTTTACTATTGATTATCAAAATGAATATTATAATAACATGATCCTGGTAGTGGTGTAATGTAATAAACCAGACAATTTAACACTAACGAATCTCGCACTTCGTTGAATCTCGGCTACCCCTGGCGTATGTAATACCACCTCGGGCGTACCGCTACCCCGGGAGTATGTAATACCACGTACCTCAGGCGTACCGCTACATCGGGCGTATGTAACATGCCCCTCATTTGAATGGAAATACCTCCGTAGAAATGCTATAAGATTGAGATCTTCCACTCAATGAGTTTGAGTGTGTGTGACTTTTTTTAGGTTGCCAGAGTCATATTTCACTTTTTCTTGAATTAATTGCCACAAGCATCCGTTGTTTTAATACATTTCTCATTGGCTTCTTATTTAAAGCGAGTAAATTTATTGTTTTTATACCTGAATTTCTTTTTAGGAACAGATTATTTCCGATTTAGAAGCAAAGATTAAAGAAAAGAAAGAGATAATAAAAATACTAAGAGAGAAAAACGATTAAAATAGAAAATATTTCGATAAAGCAGGTATTCATATGGTGTTAGGCGAGAAAGCATAATTAGTATCGAGTTTTAAATAATGTGTGGAATTCTTAGCATGGCTAGTATAAGTGATACTTGCTGTACGATAGAATAAACACTATAGAATAACGATAAAGTTGCTCAAGGAAAGACACTGCGTCTCTCCAAAACAGCGTTTGATGTACGCCAATTGATGCATGAATTTTTGACAGTGAAAGCAATAAAAGTACTTTATTTTTCCTTAATTGACAAAACTATTTGTCATAAGCATCTGTTTCTTCATTTAACTAGGTTTTCAAAGAACCAAAAGTTTAGTGCAATCTATATATGTTTACCCCATGTTACATGTATTCCTTAAGATAGCTAAAGTTTTAGTGATAGCTATTTTACTTTTTATATATTTATGAAAACTTTGCACTGCGAGGACAATGGTTTATTGCAAATGAAGCAATATCGATCGTACTTTCACAGTACCACGTTATTATTGTCAATTATTATTCACCGAAGAAATATTTTCCCACCAGGGTTAAGAACATTTCTCTTGTGGTTGTCTGTACTTCCTGAGTTGCACGGATCGTGTGACGGATAACAATAATTTTCTGATCCATCAAACCGATAAAACGTGGTGGATGCATATATACGAGGCCCACAATCGCTTTCCCAGGAGATAGCATATGGTTCTACTCCTTGACATGCGGTAGCGACATTTTTTATATTTCTACATGATAGATCTCCATCAACATCACGAACCAAGCTTCCACCATCCGGTTTACAAACAATCCAGTCGTTAATATTTGATTTGATTAAGAATTCTTCTCCAATCTGTTGCCAAAGATTATAATCCATTGACCCTAGTGTTGTTTCATTCTGTGGAGCAACGACAGAGATCTCAACATCAGCTATGGGAGCTGGCCAGTTTGGACGTGGGATTATAGCATTGCTGTCATGAAAAAAGTCGTCGTAATTAGTGAAGGTGTAAGAATAGACAAGTGTCCAGCCTCCTCCGTATGTATCCATGTCACAGTAAACTTGGGTTTTGTTGTTGATCATCGCTCCGTCTGATATATTTAATTTGATCCAGTACATGCCAGAGCTGGACTCGTTGCTCCGACTCTTAATTTCTAAACACGACTCGGGAAGATCGTTTTCGTCATTTTCATTTGCTAAAAAATTTGAAATATGCTTAAAACATTTATTTATGTTATGAAAAAGCTTCATATAATCAAAGATTGGAGAGTTTCTATGCGCGATAAAAAAGTGCTGTAAGTTAATGACTTACATATTTCACACAAACTCCCCGTTAAGCCATCCAAACACACACATGTCTCAGTCATTTTATCGCAACGTCCATTATTTTGACACTCGATGAAGCAGCAGCGATTTAAAGTCTGAAATTACAATAAAAACTTGCATAGTTGACGTGCGAATAACGTATACTCTGCACCAGACATTATATATAAGGTGTAGACTTTATAAAGTGCTTTGAAGGATATAAAATTGCAATGACAATGTATCCCATTTATTACAGCATATGTTAAACATTTCTGGACTCTACCTCATTTTATTCAATAAAGCATCTATTTTATGTTGATCATGTTTGACTTTGTACAGCATTGCTCTTACCTTGTGAACATCAATAAGTTCGTAATAACTAGCATTTTCATCTCGAACTAAAGTGCTGGAAGAATTCAAAAGCACTTTGTTTAACTGACAATTCCCCTTGTATAACGTTTGTTCGTGGTAGGTGATTGATCCACAACATTCTTCATGTAAACATTGGAAGCCACAATCGACTGCAGACGTTGCAGAGATGTTTTTCAATACATATTCACTACTTAATCTGAGCCCTGAAAATGATAAATGTACGGGACTGGTTTCACACATTTAACAAAGTCAGTTCAGCGTCACCATTAATTGCATTCGCATTGTGAGTAAGATGGTAAAGAAGTGTCAATCTCGCATCGGATTGTTTCGCCGATTTTTGTATTAATAAATGTTTGATGAAATATGATCTGTGGATATTTATCAGCGCTTTTGACGAGAGATTTGGATCAATCGGCCAAGCATGTGCGATACAGCTACCCCCTCCCCATATTCCTCCACAAAGAATTTACTGGGTATGCTTCCAAAGATATACCATATATAGCCAACTACCTAATTCGTTTTTCATCTTTTTGAATAACCAGCCTCTCTCACAAGAGCATCTGAGAAGAGAAAGGACTGGCTTTTTAGCGATATATACTATTTTTGTCAGTGCGTTTTCGAAAGATCTTATGGAATTGACTATAATGAATATAGATATTCAAACAGTTTCAAAAGTCTTGGGCCATGTAGACAAAGTCGTACAATATTTTGCTCCCTCCCTCACCCCTTAATCAATGTTGTTTAGACCTAACTTATGCGTGGATGTTGCTCATCGCATCAATAACATTGAATATGGGGATTGAACAACTGATAGTTCCGTTATAGACGAGGTTTACAGCTATTTTCGCTCTTAATTACTAAGTATCCCAACTACTTTTGAAAGTTATTGCAGTTTTATCGCATGAACACTTGAATACTCAGAGACACAGACGACACAGTGTATCTTTGTAGTAGTAATTCTTTAGAATTCTTAGCACAGAGTATTTTGAGCAGCCACGTAAAAAACATCATCAGCATCTCGTAACACCTAACGTTGTTCACATTGACACTGCATTCATAATGGTTTATATTAAACTGCATATACATTATATTTCCATATATGGATAACATTTTTAATGCATTTACGATTGCATTTTCTCACTTTGATCGATAAGCATATTCTGGCACTGCAGGTTTTAATCGCGAAATAGCTAAATAAACGGCTGCAGAAATAAATTTATTTATATATATAAATTTATTTCTGCAGCCGTTCATTTAGCTATTTCGCGATCAAAAACCTGCAGTGCCAGAATATGAATAGTTTCTACTGGTTCGTGTTGGCGTAAAAATTACAGATATTTTCCGCCTGACGGTCATATCCCCCCCCCCCCTTTTTCGACCATTTAATTTTAAACTAGAAGTCTTAATAACCTGATGAAGTCCTTCATGTACACGTTTCTAGCCTTAGAGCTAGGTTTTGATGCAAGATTTAATATTTTTGGGCATTCTTTTAAATTAAAGCAATATATGAAATATAAAAAAGCAAATAGTGCTCAAATGAAACATTATCAGTTTTACATGTTTTGGTGCAGCTGCATGGACTCGCTCGCAGTCTCGCATCAGTATATATTTGAAAGGAATTAGCCTATGACAATATATGGCTATATGGCTATATGTACTTGATAAGTATTTCCCGAGCTATATGCATGTATAAACGTTGTACTCAGTTTTGCCAGATTGTTTCAGTATACTTTGTTTTGTTTTATACTTACAGCTTACCTTTCTGTGCAATTTTTTGGAAAAAAACATCACTTTGAAAAGGAAAGGAGGAAGGAAAACCAATAAAAGCAAAGAATATAAAAGAAACCATCTTAAACTGATTAAGACAAACTCATTCCATTCTGGCGACAGTAAACTGCAGTTTACAACATGCAGTGTGCACGGTAACAGCTCCTCTCAAGCACCTGCCAGTTGGCGTCCTACAGCAAAATATCCAATCAATGTCATTTGGAGTAATTGTAGTGGTAATGGAGTAAAGCAGGTGTTTCTAGTTTATAATTGAAACAAACCTACAGGCTACAATAATATAAAAATGACACTTTTTGTTGAATGTAATATTGCGGCCAAAATGGTCGTGAAAGACAAAGTATCATCCATTACTTATATATGCTATAGAAACCTAGTTTTTCCCGTGCGCATGAAAAATGCGGATATAAAAACAGCCTTGTTAATTTGCAAACTGCAGTTGCCATTTGGAGTTAATGTGATAGTGACTAATAGGCGTTACTCGATATAATTACGTTTGAAAACGGCCGAGAATTACGTTTCGGCCTTTAATATATTAATAATATCATACCGCCTTACGAAAGCCGTTTAGCTTTATATTTAAAACAGCGGATAAGTTCAAAATGGAAAATAAAATTATCTCTTTATTGGACAACTGAGCTGAAATATTTCAATGTAAATAGTTTAATTGTCAATGGAAGAAGATATTTAATGCATAAGATGCAGGTTTATTCCTTCACAAGATCTATGAGAGCATTTTTATATCAGTTTTGGCTCATTCACTGGTTTAAGCCAAACGCTGCACAAACAATCAGCCCCTGTTTAAGTGTAGAGGACTATTCTCGTGGGACTTTGACAAAATGGCTTTGTCTATTAAAAATGTGCGATCACTTTATAAAATCCAGGATATCATTGATAAAATCATCTATGTAAATGTAGAAATGCGATGCGTTTACAGTAATGTACATAAAATTTACATAAAGTACCTCACGTTCTTTCTTCCAAACAAACGCTGACTAAACATATTTCATGCTCAAATTATCTCGCTCGAATTCTAGAAATTTTTAGCATAATTTGTATTTTCAGTTTATTTGAATGGGCAATGAACTATGTTTTGGACAGTTTTGCTAGTTTTACTGTTTTTTCGTTTTCAATTTACCTTATTCTGCGTGTTGTATCAAGATCTTACTCTGTTGTATTCAAGAATGAGCAAAAATATCTTCAAAGTTCATTTGTCAAGAATGTTAAGAAACATGATTTGCGAAGAGATATGGGGTCTTATGAAACTTATCAAGCTGAATTAAGCTCCAGATACGGAAATAAGATATACGCTGTCGTATCATTCAAGTCTCTGATCACTCTCAGTCGCAACTATATAAAAAACAGTCTACTTTTGTTAGCTAAAAAGTATCCCGTACTTCAAGCCAGGTCTAAAAGCTATTACAATGCGCATATTTCTTGTATAAAAAGGGAATTTATTGTCAATCATGAAGAAACATTTGATCCAGAACTAAGATTTGTAAATACAAGTAATTGGAAACTGGTGCTAGAAGAAGAATTAATGGTAAATAATGAAAGATCAGATGATGAACTCTTTTGGAATGCCATTGTTCTACGAGAACAATATGAACCAAGAGACAAAATGTACATTAATACTTTGTTGTTTCTATTTGATCCTGTTATCATTGATCGGATCTCCATTGTAAAGTTCACGCAGGAATTTATCACCATGTTATGTCAACTTGTCAACTGTGACATTCATATTAATACCACAAGAACATCGCATTTACCTGTCCCAACAGAAGATTACTTAAGACAGCCATTTTTATTGAGGATATTTTCAGTGTTAAAACAAGTCATCATGGGTTTTGCTTGTAGTCGGGTTTCTAGCCAGCAGAAAGATAGCCAATGCAAATTACAATCTAAGCCTTTAATAGTCATGAGAAGTCTATCAGAGGAAGATACTGCTCGGCTGCTAGGATATTGTAGCAAATTTAACTGTTCTTTGACAGCATTATTCATTGCAGCATGGTCCAGTGTTATGTCTGGTCGTGTTGGTAGTAGTAAAGCTTTATGTCATAAAAAACCAATATCTATAGTTGTAGACTATCGACCATTGATGGAAACTGATTTGTCACAGGCATATATCATTAGCAATTGCAGCTCAACTTTGCAACTTCAGTTATTATCTGATCAAAAGAAAAAAATAAGACATTTTGGATCAAGTGTTAGATATTATGAGGATCTGTTGCAATCAGTCATAAGGAAAAAGAAACACTTAGATTTGATATGGCTGCATAAATATCAAAGGGAATGTTTTGGCAGATTTTCACCTTTGGAAATTGCAGACATTGGAAGCTTTTGTTTCAATGAAACATGGCCGTTTTCTCTGCATGATATTTATATTGGTGCAAGAACCACATCAACTGTAAACTTGACTTTAGTACTTTTAAATAACAAGTTATATTGTGGAATGCATCTAAACTCACATTTTAGTGGTTGTGCAAATTTGCTAGATGCTTTGTTTGCTAGAATAGTACAGAAAATGTCATTGAGAATTTAAATTTTTGTAAATCTTTTCACCTACTGTAAATATCAATAAAACTGTTTAATACAACATCTGCAAATCAACACTAAATATTAGTATTATACATTGAACTGCTATTGAAGCATGTCTGTTGATTTTACTGCCCTCAATATTTTTTGCTACCTCATGACCAGTTTCTGTAACAACCCATTTCCTTGAATTTTTCCCTTTAAAGCTGGGCTGAAAGTTTTGGCCTGCGTAGCTGGGCTCATGTAAACAGCCCCTTACTCAACTCACACATCAATCATTTGGTAACAATGCAACAATGCAGTTTCTGTATATTACATTTCCAGCCTGACAATTTAGTCCTGCTATGCAAGTTATTAACATTTATTTCTTTGGAAATAATTATTTTTACAGTCAATGAACACCAAATTACCAACTACCAAGTAAAAACTTCCACAGCATCATCATAAGAAGGATAGTGAAGGTGGTCCTATAGCCATATAGATATAGAGAGATAGATGAGAGCCAAGAAGGGGTTTCCGATCATTACCTTTCCAAGTATGCCTGGCAAATCTATCCCATCTCAATTAGTATAAATATTTTTTTAAATTTTTGTAAAAACCGTCCCTAAAGTCCCTTGGACAATTCCCTTGGACTTTGGAGAGGCGAAAATCGCGCTAAAATCGCGCTACTGCTAGGTGAAAACGGGGGTGAAATTTGGTGGGTGAAAACTGAAAAGTGAAAAGGTAATCCTGGGCCTGGCGCGACCAAGTTGCAAAATTCAATATGGCTGCAGATTGGAAGCGATTGTCTTGCAAAGCCGATGCCTTAAATTTAGCAATCACTCTTGCATGTGGGCAAGCATTTAGGTGGAGGAAAACAAATTTTGAAGAATGGTGTGGTGTTCTATCTGGCAAAGTTTGGACCCTCAAGCAAAGCTCTGATGAGATCTTTTACAAAATAAACTGTCCCAGTTTGTCAGAGTTAGACTCTACTGCAAATGAGAATATTCTGAACGATTATTTCCGATTAAATATTAATCTTAAGGATCTTTACGAAAGGTGGAATAGCAAAGATGAGAATTTTAAACATGTAGCTTCAAATATTCCTGGCTATCGTCTACTTCGACAAGATCCAGTAGAGAATTTATTTAGTTTCATTTGCTCTTCAAACAACAATATTGTTCGTATAAGTTCAATGGTAGAATCATTATGTGCCAAGTATGGAGACATCATTGCTGAAGTTAATGGTGTAGTATATCACGATTTCCCATCAATTGCCACATTAGCAAAACCTCAAGTAGAACAGGAATTAAGGGAGATGAAGTTTGGTTATAGAGCTAAATTCATTAATGAGACAGCTAAAATATTAATGAAGAAATCTGATAAAAATTGGTTGATGTCATTACGAGATGTTCCATATTCAGAGGCACATGCTGGTAATTTAAAAGTTACTATTCCAAAATAAAATTGATAATGCATTTAGTCATGGAAAGGCATAAAAGATAAGAGCCTGCTTTACGGAATGTATCCAGAATAGCTAAGCCTAACATTTTTTTTTGTGTATTGGTTTGTTTCAGAGCTCTGTGAGTTGCCAGGTGTTGGAGCCAAGGTAGCTGATTGTGTTTGTCTTATGTCATTGGACAAAACCAATGCAATTCCTGTTGATACTCATGTTTGGCAGATATCATGCAGAGATTATAATATCTCAGAGTTAAAAAAGAGCAAAACTTTGACAAACAAAGCTTACAAAGCCATCGGTAAGTTGTTGGAATAAAATCATTTTTGTAATTGGCATGAATTTTTACTGAAGTACTTTGTTACGGTAGCTCTGCAGGTAATGTTGACATGTCTTAATAGTTACCAATGAATTGATGAGCTACATATATATACATATATATTGCCAGCATTATATATATATTTGTATTGCCAGCTAATACTTTTTTTGACCAGATTATTTAAATTTATCTGCTCCAGGTGATCATTTTCGTGAGCTCTTTGGACAACATGCTGGCTGGGCTAATTCTGTAAGTTTATTTTGAAGAAAGTAGATTATGCAGGTTGGCTTAATAGTAAAACAGTAAAACAATGTGATTGATATTTGAAGTGAATTATCTATATATCCAAGGTGAAATAGATGACTTCTTAAAATGAATAAATTCTTACAGTTGGCACCATTGGTATGATTCCACTGCTCCCTAAAACTATCCTCCATTAACTAATCTTTTCAATCAATAGGTTTTATTCAGTGGAGATCTGAAGAAATTTCAAAATTTCAAGACAAAGAATGATAATGATAACAGGAAACTAAAAAGAAAGTCAAGTACTACTGTGACTACCAAAAACAAGAAGGAACGTAAGAAATAAGTACATTATATATATAGATCTTCCTAATCCACGATTGTAATTTATATTGTATGATAACATATTTGGCCCTATAACATCTATCTATGACACAATTGAGTGTTGTTCTCAAAGTATTTTGTGAAGGTCTGTGATGGTGTTACCCACCACCTTAATGTATTTTTGTTTTAAAAGCAGCCTGGCATGGTGTTCTAACAGCAATAAATACAAAGAATGGCACTACAATTTTGCTATGTCATATTCTGTTCTTATCACGTTCTCATGTACTTTCTAATTTATCCTACGACACAATTCTGATCAGCATAAACTTGATAAGAAATTGTTCCGTAACTGTCGTAACAATTTTGCTTACACGGTCATTTTGACCGGTAACGCACTTTTTAAGGTTTTAACGCATTATGGTTTAGTTCAGTGCCAGTGGGGAATAAAAAACGAATAAAAATAATTAAAGTTTGTTTTTGAAAAGACAAAAACAATGAATCATGATTAAAAAATGCAATACATCCAAAGTATTGATCTTATTATATTCACCTAATAACAGGTTATGAATCCTTTGCACAACGAAAACCAAGGTTTGATGCGGAGCTATCTGGTGTGTTTTTACCTCTGGCAGCACATCTGTATCTGTAGCAGAATGACTAAAACAAGGGGAAAATAAGATAAATTACTGTAATGGACTTTATAATTATGACCTGCAATTTTGTATGAAGTCTAACTAAGAAAATAAAAAAGGATTTGAGCTAGGAATATATTTTCACTAGTTTATTGTGAGCGGTGGTACGTTTATTGCAATGATGTTGATACCGAATGAAAAGTTCATTTTTACGTCGTAAAATCTTTAAACTTCCTTCGCGAGAATTTCAACTTTCGTCAACCATTTCAGTCTTATTCAATCGCACCCGCTACCTCGATAATCCAGCGTAATATGAAGTTAACAGTGTTTTCATCGTCACCTTATGACACATGTAAGATCCTCCTTTCTTTACTTTGTCTTTACCGAAACTAGGGCCAACCTAAATAAAATAGATATTCATAGTGCAGCCAGAATTCACTTTATAATTTATATTTAGCACGAAATATTATTGATCGATTGTCTGACAACATGATTTTTTACAATATTTTAAAATACATTTTATTTGTGAAATATTTTTGCTTATAAAATACTGATCACGAACAGTCAAAAAGGACAATCCAATTTCCATAAAAATTTCCCATGAATTAATCACGCTGAAATTAAATTTGTTATTCCAGCAAAATTCTGACAAATTAACAATATCACGAAAAGTGTGTGTTGGAGCGAAATCACAGTTTTGCATGTTCCTTAATAGATTGCCATGATTTAACGAGCTTCATTAGCGCAGGCAAATGTCTTAGTCAAACTTTACCTTGGCTCAAGTATCATTTCTAGTAGTCGGCGTAAGCACGATTTGCCATGAAAAAAGACGTAATAACTTTAAAAGTTATTGAAAGTGTCTCGTTGAAAGTTATCGAAAGTCTTTCGCGGAACAAATAAATAAAAAAATCGATCCGACACTTTCAATTTTAAGATCGTGTTTTTCGCCAAAGTCGATGAATTGCTTTTTGACGAATGTTTGTACATGTCATGTTCTTTCCTATTTTAGAGATATTCTGTGGTTAAACATTTCACTTACAGGATTTTCGTAGAATTCTTTGGTGTGTCTGATGCCCCACCAATCAGCTGTCCACTCCCAAACGTTACCAACCATATTATGAAGATCAAAATTATTCTGTTTGAATGTCCACACAGGTGCTGGTCCATCATGACCATCCTCACCCTTGTCACTGCTTGGAAAATCACCTTGCCAAGTATTACATTGATGTTTTCCTTTCACTTTGAAAGTGTTTCCCCAGGGAAACATCCTGTAGTAGAATACGAGGAAAGAAGATGTGAATACTGTGATAAATCTTTAGCCAAAGTAAAATAAACAAATAAGACACAATATAGGAAAAACCAGTAGGAAAAGTTCCAATCAATCACGAACACGGTACAAGATCTACAATATAAAATTTAAGAGATCACTTAAATTAGCATAGAACCAGGTAAACCATACTTTTTCTGCAATCCACCACGACAAGCAAATTCCCATTCTGCTTCAGTAGGGAGTCGTTTACCAAGCCATGTACAATATGCCATTGCATCATTCCATGACACATGTAGAACAGGATGATCTAATCTAAAAAGGACTGCATACTTGCATTTATTTGTATCATTTCTCAGTTATAAATAACAGCTCTTCGCCCATTTTGCCTAACTATATTTACAGATTGATACACAGCAAACATACTATATGTCTTGCAACTTTGTAAAATATGGTACAATATGCACCTTGACATGATACTAGATCCCAGACCTTCTGGATGTTTCCAATTTGCTCCTTCAACTGGTAGCCACCAAGGAGAACCAGCAACCTGAAATTTTCAAAAAAATTCTTAGAATGGATGACTACTGTATACTCTATGTATGTTCTAATATTTTAATCAGAAAATGTTAAAAAAGCCCACTTACTGCTTGGGTAATTCTTCTTTTTATGTCTTCATTCAGTTTGCTTTCAAGGACAAATGAGGTGCCAAACTTTTCTGCCTATTTGTTGTTTAAATATTTATACTACAATGAATATGTAATGATTGGAAAATAGTCTGCACTGGCCATGAATTTTAACCCTCTGCATAATTCTTGCTTAACACCTTCTTAACACCAGGCGATGTACGTCCTAGTACCTGGTAATAAATTCTTTTCTTCATCAGGTCATATTGTGACAAGAAAATTAGCAACTATAGCTAGGAGTAATTAATTAACAATTATTAACTTTGTTAGTACAACCTATAATTGCTGCTTTCAAATGAGGAAATAATATATTATATTCTGGGCATTAACACAAAGTATTTTTTGTATTTAATTCTAACATAATAATGATTCACTCACCTCAGTGACATAACCAGTCTTATTAACAAAAATTCCAAAATCATGATTGCTAACTTCATATTGATCCATATGAAATGCACCCAGCTTAACAGCTCTTGCTGGACCCTCACCATCAGATACAATTTTTGGGTTATCAGTTCCCATCAGAAATGTCTCACCTTTTAAAAGTACCATTGAACTATACTTAAGGCCATGAATATGTTCTGGGTTGCTATGGAAAACGTTTGGTTCTGTCCACTTATTCTTTTCAGGATTGTCCAGTTTTTCTGACTTTTTAACTATGCTATCAGCTCGAGAGGTTTTTGAACACCCACAATCTCCTACGGTTGCATCGTTACAATCATTTGACAGTGAGGCGCTATCCTCAGTTGAAATGACACAAGAAAAGAGCAGTATGCAAATTGCAAGAACGAACATTGCTCTGGTTACTTGAAATACGGTCAGCGCAAGAAATACACAGTTATATCCTTTTAATAAAGTTGTAAAGAATATTTTACATCTTTAAAACATTCTTCTTATCAAGTTGCTAAAGGAACAGTATCCGAAATCGAAATTCAATATATTATTTATCGTTTTTATCGTGAACAACCATAGTTATTACCACAGAGGCTCAATTCTGAGTCTGGTCACTCCCCCCTGTTTCTTTTTAAATGGATTACTGCATTTTTCAATTTTCATCTCGGCGTGAGAAGTGAAATGCATTGTTTAAACACCGGCCTAAACACGCCATTTATTTTTGTTCTTACTATCTTATACACATTTTAAAAGATGTAAAGAGCAAAGCAACTTGGGGTCAAAAGCAATGGCTCAGAGAATAGAGCAAGGCGAAGAGAATGTATTAATTAATGCCAAACACTCTTCGACTCATCACAGCCTAAATAAACTGATATCTGTTGAATTAATATAACATTAATTTATTCAATTTAAACCGAGAACCCCCTCCCAAATTTTTAAATTGGCGATGGATTGACGCCTTTTTAGTACATGTAAAATTCTCATTACCCAAAACTTTTCACTACCGGCAAATTTTTAAAATTCTTTTACGACAGTGTTGTGGGGATCAAACCCAGAAGCCACACACGCGTTTTTATCATTATGAACGAACACGTTTTGGTTTGGCCCCAGACATGGACACTGTTTTTCAAAGCCAAACGAAAAGGAGGGAAACCGGAGTGCCCGGAGAAAAACCCTCCAATGGTAACCTGAATTTCAGGTTACCTGACCGGCGGTCCGAATTTGGTATTTTTATTAGAAATCGTCCGCTGTTACGGTTCAGTTTTTATTTATAGTTCATGCACTGTTTCAGTTCCGCGCAATCCGAACCGAATCTCAGGAATTACCAATGAAATTCTCGAGCTTCGTTAACTCGGTCCTGCTGGTGGTCTAACCCGCGCAGCGCGCATGCTCGTCGGTTGCAAAAAACCGTGCTCTTAGAAATTTAAAAGCGCTTTGTCTGACAGTGGCAACAAAAATTATTTCAATTATTCAAATGATCATTTTATGATAAAGAATACGAATCTTTTTCATCTCAAACCGATGTAGACAACACTCACTCTTCTACTACTCCCAGTTCTTAAAACATGCACCTCATGCACCGTTTTTATTTATTTTTTTTTACTTTCTGGATTACGATTTTTTTACGGTTGAAGGTCTTATACAAAAATGAAAGAAATAAACGTAATTGGGCTCAACATGCAACTTACTCACTAGGGCTATATAATCAATGTCCCTTACCTTTCGCACCGTATAATAATTACCCTTGGTAAACAATGTACAGAATTTCACTTGCTTCTCTGCTCCATTCCAAACAGTTGTGTTCTTCTCCAACAACATCTCGACGGTGGGCGTGCAAAAAAATTAAACAACATAGTAAGTGTGTCAAAATGCAAAGGGTTTCTCTTTAAAGGTTTATCTTTTTAGGCAAGATGATATTATACAATATTAACACCTGCAGTTTGAACAGTATTCCCCCAGATAACCCCACTATATAAGTTCAGTCCAGTCATGCAATATGTTAATTGTGATGTATCAAAGTTATAATCAAACTTCTTCAAGTTGGTCAAAATGATAAGAATATGTTTATTTCCTTCATGTTTGAGATCAACTCATTCAACTGGATTTTCAGAGTTTAAACGACAATCCGAAAAACTAATAACAACAAGGGAAACAGAAGAGTGATAATGTCTAAACATGCAACAGTCATTTTTTCTTCATTAATTCAAACTCCAATCATTAGAATTTAAATGCTCAAAGACAAAATTATAATTTTTGATGCCACAGACAGACGGTCCTTCGGATAGGTCGCATTATAACAGGCTAAACAGAGAACTTATATAATCATATAAGTACACTGGATTACCTTCGTATTAATCTAAATTTAGGCCAATACGAAGTCGATATATTTTTCGTTGCGTGCGCGTCGATAATGCTTGCTAATTGCATTCGCTTACTTTTATTTCAACATTTAACGCCAAATCTATGCCATCTACGCATTTTTCCGTAGACAGTTAAGTGAGTTAAGCTGGTCTTATATTTTTCAAGTTTTTCCACGATAAATCGTTAAAATTCACACTCAAGTGACATACAGTAACTAGGAATGTTTCATAACTTCGAAAACGCCCTCATAAGAGCTGTGAGAATTTCCTGTTATCATGCATTGTCGAAATAGTTGAATGTCACTTGATGTGTGAATATACTAGGTTAGACCACCAGCAGGAATCAATCCGAGAATAAAACATGCACATACATTAATCATGCATTACTCTAATTGGTATACTTTTAGTATGTACCTCAACCAGCTTCTACTTGTACACCATTCGCGTCGTCCATTCGTCCGTCTGATCCTGCGACGATCCTTCATCATCCTTCTGATCCTGCGATAATCCTTCACAACATCTGATCTTTCGACAAGAGAGAGATGTCACTTATGAATATTGCAATCGGGATAAAATGATCACTAAAAACGCGATTGTATACCTTCGACGATCCTGCGACGATCCTTCATCATCCTTCTGATCCTGCGATGATCCTTCACAACATCTGATCTTTCGACAAGAGAGAGATGTCACTTATGAATATAGCATTCGGGATAAAATGATCACTAAAAACACGATTGTATACCTTCGACATCTCCTACGCCACTCGTCCAAGGCCTTCGCATTGCGCACGCGAATACAAAATTTCATGCACGTTTTGCAGGAAATATTCATCGTTTTCATCATGGTCCTGAGAAAACTATGACACTCGACTTTTTTCTCCTTCTAGAAATACAATTTCTCATGCATTTTCAGGTTTTAGGTGCTCTGTGAGCGATATTTTTTGTCCGGACTATTGCCGTTCAAGATGGAAAAAATACAAGTGATGGGGCCCCAAATCACTTGTATTTACTCCGCATGCGCTTGACACGACCAGATTATCATGCAAAAACCGCAAACCGAAAATTTCAAAATCAAGGAGGCAAACAGAAGAGTGTTCAGCATCTCAGCCAAAAAAGCCAAATCCCATGCAATTTATTTTATTCATGCATATTTCAACCGAAATCAAATTGAGTTTTGTATTTGCGTGCATAAATGTCCCAAGGCGACATCCATCTCTGACGATTGACGATTCATTCATTCCTGAAAAAATAAAAAGGAAAACCTTATTAAAAAAAAACTATTCACGGCCATATGATTATGAAGCCTAGTAAACGTAACTTGCTTTCCCGAGAATTTTTTATTTTGTGGTAAAACTATAGTAGATATGAGAAGCAAAGTACAGCATGGTACAGGTAAGATGTTTTGTAAGTACAAAACCACAATAGATCAACTGAAATAACCCAGTACACGTCATGTCTAGCATGACATACATACATGTAATCAAATATACCGGTATTTCCTGTAAAAATATTTAAACTCACATGAGACGTTGACGGGCAAGTATTCACGATACGACAATTGTGTCCGAAAACGGCATTGCGCCAGACGGAAAAGTTTCAGCCACTTCGTCTTGGAAAAATTTAGGATAAACCCCAAAAAGTTCATTTAACCAATATACTCGTTTCGCCCAACGTGTACAAACGTGTTATTTCAAATCACAAATGCAAAACACACCAAGTAGAACAATACCTATTATTCGCTGCGAGCAAGCGTTTGTGTTTCGCCTTCCCAATCTTTCGGCGCCGTAGTTCGTCCTGAAATCAAATAAGCAAGGAAAAACAAATTCAAGTTAATAGCTCACTTGTATTTGACATTTTCAATCGAAATAGACAAGATATAGCAGTGAAAATCGGTGAGAATATGCCTCCAGTCGCTAATGTCGTCTGGCTATTCAAAACAACACGACGATCAATCAATTTTGCCTAAGATCAAGCCAACAGATTCTACAATCAACCACCAGCCATGCCATGGTTAAAATAGATTCTATTATTCCTGATGTAGCTACCTGAGTAAAGATTCTTCCAACTTTTCTCTATACTGCTTCGAGTGATCCTTCCTTTCCTATGACTTTTGCCACAAGTTCAACCACCTTTTATTGCCTGAAAAACATTGCATCGGACAATGCACTTTATGCATCGATGGCACTCAAGTCAACAATGAGGCCTGTTTGTGCTTCTCATGGGACGGACTCCCCATTGATTAACCATTGTTTTAAATCTCTTTCGCAGAAAGAACGACGTTTGAAACAGGCATCGTGTATACAAGGTGTCTCAAAGCACCTCTGGGAATTGAAAATGGCTTTTATTCCTTCATTTAAAATGCTAAAAGCATTTTACCTGAACTGTATGGTGCAAACCCGAACAATATTAATATTCTTGCATATTTAAGTGGTTGCGTTTTTTTTGAGACACCCTGTATGTAATTTCCCCAACCCAGTTTGGCAGACTTGCCCAAAATAAATTAGCCAAACAAATTTTTACAACCTTAGCCTTAGGGCAATATGTTTTGCATATTTCTATTGTACGTTGCATGTGATTAATCAAATGCCAGTCCGTGGAGCGACAATGGTCTGTGTGAGGTTCTTCATACTCGAGAAGGAATATAAAGGCCTAAGCCTTCCACAGATTTTTTACTTTGGCAACGAATAAGGAAATTGGACTTTGGCTAGTATGGTTAACGAACCATTATATTTTAGAAAATACCGTAAAAAAGATTCCTCAGAAAATACCGTAAAAAACAAAATTTAATTTTATCGAAAACCAAGATTATTTATAAGATTATTAGAATCTGATCTATCGAGTTCATGTTACCGCCAACTCGCGACCAATAATAACATAACGCAAGTGTAGACTATACATATACCACAAAAATATATTAAAATAACAAGTAATTGTTGTGCAAATTGCTAAAATTTAAACCATATATATAAGGAAACTGATTAGATACGTGATTACAGTAATATTTGAGTATCATGCGCCATGCAGATTCATAGTGCATCGTTCTGCGCAACTTTTAACATCGAACAAATTATATATCTACATTGTCACTTTGCTATGTACTTATTTTGTTCATTATTATTTAATAAAAATTATGTTTCAAGACAAATTAAGTCCTCCTATAGTCAAATTAAATTGTGTAATTAAAGAGTTATAATCTAAATAGCTATTTACTTAATCTTATTCAAAACGAACTTTCTTGCAACTTTTTGCTACTATCTTCCTCATCCGGGCCTTCAAGTAAACCATGATTATACTTTGATGCTGCCTCCTTCGCTGTGTCAGACTGTCCTAAATCACCAGCATTACTATCGTCATCCCCAAAACCTTTATACATTTCTGGTGATGATATGGCCCTCAAACCAACCGCTGTCCCATGGCTTTCATTAAATTTCTTTTTCTTTCGTCGTCTTTTACACAACAGAATAATGCACAGAAGAATGAGCAGAAGGAGAATGAAACCACCAACACTTATATAAACAATATGAATCACTTCAAAACCAGATTCCACATCACAAGCCAGGAAACCATCGTAAAAGCCATGTAAGTGACAAGAGCGGACGACTAAAACTTTCTGACAATAAAATGCAAAGGTGCTCACTGATAATTTACTGTGTTCTATGTTTCCTGAATGAGCAACATCCATTAGGCAGGCTTCGTAATAAAACAAAGTTTGAGTGACAAGCTTGCTACTACAGTATTTGTACAGTTTTCCTGTATAGAACAATTTATGACATTTATTTTCAGCCTCACTCTTGAACTTCCTGGAGTCAAAACTAATTTCATAATCACCTACGTTGGAATAAGGTGCACCTGAGGGTTTCCAGATAGGATTTACACTTTTGGGTTTCATCTCGCAAACGATTTCTCTGTCCAAGGACTTGTTTCCACGGTAATAGAAACCAGCTGTTGTAGCGTTGTCACTGAGTTCAAATAATGTGCCATTTGTGGTCTTGCCATACCCTTCATCAAAACCAAAAAATATGATTAATCCAGCATTATAGCCCTGTACCTTCACCATCAATCCTCTGATAATATCTTCATCTTTACGTGCAAACTGCCAAATTCGAAGTTCATCAAGTTCAACAACCAATTCAATACTGGAAAGTTTTTCTTTTCCATCATTCCCCAAATAAAATCCCTTATCAACATAGAAGAAATGATTGATCATGATAGCATAGTGAATTGACTTCTCTGCCTGACCATTATTATCTACCAGCATTATAACAAGTCGTCCATCCGTGTTTCTCCACGTTAACGAAAGATGCGTCCAGAGAGAGTTGTTTACCATCAAACCCGTTTTTATTGTCTGATTCCCCCATTTTATAACCACCTGATTGTCATACCAGACAGTCAAACTATTTTCATTTTGTGTTATACTATACAAGACTCGTTTCCCTTTTAGTACTCCTCCAACTGTCGTCTTTGCTTCAAACACAGATAACTTTATCCACAGTTCAATGCTGATCTCTGAAAGAACTGGATACGTGAAGTCAACGATTAGTGATAGGTAATTTATCCCTAGCCTCAGCATGTATCCACCACCTGTCCTGTATGCCACTGCATATCCTGTGATCATTCTCGTGCTCTTTACTCGAATCAACTTGTTAATATAATCATCGTGGGTGGCTTGTGTGAAGTCATCCAGTGGTAAGAATGTTGTTGTCTTATTTGATGATGTCATATTACTTGACTCCAGGATATCTCGCTCCCAGTCTCCATTCGATGATCCACACATTCCTTGTCCACCACTGTTCAGTTTTCTAGACACTTCAATGGCAAAGGCTAAAGTATCAAAGTACGCTAATATTGTTAATTTGGTATCGTCTCTGTCCAGGATTTCCAAACGATTTCTATCTAGCCAACGATATCTTTCTTTACCAACTGCTTGCCACGATGTCGAATACCTTGGGAAATTAAGACTTATTAAGTATATGGTTTACTGATTTCATGAAAACATTTGTAGTAATTCACAACTATATCCTTTTAATTGAAAAAAGACCATTCAAATAAACAACAAGTTCACCCTGACAATTTGAAATCGTTCTTAGCTATTTAATTGAAGACTAAACATTATTTAACCTTTCATTATATTTAATAATCAGACCACGCCCTTGTAGTGGAGGTTTTTATGTCTTAATGTTTATAAATAATTGTAATTGGATGAGACAAACTTGGATGAGGCGAAGAATCAATGTATCTAATGAATATACTAAATAATTACCTTAATGTAGTATCCTGTACCAGACTAGAACTGAGATTGCTAAAGACTTTCCCTGATCTTGAAATCCTCACGGAAGTACTCAAAGATTGTGTCTTCAACGCAATTTCTCGAATTCTTCTACATCTCTGCGAATTTTTACATGGTACCTGCAGTACTTCTATCACACTAGATCGGGATCTAAATGTCTCAAATGGTCCCGTTATACCAAGATGATAACTGGCACGGCTAAATGTTGTCACATGAGGATCACCGAACGATACACAAATGGCCGAGTCCTTTAGATAGCTTGAGTTCGAGTATTCAGTTTCAACACTAATTGAACAGTTTTGATTTCTCCAACCAGTTGTGCAAACCGAGCATGGGATTGGAGTGAGAGTTACGTTACCAGAAGTTGTATTCTTTAGACCACCTTGCCACCTCGAATCGCAAGTACACGTGCCATTATTTGGATCACATGACCCATGGTTACTACAAATATCCCACAATCCCCCAGGACATAAACTGTCGCATGCACGTCCCCAATATCCATGTTCGCAGACGCAAACCAAGGATCCGTTTTTATAGGCAGGGCTTCCAAACACACACGAAATATCACACTTTGGTCCAATCCAATACGGGAAGTATTCACCTTGGAAAAGATCACATAACTCACGAGCAGGCCAGAAACTCAAATCAAGAGCATCTTCACAATAGTCCGCATACGCAATCACCGTCTCTATTGCCATGGAAACTGTTTGTGTTGAAGCAACATCCTGTAAACATACTTTGTAATAAAATGCTGTAACCGCAGGTCCGAGTGATTGGCATTCGTCATGAAGAGGACCTGCTAATATAACTGAATAACAAAACTCTTCAGCAAGGACTTTGAGCGTGAAATTCTGGAAAACTACTTTTAGATCTAAATCATTTCTTGGAATGGGAAGGTCTGAGAAATCCCAAACAGGTTTATTAAAGAGTGGAAGGTGTAATTTTTTCCCAGAAATTGGATCAACTGCACTGGGTCCTTGTGCTTCATCAAATTTCCAGAGATGTAACAAACCAGGTAACGAGGCTTTGGAGTTGATGTTCCAGTGCCGCTTGATTACATCAGGAATTGATATTCTATTCCAGATCCGAATTTCATCTACTTCACCATTAAAGTCTCCTTCTGGAACAAGGATTGTCGCTCTTTTTCCTGCCCGCCATGACCCAATATATAGATGACCTGGAAGGAAAAGATGTTCCACGGTTGATTAATTACTTAATTACGGATCCTTTGATACATCGACAAGGCGGTTGTTTTTTTATTCTCAAGTGATCAACGTAATAACGATATTAGAAAAAAGAAAAAAGAAATTTGCTCTCGCAAAGGTTATACGTTAACGTAAGAATTGTTAGTGAGCCAAATGAAAAGAGTGACAATATTTTGGCATTTTACTTACCTTCAATTGGGAATACATGTGTGTTAAACTGGTAGGTCCTTAGAAGAGGTAACCCAAACGACGCGAGATAATCGTGATAATAAACTTGAAGCACAAATGTTGACTTTATCCACACCAACGTTATTTGTGACCAAACGTTAATTCCAAATTTCAGATCTGTTTTATACTCAACTGAACCAAACACTACTCGTATATTTCTTTCATTTGTAACTTTCAGGTACTCATCTTTACCGTAAGATAGTAACGTACCACCATAACTCTTGATCTTAACAAATATCTCAATCGTGATGACGTCATGGTTACCTAGCGACAACAAATCTGAGACGACCTGGCTATCGATAATGCGCATATTAAACCAGGCTCCAGTAATATGTCGTAATTCATGAAAATGTTCCTGTTTGTAGACAAATTGGCTATCGGATTTGTCGACTGTTCCGTTTATGATTGCATCATTTAAGGTTTGAATATCAGTTATATTTTGATAAGATAACCGTTCCAAACAAGAGCCAAGGATTCCGGTGGAATGTTTACAAAATATTGTCGGTAATCGCAGACGAAACGAGAGACTTTGTCCTACGGTTAGCATAATCAGCATTCCATTTGGTCCAGTGATCTCGTAACGGTTTAGCGAAATTCTTGTCATGCGTATACTTGAACTAAAGTAGGTCACATGGTCGACCCTAACCGGCTTTCCATTGGTCCACAGAAGTGGATAATATATGTTCACATTTGTTACACGTGATCTTATCGTGACAAACAAATGACGGTTGAACTGTATTGAGATACCAGTTGTGCAAAGTGGTCGGTATAAAGAGTGATACATACACGGTGTTTGACGCACTTGTACGGTGAAATGTGAGGATCTTGATCGCACAAGGTAAAATTCCCCGTAATTTGGTAGATGGAAGGAAATTCCGAGAAAAGTTGTAAAGTAACCTTGACCTTTAACAGAGGCGATTGAGAATTTTTTCAAATGTCTTACAGCAGAAAATTGACACACGTCACCGAACCAATCAGAACTGCATGTTGAGCAAGTGACATCACCTTTCCAATTTAAATCACATTTGCATACGCCATTACGAGGGCTACACACTCCATGCCCGTGACAAGGGTTAGTGTATCCCCCAGGACACACTTCAGAACAGTCACTTCCCCAGTATCCAGTGTAACACTGACACTTATTATTATCCTTGGTATCCCTTCGCCCAAAGACGCACGGTATGTCACATTTGTCACCAATCCAGTAAGGAAACTCGATATCACCGAAATGATTACATAATTCACGTGCAGGCCAGTTGGATAATGACAATGATTTCTTACAGTAATCCGAGAACTGCACTACAATAGATAACGTAGAACGCAATTGTGATGTCCGTGCAATGGTTTGAACACAAGTTAAATAGTAGAACTGCACAATTGCTCCAAGATTTTTACAATGGTTATACAAGGGCCCACGATAAAACAGATCATTACACCACGCTATGGCCGAGTCTTGTATTGTGTTATTTGCAAAATGATTTTCGAAAGATTGTTCAACATTACTCAGGTTCAAAGCAACATCAGCATCAGACAGGATCCATGCCGATTGGGACCAAACTTCCAATGGTAAGAACAAATGTTCTGAGGTAACTAGGTTGTGTACTGTTTCTCCTGAGCCTTCGTTGAACTTCCATAACCCAGATAGAGACGGCGTGTTAGGAAGAACATTCATTCTCCAATTTTGTTGAGCAGTAACAGGGTTAAATGCCCGATGCCATACCCGTAACTCATCAATAACGCCCGTAAAAACGTCGTGAATACGAATCTCTGTATCCCCAGATGAAGGTTCCCAATATCCGAGGGTTAAAATGCCACCAGGCAAAATAGGATTCTCAGTGATGTTGAATTGTCTACGATTAATAGCGCCATTTTTTGTTATTACGTATATTTCTACTAAATTGCGAGAATAATGCCATGTGATAGTCAAGTGATACCACGTTGCCACTTTGATGTAAATACCAGTGTCTTTTGACCAATCACGACCAAACTCAAGACGAAGGTTACTGTCTATTACTATTCCGAATGTTTTCATATGAGCGTAAGAGAGTAGAGTCCCGTTAGAAAATGCTTTGAAAAGAAGTTCTATTGTAATATCTGTGCCAGTTTTAAATGTCTTAAACAATGCCTGAGATATTAAGCCATTCTGTTGAAAATTTAAGGCATATCTTGCACCAGTAAACAACGTTCTTCTTGGATATATAATGTCCACAACAATAAACAAGCTATCGCTCTTAGCTACTTCAACAAACTTAACCAACTTTTTGTTCAATTCACCTTGGCTGACATTATGAATAGCAAAGCTCTGGTTTCCAAGGGAAACGCTTCCGTTGCGGGGTGGCAAATCATTTTCAGGGTTACCATCACAGTCACCAAGGATTCCATATCCACTACAGTTGGTTTTTTTAATATCCACATTCAACGAAAGTGCAGTACCAACCACATGAACTCCTAATGAAAACAAATCCCTGTGCTTGATAACATAGGCTGTACGAGTATCCTTTGTTATCACTAGTTCAGCGTTACCAGTTCCAAATCGAGTATTTTTCTGAGTGATTGTTTCTTGATTATTGTTAACCCAAATAAAAGGTGGACCTTGATTTGACATTGGTGCGTGAATGACGATAGTTGTGCTTGATAACTCGATTGCGACGGCTACGATACACACACTGTGTGATGCGCATGGTGAATGACGGACTTGAACTGTTACATAATGATCTATATATAGGCGTGTTTTTAAAAGATAGTATTCTCCCACTACAGCGAGATGGAATCCCATGCCATCAAATGTCACATAGTAAGCACTGACATCAACCACAGCAAATACAAACAGTTGAGCAGATGAAACGTGTCTTCCAATAGCTAATGAACAATCAACGCCCTCCCAGTTTATTCCACATACACCACAATCACGTGATCCACTCCAATTGTCATGGCAAAGGCATTCACCTGTATTTTGACTGCAAATACCGTGATCATTACAGGGATGTAATGCTCCGCCCGGGCAAATGTTCTGGCACTCGGGGCCCCAGTAGCCTTGGCGACAAACACAAGAATCAACGGATGCTTTATAATCTCTGTTATAACACCTAAAAAATAAAACATGAATAATTATTGTTCATATCAGCAACCCACCTGCAGGACAGCCCCCAAGGAAGTGTAAACACGAGAACAGAAAGTAAAACTGTTTATACTTACTTTTTATCACAAAGACGCCCAAACCAAATCGGAAACTCCTTCCCGGGAAATCTATTACAGAGTTGTATTGCAGGCCATGAGGGTAAAGCTAGGATAGCTTGACAGTAATCTGAGTATGCGATAACTATGTCCAGCGATGCAGTAATGTCTCCAGCTGTCATAATAGCACTGACACAAGCTTTGAAATAAAAGGTTGATACAGCAGTTCCCAGTTGATTACAAGATGAATGTAAAGGACCTTGAGTGATAATTTTTGTACAAAATGACTGAGCGATATTTTCAAACGTTATATTCCAAGGAAGAGTTGTGCTTGCTGTTCCTGGTAATGGGGACTTTAGGTGAAGTTCTGAATAAACCCAAACTGGACTACGCCACGGGGATGTTTCTAAATCCAACACACTTCCTGTTCGATCTTCTTTGGCAAAAACACCTTCTCCCTCATCGAACTTCCAGAGTCTACCTAAATTCTGTGTATTTACACCAACCTCTCTCAACCATGCTTGACTTACAACTGCCGGGTGATAACTCATTGTCCATATTTTAAACTCATCAATAAACCCTGTAAAATACTCTCGCAGTTGTGGCCCAGATCCGTCCACAGACGGCTGCCAAGCTCCTATTGCTAACACTCCTCCAGGCGGAAAAATGTCCTCCGGTGTACTAAAATCTTGTCTGGTAAGCTGCCCTTTAGAGTTGAAATGGTAAAGTTGTAATATATGGCCGATTTTTTTGAACACTAATACAATTTGATTCCAATGGTTAAGTTGTACTGCAATGTTTGTATCAAATTTCTTGTCTCCAAAATAGAAAGTATAACGAGTAGAAGTCACAGTAAGAACGAATGTTTTGAGTCTTGTGTAGCTGAAAATCACTCCAGCGCTGTTGATTTTGATATAAAACTCTATGGTAATATCATTCGTTTCAAAAGGCTGTTGTATCAAACCAGAGACAATGGCCGTTTGATGGAAATGTAGCGCATATCCTGCGTTCGAGCTTCGATATTCATGGTATGAGCCATATTGGTATATGAAGAGGCTGTCACATGCTTGAACATTGACATTCTGTACAAGTTTTTCGATAACTTTGGTTGTGACATTCTTGATCTCATAGTAATTTACTCTTCCCACCGACGAATTCTCCGTGCAGTTACTCAGTGGAAAACCAGGATACAGACTTTCTAGAAATGGTTTATTGCAAGAGCCTAATAAACCATACGAATGATCGCAGATCACCCCAGAAACCTTGGATATGAAGCTGAGATATCGACCTTGTACTCGAATTGATATTTTAAATGTTGAATATTCAAAGATATATAGAGACATTGATTCTTTTTGCAGAAGGAAACCATAGACTGAGGTGGCCACGTGATGCTCATCCAAATCGATAACGGAGCCATCAAGCCATAAAACAGGATAACCAGCGGTTGTATAAGGGCCATGTAGAACTAGGGTGTGGCTGGCTGTGCGAAAAGCGATGGCATTAACGCACGATGAACGACCATTGCAGTAAACCAAACGAATTTGAACTGAAAAATGGACATGTATAGAAAAGAAAAGATAATATTCCCCAATTACACCCAGTGTAAAACTATGACCATCGAGGGTTGTAAATAAAGATGAACCAAACATTCCAGAAAATCGAATACCTCCGCTTACTACAGTCACTTCTGATATAGCTAACGAGCAATCATTCCCAGTCCACTCAGCTGCGCAGGTGGAACAGTCATCGTTACCAATCCACTCAAGTTCGCATGTGCATCGCCCGGAATTTGGATCACAAGTACCATGGTTCGTACATGGGGTCTTAACTCCACCTGGGCAAGTTTGATCACAAGCCACTCCCCAGTATCCAAAGTTGCATTTGCATTTCTCATGATCTTTTTTGTCTTTCGTGCCAAACACGCAAGGAACGTCACAGTTTTCTCCAATCCATTTGGGGAACAGCTCTCCCGGGAAATTATTACAAAGAGATTGCGCTGGCCAGAGATCGAGGATGAGTGTTTTCATGCAATAATCAGAATATAACAAGACACTTTCCAAACTGCTAGTATTTCGTCCTGTATCTGTAACTGTTTCAACACACATTTCGTAATATTGTCCACGTGTTAAAGAAGGAAGACTAGAACAATAGTCTTTTAAAGGACCACTTTGGAAAAGCAGAGAACATGTCGAATTCGCGAGCTGGTTAATGATATCATTTTCTACATCAGGCCTTGAAATGCCTTTATAAGGAATTGGTAAATCTGAGTAATACCATACAGGCCTATTCCACGGTTTACCAGGAAAATAGAAATGGTTTTTACCAACAAGATCTTTCACAATTTTTCCTACTCCTTCGTTGAACTTCCATAACCCAGTCAGACCATCGATATCTGGTGTTAAATTCACTAACCAATGCTGTTGAAGTAATGCGTAATCAAAGGCGCGATTCCAAGAACGAAATTCATCAATTTCCCCTACGAAAGTTGTCGTGGGCACGAGTCCCAGCCGTCCATTAGGAGAAGGTTGCCATGCGCCAATAACAATAGTTCCTCCGGTCAGAAAAGGATTTGTGAAAACTTTGAAGGACTTACAAAGTAATGTACCCTGGGATAACGTGAGGCAAAGCGACATCTCAAGCCTTAAACTCCAGAATGTCATTGTAATTTGATTCCAGTGTCCTACCTGAACTTGCAAACCTGAATCATACATGTTTGTACCGATGATCACTCTTAGGGTGGAGTAGGTGGATATGTAGACTGTCTCAAAGGAAGTATAGGAAAATATTGGTCCACCACAAATTGAAGGTTCGCAATTCATCTTTACCATCATTTCTAAAGTTATTACATTTTCGATGAACAAATTTGTAACTGGTTTTGAAAATATCGCTGTGAACTTGAAAAACAGGGAAAATCCACCACCGTAAACCAGAACAGTTTCATGCCGCTTCTTATCTAATACGATCGTCCGTTGTGACGAGGAGGATATCCCGAACACTTTACGAACAGCTACGTCGAAATTAGTCGCATTAAGTACATCTTTTAAAGAAGGAACGGATTCGTTGCTTGCGGATGTATTATTAAAAGAGCCGAGAAGACCGCCTAGTTTTTTATTCAATGATGTCGACGTGGTAGATTCTAAAGTCATATGTTGTCCCTTGATGTTTACTCGAATTGCAATTTTACCTCCACCATCAATTTTTACTTCATTTGGACCCGGAAAACTAACATTAACTCCAGCTTTATCTGCTTGACTTTTTCCGACCGTACCAATATTAGTTCCGTTGATCATGATAACAGGATCTTCTCCATCTTCGTACGGGGCATGAATACTTATTCTAGTGGATCCGACAGAAACACCAACAGCATTTAAACACACAGATTTCCCATCACGACAAGGCACTTGGCGTACTTGGACATCAATATTCCCACCTTTCAAAACGGTAAACTCCCCGACACTATTCAAACGAATCGTTGTCCCGTCACCCGCAATTAGTATTCCACCTGGTCCGGCAATCGCAGTCACAGTCGGCGTAGGTCGAAGAGGTTTGGGTATGGCTATTGCACAAGCACTTCCCATCCATCCAGGAGTGCATCGGCTGCAACCAAAATCACCACGCCATTTCCAATTGCATGTACATACACCAGACATGACGTCACATGTTCCGCGTTTGTTACAGGGATTTGAAGCTCCCCCGGGACATTCCCGCGAGCACGTGACACCCCAATATCCAACATCACAGCGGCAAGTGCTGTTCTGGATAGTACCAAAAATACATATGACGTCACACTTATTTCCAGACCAATCATCGTAACGTTCGTCAGTAAAGACGTCACACAAGTCGTTCCCAGGGAGAGTGGTAAGATTTCGTGCAATCTGACATTCTCTCGCAAACGACATCACAGAATCCTTTCCAGCGTCAACCATACCACTTGAGAGAACATCTTGCACACACGATTGGTAAGAAAATTCTTTTCGTTCATCCATCGACCCACATGAATCATTCAATGACTTCGAATTGAATATTTTTCTACAAATTGACTCGGTCTTATTGTCTGATGCCTCAATTCTAGATATTCCTCCAGACTGAACAGCGATGTAGAGATCAGATGGCACCCACGATGGCGAACTCCACGGAGATCCCGGAAGATGGAAATGTAAAGACCCAACAAGATCCTTTGCAACCAACCCTGTTCCTTCATTGAACTTCCATAACCCTAAAATACCGTCGATACTTTTCACAATACTCACTCGGATATAGTTGTTAATCAGCGTGATATCAAAACGTTTATTCCAAATAACCAACTCATCAATCCAACCAATAAATCCTCCAGGAGCAGTGATTACTTCTGTTGTAGCCTGCCATAGACCTAGGGCGAGCTTACCCCCAGGTTCAAAAGCTCCTAATCCAATTTTTATTACCTTCGTCATCATTGCTTTCTCAGAATGCCGAACATATACTTCAAGTATTCCAACCACACGTTGGTAAACAAACGTGATATGGTTCCATTTTGCAATTTCTAGATATATATTTGTGTCGTACATTTTTACACCAAAGTGAATCCTCAATGTTCCGTTTATTCTAAGAGCGAAATTCGTATTTAAGACGAATGACAAGATAGTTCCCTCTGTATCAATGTCGTTAACTTTAATATAAAACTGCATGGTGACATAGTTTCCATGAAATACGTCCACAAATGGCGGTGTGATGATAGCATTTTGGAAAAAGTACAAACACGTGCCAGCTGCTGTAATGCTAACGGTCTCTTTGGCAACTGCGAGAACGTCTTGGAATTGGCTTTCATTTCTAGGAATTAACCATGTGTTCATAAACTCATCAATATCCTGTTGGCTTATTCGTGCCTTGTTATAGCGTTCTAGTAATCCAGTTGATGTGCAATTAACATTCTTTGAATCCCCACAATTTCCAAATACACCACATGAGTCACGGCAGAATGATTTATCCATGCTGACTTGAACACCAAAATAAACTTTTCTGTAGTAGAGAAACATAGAGAAACCTTCAGGTCCGTTGATTTCTAGTTTATTGTGGGAACGTTTGCTGTAAACAAAGCCAGATCCGATTACGATGTTTTTGGTGCGATCAATAGGTTTTCCATTAAAGGTAATTATAACTCCTGTTCGAACTCCGCTGTGGATTTCGAGTACTCCTTTACTTGCTTGAATTCTAACACAACGAACTGCAACTCCTCTACCGTATGTCACTTGCCGAAGTTGAACACTAACACCGAGTCTTCTAGAAACAATTGCATCAAATTCACCTGCACCACGGTAGGTCCAAGCAGCACCGTTTAATCCAATGAAATTTCCACTCCCGGATAAAGATAAAGAAGTCTTCAGTCCTGATGATACGAAGCCTCCAACGTTTAAGGAACAGTCGATTCCATAGAACCCTGGTCTACAACGGTTACAAGATGAGCCATACCAATTATAATTACATGAACAGCGGCCCGTTGTTTGAGAGCACGCACCATTTCCATAGCAACGCTTTGCAAAGCCACCTGGGCACACACGTGAGCAATCTGTATCGTAAAATCCTGGTAAACAAGAGCAGCGGTGTACGGTTCTTGTACCAAAGTAACAAGCTTGTTGACAAGCTGAACCAGTCCATGGGATATGTGGCGTCAAGGGGAATGATGGGTTATTACAAAGAGAACGTGCAGGCCATGATGTAAGACCAAGAGAAACTTGACAGTAATCTGAATAAGCAACAACAATGGTCACACCAGTTGCTATGTCACCACTCGTTAATAACACTTCCAAGCACGTACGATAATAAACAGTTTGACTCGGGACACCAAGACGTCGGCAAATTAGTCCGACTGGAGAGTTGAGAATATTTCCTGTACACCAATCAATCACTTTGTTAGAAGCAACGGGTGAAGCTATCTGCAATATTGTCACCTTCGCTGTGCCATAAATCCATTCAACTGTGTGGCGGACTTCTTGAATATACAAATGAACATGAGATTTAATGTCCTTTATCAACAAACCTCGACCTTCGTTGAATTTCCAGAGAATTGCAAGGTTTTTAGCAGAATATTGAATGTTCACTCCCCAGGAAGATCTAATATCTGGTCCAGAGAACTGTCTATTCCAAATACGAACCTCGTCTATCTTTCCTCGGAAGCCCTGTGAGGAGGACAAAACTACACTTTCTCCTGGGATCCACTGTCCAACTGCGATTTTACTTCCAGTCCTAAACATATTTCGTCGCACGAAGAACGACTTGACAATCATGTGCCTATGACTATTTAAGTGGTAAAAATACAAGAGTCCTGTTTCACGATGGTACACCGCGGCAATCTGGTTCCAGATGCCAAGAGTTGTTGTAATTCCTAAACAATGTAGAAAGCTGATGTGTAACTATTCATGTACGTAAACAAAAACATTGGAAAGTCATTTCTAGACAACTAACCTGTGTGATTAACCATGTCGTTTATTTTTAAACAAAACTCTCGATTCAACAAAACAATTGAGAAGGTAATTTCTTTGCTGTACGTAAATAATGTTCCACTTCCATCATCACTGAGATATAGTAATTCTAATGTTACGTAGTTCTCAGTAAATACTTCACCAATTAAATCCGTTGTTACTCCTACACCATTAAATTTTAAAGCAAACTCCGCACCAGTAAAAACGCTCGAAAAATCCTTGTAACCAATTGCAGCAGAAAAGAGACTTGATGAAGGAAGAACTCGGAAAAGATTTTCCAATTGTGTTCCCGAGGAATCATTGTGATCATTTGCACGTAAGCCATCACAACTACCACCCAAACCGACAGATTTTCCGCATATTTCCTTCGGGGCAACAATAATGTACTGAAGTCCACTCTCCGCCAATCTTATTTTTATGATCACTTTATAAACCAACGAACGCAATTCCAGAGTTACTGATGTAGTTTTAACCAAAGTAAACTTTTCACCAACTGAAGTGGAAATTTCGTTGAGTTCTACTCTCATCTTGTTTAACCAAATTACAGGGGTTTCTGTTTCTGTTGAAAAATTTTAAAATTAATTTCAAAATTATTTGCCTGTTTGTGTGTTTGTAATTATATTTGTGTTGTATTTGTATTATGTTTGTGTTGTGTTTGTATTATGTTTGTGTTGTGTTTGTATTATGTTTGTGTTGTGTTTGTATTATGTTTGTGTTGTGTTTGTATTATGTTTGTGTTGTGTTTGTATTATGTTTGTATTATTTTTGTGTCTTATGTTTGTGTTTATCAGTGTTACCTGTTCCAGGCACCGTGGCTAGTAATACTAATTCCACTTTGCTATCCAGTAAGAAGGCAATACCATCAATGCATCGGTAACGTCCGTTAAAACAAGGCACTTGACGAACATGTACGACCATTTCTGAACTTTGTATGATTCTGAACTCCCCAGTCGCGAGGAATGTAAACTTTACCCCGTCGAATGTTTGATAATGACCGCCAGTTAATCCCACAGATGATGTGTTTCCATGTGTTGTTGATACAACAGTACATTCGTTTCCCTCCCAACCTGGGGTACACTTGGAACAGTTCTCACTTCCCTGCCAGTTGTAATCACATGAGCATTTTCCAGTCTTCGGATCACACAACCCTCTGCCATTACATGGCCTAATAGCACCCACGGGACAAACAGCTGAACAATCATCACCCCAGTATCCAGTATGACAAACACATTTACCCGAAATGACATCACCGAACACACATGTGACATTACAATGCGGACCTTTCCTAATGCCCACATACGCCTTGGGTATTTTATTACAGAACCGATCAAGAGGCCACGTCTTTAGTTGCAAAATGCTTTGACAATAATCCGCATAGCTTACGACAGACTGAAATGCTGATTTTATCTCACCAGAATTTTTTACATCGTCCAAACAACGCATGTAATAATTTTGAGCATGCGCCAGTCCCAACACATTACCACATTCGCCACTGTTTAAAGTTTTCATTATAAAATTATTACAGAGATTTTCTGCATCCTTTTTCAAAGTTTCGTTGGTCCAGATTATGTTCTCGAGAGGTGCTTCAGGTTGACTAATACGAGCATAACTAAATACCCAACGTGGACGAGCTCTCACTTCGTGTGGCAAGCGAAAGTCGTAACCACCAATTATATCACGCGCAACAGTTCCATAACCTTCATCGAACAGCCACAAAGAGACCAGACCAGGAACCTGATATTTAATAAAACGATCTCGGCTTTGTTCGATCGCCGCTGCTTCAATTATTACATCCCAGATCCTGAGTTCGTCAATGTAACCAACAAAAGGTTTTCTATTAACATCAGTAGCACCACTTCCCGTCGTTTGCCAGTGTCCAATAGCCAGCACTCCACCACTTGAATACAAAGCATATGGTACAAGCATTGTCCGTTGATTCATTGCACCACTGGCATCCAAGCAATACACGTTCATGATCGTAGTACGCTTACTGAATGTAATAGTTAACCAATACCACTGACCAGTGGTCAACCTTATTCCAGTATCAACGATATTACGTGAAAATTGAATCTTTATCGTCACGTCATTAATGATTCCGAACGTATTTACAGAGGCATACGATAAAATCGTCCCACCATGCTTTTTTATTTTGACAAAGAACTCGAGTGTTACATCCTCACTAGTTGTAAATGAGCCATATATTGTGTTAGTGTCAACCGCTGTTCCATTATACTGCAGACAATATTCTGACAGTGACATTTTACGTTCTTCCTCTTCCTTGTAAACAAACATAGAATCAGGTGGAAGTACACTCCAACGTTTTTCGAATGCTGAAATGTCTTCTGTTCGAGCATCAGTTGATCTTTTTCTTCTGCGTAGATTTGTTGTTTCAAAATCATTCGCAGTGTTGTTATCACAAGATGAACACAAACCTGAGATATTCCAGCACGTTTTTACACTGCTATATAAACTAAATATCAAAAACGTGTCTTGAGCTCTAACATGAAGTACACGATCTTTACCACGTGTTATCCCGAATAAGCCTAGTTGTTCCTGATTGAACACATATCCTCCCCCAATGTCGTGCCGTATTGTGTAGTCTGATTTATATTGATTGATATATAACAATGGTTTTCCCTTTTCCTCATATGACGCACGCAATGTAATATTGCTCTTCCCAAGTGCCAAAGCAATCGCTGTGACGCATCTGCTTGAGTTCATGCAAGGCTCGTGGCGTATTTGTGCGATGAAGCCTTTCGATCGTATTAAATAAAATTCTCCAGGGGTTTTGAAGTCGTAATTACTTCCATCAAATGTCGTAAAGTGTCCACCACCGAAACTCTGACATACAGGAATCGTTTTCTGCTCTCTCGCAAAATTCGTAATTGCAACAGAACATTTCTCCCCAGTCCAACCCGAAGAGCAAGTCTTACAATCACTACTAACATTTGCATTTAACGGACAACTACATGTTCCAGAAGCCTTGTTACAGTCGCTGAAACCTCCACAAGGGTCGGCATAACCTCCGGGGCATTCTTGAGAGCATGTTCCATCATAGAACCCACGTTGACATTGACAGCTTGCATTCTTAACGATATTTCCAAACGCGCAGTCAGTCTGACAAGGTAAACTTACCCAACTCGGTAGCTCTAGATTTCGTATTTCATCACAATATTTACTTCCAGGCCAATGAGATAAACCTAAGCTTGTTTTACAATAATCCAAGTACGTAAAAACGCTCCAAACTCGCTCCTTCAACCCCCCACCGCTCACAACCAATTTATAACATGCCAAAGTATAAAACATTTTGATGTCAGCATTCAAAACACGACACTTTTTGTTGCCACCGAATATCTCATCCTCGCAGATCTTTTCCAACGAAAGCCCTTCATTCACATTTACAACACTCGTGATCAGACTTTGCACTTCAAGGTTTGCACTAGAGTACATCCATGTTGGTCCCTGCGCTTGAGTGGGGAAATTGAAACGAGCTCCTGCAACGCAATCAGTGGCTAGGCTACCTTGACCTTCGTCAAAGCGCCACAAATTTGCAAGACCTTTCGATGCACAATCTAAAAGCATAGATCGTGAGCTAACAATGTCTGTAACAAGCCTTTGCTTATTCCATATTCGAACTTCGTCCACTTCCCCAACGAAAGCTCCTGGAACAGAGCTCCCAGCAGTTCCTCCTGAAGGGAACCAGTAACCGAGGCTTAGAGTTCCGCCTGGCTGTAAGATATCTTGATGATTTCGCATTGGGAAATTTCTAACATGGGTTTTCCCCGAGTCTTCAATTAGAACAAACTGGATAATTCCGTTACTTTTCAGCCAGATCAAGGAGATCAAATACCAACGGTCTTGTTGCATGTTCAAGAACGTGTCAAATTCCTGCGTGTTATAAATTATCTTTACGGTTGTCTTGAGAACGATTGCTAGAGTTGACGTAGCTGCATATGACAATATAGTACCATCAATACCATCAGATTTTACCATCATTTCAATGGTAACATCCCCACCAGCCAATGTAAACAGGTTTCTGGACGTAACACCACTATCACGAAAACGAAGACAATACCTTGCTTCAGTTTTCATGCCAGGCCCTTTCACTTTGTTATTTCCAAACACTGAATCACCAGACACTCTCCAAGAACTAACAAAAACTTCGATAAAATGTTGGGAAATCATGTCGATATTTGAGAAATTTCGGGAAATGTTGACACTGTTCTTTAGGGTGAAATCGTTTATTCTATTTCCATCACAGCTTCCCCATAAACCTTTGCTATGCAAACACCATGTTTTGTCGGTTAAACTGATGGCGAGGTCAAGATAGCGGCCAGAAATTCTGATATCAAGAATTAGATGTTTAGAGTAGAATTTAAAACTTCCCCTTGATAATCTTTCAACAGTAAATGTGTTTTGATTTGAGTTGAACACGGTTTTAAGAGAAAATGCTTGCACTCTGTCAATCCATAATGTTGGATCACCACCATCCTCATTCGGCGCATGAATCGTCATGAGAGATGACATCAATATCATAGCGACAGCGTCGATACATCTTTCAGATCCGTAACATGGCACGATGTTTATTTTAATCTCCAAATCAACTGATGAAAACAGGATATGCTCGCCAGTTCCTTTGACACTATAACCAACACCATCCAACGTAATGAAATCTCCATATCCTGTGCAGATTGCGCTGAGATTTGCAGCTTTATTGACGACAACGGAACAGTCCTTACCAGTCCATCCCGGAGAACAGGAAGAACAATTCATGTCACCACGCCATCTTTGTTCGCAAACACATTTTCCGGTGGTCTTGTTACAACTGCCGTGATCATTGCAAGGAGAGGACGATCCAGCAGGACATTCTTTGTCACAACTTATACCCCAGAAACCTCTACGGCACAGACATTGTTTTATTTCCTGTTAAAACAAGTAACAATAATTCAAGTCTTGCCATTATATAGAAAGACATCTGGTCATCAGAGATGCAATATAAATTTTCCTATGGTAAAACCGTTTAGAAGATACAAATTGTGTAAGTTTTATAAATTTCTGTGACATCATAACTTACTTAATTTTAAAATACGAGAAAATATGACATTATAACTTACCATTTGTGTTGTGCTTTTAATTCCAGAACAGGATGGATATTGTTTCTTATTTGGATCGTATTTAACAAACAATCTTGTGTTAGATTTTGGATACTCCAACGTCCAGACGACAGGCACTGACCTCTTTAAGCTGGATTAGTAGAATAACAGATAATACATATTAAAACTTTTATGAATGGATAAAAATTAGTGTAAGGGGAATTTTGTTTTGTAGACGTAAACAAGCACGTCCGTTTAAACTGATAAACTGAGTCTCGTTAATCTAACAAAGGTGAAAACATTTCTCAGTATCGAAAGAGAAAAAAAATGCCAGGTTGGAGAAGGTCTATTGTCTAATCGCTTATACTTTCTTACTGTATTTTCTCTTCATTAAACATAAGAGTGCATCCAGATGTAACTTACTTCACTGAAAATACTTTCTTGTATTCTCCAGTTAAAAACTTCCTTGGCTGCCCCAAATCTTTCCTAATCACTGGATACGTATTCCCTGTTTTGCCTGAAGACATTTTAAGAAATCCTAACTCTCCTCCAGGTTCTATGGACGGTGACGGCGAGCTAAAGGAATTAAGTGGTCCGGTATCGAGATAAACATTATGTGGATTTCTGTTATGGTAGCCAAACCATGCTAGAATGGTATCTTGAGATTGGTTTGTGATGCAATTTAGTATAGGTACTACAGGTAGCTTTCCATCGTCTCCATCTCTCGGATCTGCGTACATCGCATGCTCAGTGTAACATAAAATATCACATCTCTCTCCAACATGTGTTACGTCACAGCTCGTGCAATCAGGTTGGTCCCAACCTTCTTGACATGTCGCGCAATCGTCACCTCTCCAATAACCAAGTCTGCTATCATTATGACATACACAATTATTCTCTTTTATCCCAGATGCGTTCCCATGAAAACAGCTGACGTTGCATCCAATAGGCCAACCGATATATCCATACACACATTCCTCGCAATTTGCTCCTGTATACCGGCTGGCACACAGTTCACAGGCTTGTCCAACAAAGTTATGTCGACATGAACAATGGGGGACACGATCACCATCTTCTAGTATACAATCTCCACGGTTGTTACAGCAGGATTGCCAGGACATAGTAACTTGCTACAGTCTGCACCCCCGAAACCTTGATCGCACAGACATTCAGGTAAAACATTTTCTGACGAACGTACACAAACACCGCGTCGAGAACAATCAGGATCACCAGGACAATCTTAGATTTCACAAAGATCTCCTCGCCAACCCTGCTGACACTCACAAGTGCTATTAACACATTTCCCGTTGAATGAACATTCAAGATCGCAAGCTTGGCTTGAGAAGCATGGTTCACACTTGCAAATGGCGCTATTAGGCGGTTCTTCATTCCCATGGATACACGGTAACTCACACATTTTTCCCATTGTGTTGTCAGTACAGTTTACACATCTTGGTGGTTCTACGCTTCCATCACACGTACCTTTATTGTTACAATCTGGCACTCCAGGGCAGTCAGGAGTTTCACAACCATCTCCCTTCCATCCCTTATTACAATGACATTCCTGATTTAGACTAAGACACCTGCCATGTCCACTGCAATCCTCTCCTATTCCTGGACATCCTATTCTTCCACACGTGTTTCCACGCCATCCTACATCACAATTACAAGTTCCATTCTCACACTGACCATGGCCGCTGCACTCTTGACTGCAGTTCACCCCGCTGTAACATTCATCACATCGACATTCTTCGATCGAAAAATCGTTACTGGACCTAACTACACTTCCGTTGAAACAGCGTCGCTCACAACCTCTACCGAAATAGGTGTGGTCACAGGACGTACACACTGGGGGATCATGATTTGCTCCATCACAGGTTCCATGGCTACTACAGTTTCCCCCACCAGCGCAATGTGGAATTTGACAGCCCATGCCCTTCCAGCCAGGGTTGCACGTACATTGTCTCAACGAAGGGATGCACACTCCATGTCCAGAGCAATCGCTTCCCCACCCTGGACATCTTAATACATCACACGTTGCCCCTCGCCATCCGTCAAATCCACAGTCACACGTTCTGTTCATACAAGTCCCTTTTCCTGAGCACTCTACATCACAGCTGATCCCGCTGAAACATTCTACACATTCACAAGACTCTTGATTGTCCACTGTCCTCAGCACAGTTCCGTTAAGACATTTAGTCTGACACGCATTACCCATCCAGCCCTGATCGCAGGTACATGATGGAGTATCTGAGGTTACAACACATTTGCCGTGCGCACTGCATTGTGGAAAGCCAGGACAAACAGGAATATGACAACCCGAACCTATCCATCCATTGTTACATTCGCAAACTTGTTGCACACTGAAACAGGTCCCGTGACCAGAGCAATCAATGTTGTTTAATCCAGGACAACCTTTGAAAAAATAAGACTCTAATTGATATTGTCTCTAAGAGTGAAAGGGTAGTTATATAATACAGGAATTGTCTAAAACCGACTGAGTGTTGGTAAAACAAAATATCGATAACGTTGAAACATCTAATTGGCATTTATTATAAACGTTCTTACAGGGTTTATTGTGAAGTAGAAGTTTATAGTAAAGTAGATTTGCAGAATATAAACTGGACTTACCTGGTACATCGCAAAGTTCCCTCTCCATCCTTCAACCACAAATACACTTGTTTTCCACACATGTAGCATTAACGCGACCTGAGCACAACTTATCGCAATTAAAACCAGCATAACACGAGTCACATACACACACATCTGGGTTTTCTTCTGTGGCGGAGCCATGCTCACAACGTATCTCGCAAGCAGGACCTATCCAACCCTGTTTACAGTCGACGCATATTGGACCAGCGGTATTATCAACTACACATCGACCTCTTCCGTTGCAGTCTGGGTCGCCTGGACAGTCAGAGTTTTGACATCCGACACCTGGTTAGGAAAATATAGAAATACAGGTTAATCTCCATCGAAAAACAATTAAATTTAGATTAATAACATGTCATATATCTTAACTTCGATATTACATGATGTTGTTTTCAAACATTACATGAGAGGTGGACAAACAAGGAGCCCTGTTGCTTAGAACGAGGCTCTTCAGCAAACCAAAAAATATCGGAAAAACTTGATCTTACTCTAATTCTTTATATCGTCCTGACGTCGTTTATTTTACACAAATTTACAATAATGTTTGAACAAATAATTTTATCACAAACAATATAATTCACCTGTCCATCCAGAATCACATACACAAGTCTGTGTGTCTGCAAAACAGGTGCCATGACCCGAGCAATCCTTCTCAATTCCTGGACATCCTCTTCGGTCACAAAACTCTCCTCTCCATCCTTCAAATCCGCAATCACATTCGCCTTCAACACATAGACTGCTCTTGTTAGAGCAGAGCGTTGAACAATCAAGACCATTGTAACAAGGTTCACATTCACAAAGATAGTTATCAGTTGGGTTACCATGGATACATCGTTGTTGACAAGCGTCGCCCGTCCAACCTTTAGAACAGTTGCATGCACCTTGAGTACTCAAACTGTTTTCTAAAAAATGGAAAAAATTAGAAATAAACATTACCTGATCCAAGTAATAACACTTGTATATTTTGTTTCTGACCAAATGATAAAAAATTGTAAATTACAGAAAACACGGCAGAAATATTTTATTAACAAAACAGGACAGACAGCTTATAAACATTCTTCTAGTGTTACTTGGATAAACCAACCTCCTGGAAGTACACAGGTTCCGCGGTCATTACAATCCGGAGTACCAGGACAGTCAGTCCAGCTGCATGATGGTCCAAGCCATCCTGGATCACATGAACATGTTTTCGTCGCTAGGTTACATGTACCATGGCCACTACAATCCTCTGGCCAACCAGGACATCCCGGTTCATCACAGAATACCCCTTTATATCCAAGACTTGCATTACAAACACATTTTCCATGTTCACAACGACCATGCCCAGAACATAACACGTTACATCCTATCCCATGATAACATGCATTACATAAGCATCCTGAAGCATTTCCATAGTTCATTCCGTGGAGACAAGGTACGTCACAAGCCTCTCCCGCCCAGTCCTTTTCGCAATTACACCGACGTGGGAGCGAGGCTGCATCACAACTACCACGATCTGAGCAAGGTGGGCTGCCCGCACAATTCGCTGTACCACAGTCAGGCCCAGTCCACAGCGGATCACACTCGCACTCTCGGGTGTTAGTATTACACAGACCATTCCCGTTGCAGCTCCCATCAACCCCTGGGCATCCATCAAGTTCACAGTTAATCCCCTGCCAACCAACTTCGTTATTAGAATGGCATAAACATGATCCATTGATACAATCTCCACGACCAGAGCATTCGAGTTGACAGCCATTGCCTGTGTAACATAGATCGCACTCACAGACGTTGTCCACAGGATGTCCGTGTAAGCAAGGATCATTGCATGCTGGTCCCATCCATCCAATTGAACAGTCGGTGCACTCCGGTGTTTCACGATCAGTACCGTTACAGAAACCACGACCGAAGCAGTTTGGAGTCCCAGGACAGTCTGGGACGTGACATCCAATACCTGTCCATCCTATGAAAATACACAGCAAGGTACATCATCACATTCATACTGCGACTTATAACTATATCCTGGCATCATCTGTGATAAACCTGTATTTACTAACCTGGATCACAAATACATGTTTTTTCAGCGCTATTGCAGCTACCATGTCCACTACAATCCTCTTTGATTCCTGGACAACCTGGTACTTCACACAGAGACCCTCGCCATCCACTGAGTTCATCACAAACACAAGAACCATTTTGACATTTTCCTTGACCTGAACATTCCTGATTACAGCCAAGACCTAAAAAAACATTGCGGAATGGTAGAGAAAGTGACGTAAGCTTGGGCATATTGACAATCGAACCTTTCCATGTAGTTGATCTATAATACGCTTTAAAACTAGTGGCAAAAGCTTCAAAATCTTATGTGCTAGTTCTTACCAACATAACAAGCATCACATTTGCATCTTCCGCTGTCCATTGGTATTTGTCTTCCATGTTTACACGGATATCCACAGTCAGCCCCCATCCATCCGAGGCTGCAATTCGTACATCGAGGTGGGTTGAACGTCGCATTACAGAAACCTGCGCGTTTAAAAAGCAAACTTAATTGGAGTATGATCTACGTTGTACAATATGTCAGTCGTGATCTACATTAAACGTTATCTTTGCTCTAGTATAAAGATGAATACGGGAGGGCAACATTGGATTCCGTTACTTCTATACACGTGAAAACCTCTTGTAATGATGAAAGAAGCCCGATGACGCGCAATGTCATCCAGTTAATTATAAACTGATATTAAAATTATTACCTTTGTTTAGACAGTCGGGATTTCCAGGACAATCAGGGATCTCGCATCCATCTCCAGTCCACCCACTTTCACATGTACACTCGTGTAGCGCGCTGTTGCACTCTCCGTGGCCACTGCAATCCTCACCAACACCTGGACATCCTGGATTATCACATAATGTACCCCACCACGCTACATCGCACCTGCATACTCCATGTTGAACTTTCCCATGACCAGAACATTCACTGTCACAACCAATACCAGCCCAGCCTGGATCACATGTACAATTACCGCTATCCATTGGCTGTTGAACACCGTGGACGCATGGATCATTACAAGCTGGTCCCATCCAACCTGCTATGCAATTCTGACAAATCGGCGGACTCACAGAACTGTTACAGTAACCACGATTAAAACAGTTTGGGGCCCCAGGACAGTCTGGTAATTCACAACCTAAGAAATACAGATGTCCCTTATTTTACTTCTCATTTTACATCTCATAGATTTTCACCATTTTCGCAAGCGTAACTAAATAAAAACTACATATCATCTGTACCTAAATCAAACGATCATAAACTAAACAAGCAAAAAACATACAAAAAGTACTTACCCTCTCCTGACCAGCCATTGTAACAAGTACACTTTTGGATAGCCCCATTACAACTCCCGTGACCCGAACAATCTTCATTAATTCCTGGGCATCCCAAGATACCACATAAAGCACCTCTCCATCCGACATCACACTGGCATGTGCCATTATGAACTGTACCATGTTCTGAACACTCACTGTCGCATCCTACACCACTATACCCAGGAAAACAATCACAGTTACCGCTGTCCATGGGTATCTGCACACCAAATGTGCAGGGATCATCACACGCTGGTCCCATATAACCTCGAGAACAGTTTTGACAACGAGGAACGTCGAGTGAAGAATTGCAATAACCACGATCAAAGCAGTTTGGTGCACCAGGGCAATCTGGGATATCACATGCTTTACCAGTCCATCCTTCGTAACATGAACAATGGTGACGTGCTGCGTTACATTCTCCGTGACCGCTGCAATCCTTCTCTATCCCTGGACATCCTGGAATTTCACAGACAGCCCCACGCCATCCGACATCTGGGTCACAAAAACATGTTGTATTCGATTGGCAGATTCCTCGTTCCAAACATAAACTTGTGCAGCCCTTTCCTCCGTAACACGGATCACAATCACATATACCGCTGTTCATTGGAGACTGTACTCCATGCGTACATGGATCATCACAAGCAGGACCCATCCATCCTTGAGAGCAGTTTACGCATTTACTTCCCTCAATATACGGGACACATATGCCACGTGAGTTACAATTAGGTTCTCCAGGACAATCAATCTGACCACAATCGATACCAGACCATCCTGGATTACAATAACACTTTTGTAAAGCACTGTTACACAAACCGTTTCCCGAACACGCTGGTGTACCAGGGCACCCCCCACGTTGACAATGTGTCCCTTGCCAATACTTTTCACATATACAAGTTTCATTACGACATTGTCCACGTTCACTGCACTCGCTTTCACAATACATTCCTGAATAACAGTTATCACACTTACATAAACCATTTTTACACGTTCCTTTCCCCGAGCACAAGTACTGACATTTTCCTCCGCTAAAGCAGGGATCACATACGCACTTGCCTAATATATCACAAATACCATTACCACTGCAATCGCGTTGGGGATCACAGAGATGCTCACATCGATATCCTACATATCCATTCTTACACTTGCACCCTCCTGACGCTGTACACTGTCCATTACCCAAGCATGTAAGATTTGGATCACAGTAATACAAACAACTCACGCCATAATAATTTTGATTACAATTGCACTTTTTCTCACTATTTGACCATACCCCATGTCCATTACATTCGTTACCAGATAAACAAATCTGTCCATTTTCACCAGGTAAAGCCCCATTGCCATGTGCACTCCCACCTCTAACAGCTGTTGTGGCTCCCAAATTTAGCAATACTGCTCTGTTTATATACCTTGGAGACTGAGTTCGAATATAACCTCCTGCTCCACCACCATGGTAATAATTACATGAATAACTACGGTATGTGTAGCCACCACTACCACCTGCTACACTTATTGATCCATGACCATCAATCGCTTCGCCGTCTAACCATACACTTCCCCCACTACCACCACCTCTGGAAACTCCGTTGACTCCATTAGATACTAATAGTCCCTCAAGATCCACCAGACGGCTGCTTAACAGACGAATGACACCACCACCTTTACTACCACCACTGCCATCACTGCTTCCAGATAGCACTGGGCTACACACTGTACCATATTTCGAACCACCTGCAAGGGAAAGCATCAATGAATCATTTGTGTTTTAAAGTATTTTTTTATCATGGCGATAAAAAAGAGCTGGAAAGTTCATATCAAAACTAATAACAATTGTAAGTTTGTGGCTACGAAATGTAATGTAAGGAAAATAATTCAGGGGTGGATCCAGCACTAGTGCACTAATTTGCATGACACAAGAAAACTGCTCAAAATAGCCATTTTGTTTTGTAATGCAAATTAGTGCACTAGTGCTGGATCCACCCCTAGAAAATATATATCCTTGTATACTTTTATATTATAGGCGGAAGGATGTAACACAATATATTAACTGCATATTATGCAATTTAAAAATTTCGCAACTATGGTCTTTCAGTATGGTCTTCTCTTGTTACGTAGATCTCCCCACTTTGGTGAACAAGAAATATTGTCTTGAAGTGAGGCCTTGCGGTTAAGACAATAAGAACTCTGGAGCAGCAAAGAAGTGCTTTCCTTAAATTTCTATTCGTTAATTTCGTCCCGCCTTTTTTCACCCAGGAAAAAATAAATAATTCTAATCACCTGAAGTATAACGATTCCAACCACAACTACAACTATATCCTCTCCCTCCGTTCCCACCATGCCCTGCGCCCCCAGTAGCACCACCACAACTACCACCAGTGCCTTGACCACTTGATGATGCTTTGCCAGAACTATCAAATCTTGAATCATGATCGACTTTAAGATATTTTGAGAATATTTCAACTGCGTCGCTAGTCACCAGCCCATTATATTCTACACAAAAAGCTCCTGTGTGCACTTGAACAGCGCTCTCAACATTCCTTACAGCAGATATAATTTCAAATTTTCCACCAGCCTTGACAGTTATCGTCTGAATCCAATACTTTCGGTCATTTCCACTTCTGGTGTATTTACTTGCACATTTGAAGCATCCAGAATGACCACTTGAAAATAACTGTGCTTTACTTGAAGCGTATACTCGCAGTTCCCTAATTCCGTAGACACTGCCATGTATTTCTAAACTTGGTTGACGTTGTGCAGCAATTTCGGTTATCTCGGGCAGAATAAGCTCACCTCCTTTCCTGATGACGTAATTTACCTGAGTACGCACGCGTACAATATCTTCGTGTGTATAGAAACGTGTGCCAGAAATGACTTCAAGTATTCCTGTTCCATCACCGGTGAAGCGACGGACTTTGACTTCAGGTACGCGGTTAGAAACCTCAAAAAATACATACAAACAGTTAGATTCAAGCTGCCATATTGCGCAATCCTACTGCATGGAAAACTAACTCATAACTAATAGTTTAAGAATATAAAAAATATCTACCTGTTGCAAAGATATAAACGCCTTTCTCTTCAGTTCGATCCCATCAAATACATGATAAAATCCGCCGGGTTCGTCTAAGAATAACTTCAGTCCAGTGGCTTCCCCTCTATTACTTCCATCTATTGTCAAAAACCTTTGCACTGAAGTTCCATTGTCAATTTCAACGTAAATTGTCCCGGGTCCCCCAGAAGGTGATCCGCTTCCACCAAACGCCGCAATACTACCTCGGAAATCAAGTGGTTGAGAAAGATAAATACCAATTCGACCACCTGACCCACCTCCTTGATGAGAAAATCCTGCAACAAAATCATTTTACAAATTTAAACAATTGCACTTGATTGAAGACTTATTCCATGCAGGATGTATCTTTTAATTGCCGGAACCACTGAGTATTTTCATAAAATACACAACAATAGTAACTCCGAATAAAGTAAACATTTTCATTCAACGTTTCGACTTTATTTAGTCATCATCAGGAATGATTAATCATTCCTGACTAAATAAAGTCGAAACGTTGAATGAAATTGCTTACTATATTCGGAGTTACTATTGTTGTGTATGTATCTTTTCTTTCTTTAAGTCACCATGACATCGTTTCCCAAATCAAAAATTTTAAACCTTACTTTCCCAATGTTGTTGCATTTTTATGATTCTCGATAAATTAAAACTATTCTGTTATAAAAGTATTGATCATTTCCAAAGCTTTTAACAAATTTCTCAAAATTCAAGTAACTGTCAGGATATTTTTACCTCCATGACTCGAAATTAATCCATAACCAATCAAGAACGGCGTAGCAATCATTAAACTTCCTCCACTCCCTGCACCAGATCCTGAAATACCATCAACCCTGAATGTACCATCTACCTTCACATATCCACCAGCTGTCATATTTATCCACGAACCACCAGCACCAGTACCACCTCCGCTCCCTGGATAACGTGGTGCATATAAAGATCCATAATATTTTTTAGAGGCGGCATTTCCGCCAAGCGAAGCATAACTTCCTCCTTGAGATCCAGAGCCGGAACCAGGACCTTGATTGTTAGGGTATCCACCACCGTTTCCATCCAGTCTCCCGCCACTCTCAATTACAACGCGGTCCAGAACAAAAAACATTTCACGTGTGTTGACTTTGAAAACTCCACCTTTATAGAAGTTAAAAGTAAATCATGATATTTGACAAACTGATAGCAATGACATGACATCATACTTGAAATGTGAAATAATTGGTCGACGATAGTTCAGGGCAAATCTGAAACAATTTTCATAATAGGGAGATTTAACACAAGGAGGTGAACCTAAAAAGAGGCCGTGAAAATGGCGAATCAAAGGCGTGATACGTCTATTTATGGACACGTTATTATTCGCCATTTTCACATCGTCTTTGACGTTCACGTCTTCACGCTAAATCTGTGCCTAATAAAGACGAATTCTTGTGAACAACAGCGAGAGATTACATTTTGTGTTTATTCTAAAATGTTTGTAAATAATAGTTGTATCTCCGATTGTTCGTGATGAAAGAACTAATCCGAACAAGCATTACTTTCACAAGTAAAAATAAATCAAGCCCAACCTTTCTTGATAACGACATCTGACGCAATGAGTTTAGCGCCATACGGGTTCAATGCAACAGTAAGAATACCAGCGTTTGCAACAACCAGCTCAGGAATGACATGTTGTCCGGGAATAAATGGATCGAATGGTCGATCATTATACCACTGCGCATGCTCGGGAAGTTTAGCCGTATGAGCGGTTCCACTGATTTGAATATTTCCATTTCTTTCTATTACAAGTCTTTCAACACCAGTCATACGGCCACGAAGAGTAGTAGTCTCACCACGAAGTATTACTTCAGTTGGAAATACAATTTCCGCAAAATCACTGATGTAGAATCCACAGGGGACATCTAAGTATGTATGAGTACTTTCAACGATAAATACAAATAATCTTTGTCGCGATGTCATTTTTATAATACCAGTTTTATCCCCAGTCACTTCATGTCCAACCACTGTGACATTCCGTGCTCCTGCTGGATGATAGAAAACTACATGAGACCTTCCTTCCACCTGAATTTCATCAAATTCGTAAAATAACGTGTTATTTTCCATAACAACCGCCGGTGAATCAGTATTTCTTCCCTCGTTGTCTATTTTTAACTTCGAGTGCTGTGGTTTGAAGCCTGTAATGTTTTCACCATGATGGTATTTAATTTCACGATATTGTGGACCACGATTGCTTTCATATTTATACACAGTACCCGCACCTCCAACAAGACTTGCCGAGCTCGCTCGTCCTCCAACAGCCTTGTAGGTTCCGCCATATTTGTTACTGAAGTCCACATGTATTCCAATTCGACCGCCAGATCCACTACCGCCCCCTGAAACCCCTTCCCCACCATTGACATTAATTTCACCATGTCCACTCATATTCAAGGCCTCAACAAGAACACTCCCACCGCTTCCTCCTCCTGACTGTGATTGTCCAGCCTTCCCTTGAGCTGTAATCAAACCATCCAGGTGTAAATGATCCTTTGCTTGGAACCTGAGGCTGCCACCACCTTGAAAAAATAATTAGACACAATTTTCAAAAACTGTCTCTTGGTGTTGTTATTTTTTTGCCGATGGTCTGGTTTCCACTGTCAAAATTTGTTATCACTATTAGAAATTCATCTACATGATTTACCTCATCTCATAGGGGGGGGGGCTATAATGGACGGAATACTAACCTTGTCCACCAGCTCCATATTGCCCATAACCTCCACCACTTCCTGGCATCAGAGGTTTGTAAACTGAATCATACGACTGACCCTGATTGCCCGAATTTCGACCACCACGCCCACCATGACCTGCACCAGTTCCGTAAAGTCCATGCCGGAAGCCTTTCCCGATTCCAGCACCAGATCTCCATCCTCGTCCATCTAAAACTAACTCTCCCTTAGATTCCAAGTCCCCAATGGACGTTTGCAAGACACCATGATTCATGAGCACTTTGCCCTCATATTTTATCTCAAATAGACTTGAGGTTACTTGAATTATGACGTCATCTTGACGTAAAATATCAAGAATGCCACCTCGTTTAACAACAATGTTGGAAATTGATGTGTTTCCGGGGTCTGTAACATCAATATATGTACGGTTCTCAAGTATAGCGGTTTGCGCTGTTGACGAAATTCGGACGTACCCCTTATCTTCTACAAAGAAATGACGAACACCTGTCATAAGGCCATGAATTTCTGTGCGAATACCATGCACATGAAACTCGTATGGAAGAATAAGTTCAGCAAACTGGTCAATCCGATAGCTGCATGGTGCTTCAGTTCGGTTGTTTTGTGATTCGATATATTCAACATAAATCTTTTGATTTCGTCTTATGTGGAACTGTCCTGTACCATCTCCGATGAATCTAGATAGGTACCAGATATGAGAATAATAATGTATCAATAATTTCCCATTTACGGTAAATATTTCATATATATTTCAGTCCCTAGTGTGAAATTGGACACAAATATCTCTTACGGTATCTGGGTTATACATTCATTTTATAAGCACAGCCATTTAGAAAGATTCATTAAAGAAGTCATTATCAGTTATAAATCTTGATAAATACCAAAACCTACAATGAAATCTATCATTTACCTGTGGGCGACAACAGTTACATTGACAGCGTCATTCGGATGATACACAAGCAATCTGGAATAGCCGGTCAATTCAACTTCGTCAAACTCATAATGTAATGTGTTTTTCTCCATCAAAACAGTAGCTTCTTCTACATCATAACCAGCGTTATCAATATGAACATATGTATGATCAACAGCCAAGTATGTTGTATTTCTAATCTTGCTGTATTTGAGTTCACGGTATTGTAAAGGTCTCATGTTCTCTTCTAGATAAATAGTTCCAGCAGGTGCACCAGTCCGTGCGTCAGATTGTCCACCATGATCAGAAAACTTACCACCATAAGAGTATCTCCAACGACAATGAATTCCTACTCTTCCTCCAGCTCCACCACCCCCTTGACCTTGACCTCGACCTCCCAAAACGGATATCTCGCCATGTCCAGTCATATTTGTTGATTCAATGAAAATGCTCCCACCGCTACCACCACCAGCATTGGAACCTTTTCCATCCATACCATTGGCTTTAAGCAGACCATTCAGTTCCAGATATTTACTGATCTTCCAGATAAGGTAACCTCCTCCAGACCCCCCAGTGCCATGGCCATTTCCCCCTCCACTTCCTAAATGCATGGGTGTATAGACTGAGCCATACGCCGCTCCACCATTACGTCCACCTTGGCCACCATAGCCAGCTCCACTACCAATGCCAACGCTACTTCCTCCTGCCCCTGGTCCTTTCTCCGCAGAAAACCCAACACCTTCAATATCTATTATTCCTTTGCTATCAAGCGTGCCAAAAGACGTGAATATCTCCCCATGATTAATATATAACTTTCCTTCGTATTTCACCGTAAGTATGTCGCAATTCAATCGGAGAAAGTCGGTATTACGTCGAAACTCAACATCACCGTTCTGCTTTACAACTACTTCAGAAAAAGATAAATTTCCTGGCTCAGACACAAACACATACGTAGAATTCTCAATCAAAGCAGTTTGAGTGGTGGAATTAAAGTCAATTGTAGCACCGTCAGAGACATACAATCGATGTACGCCAGTTATGCGGCCTTCAATAACAGTCCGAGTGCCATGAACATGAAATTCTGCAGGAAGAATTATCTCTCCACCAATATCGATCTTATAGCTGCAAGGAGCTTCCGTTTTGGAACTCACAGACTCAACTACTTCAACAAAGATTCTCTGTTTGTCTTGGATATGGAACTGACCAGATTTATCACCAATAAACCTATGAACAGTCACATTAACTACAGAACTATTGGGATGATAAACTAGCAATCTACTATGGCCTGTCAGTTCCATTTCATCAAATTCATACACTGTAGTATCTTCTTCCATAATCATCGTTGCTCCGTTCACGTCATAGCCTTCATTGTCTACGTGCAAGTACGTGTGATCAACTGCAAGTACGCTGGTGTTCGTGGTCTTTAAATACTTCAAGTGGCGATATTGTAAAGGTCGGAAGTTTTCCTCGATGTAAATAGTTCCTGCTGGGGCACCGACTGTACTGTGTCCTCCGTGATCTGTTAATTTCCCTCCGTATTTATACCTCCATCTACAGTGTATTCCTACACGTCCACCTGCTCCTGCCCCTCCACTTCCCATGCCTTCCCCCCCAGCTACTGCAAGCTCACCATGTCCTGACATGTTTGTGGTCTTAATTAGGATACTTCCTCCGCTACCACCACCAGCGTTAACGCCGGTACCATTTACGCCATTAGCAGACAACCGACCATTTATTTGCAAGAATTTTCCTACCTCCCACAACAGGCTACCCCCACCTGCACCACCAACACCTTGACCATTACCGCCGCCACTACCTAGAACATGAGGTGAATATACAGAGTCATAAGGCAACCCTCCGTTCGAACCAGCACCCTCACCACCATGACCTGCCCCTCCACCAATACCATTCCTAGTGATACCTTTTCCTGGACCTTGTTCTCCTGTAAATCCAGTGCCATCAAGCAGCAAAACACCCTCGCTTTCCACCCAAGCGAACGAACTTCGTATAATTCCGTGATTTAATATCATCAAGCCTCCATACTTCACTCTAAATAACCCACTGTTAAGTATCAACGTGTCATTAATTTTTTTGAACACAATTTTTGAACCACGTTTTACAAGAACGGAGCCAAACGAGAAATTGCCATTTTTATCAATTCTCAAATATTCTCTATTTTCAACTATTGCTGTCTGTGCTGTGGATGAAAACTCAATGACACCACCAAGTGCAACAGCAAGATCGTGAACGCCTGTAATTCTACCGTCTATTTCTGAACGTGTTCCGTATATATGTACTTTGGACGGGAACACAATTTCCGCATCCTGGTCAATTTTAAAGCTACATGGGGCCGTAGTTTCATTTGTCTCTGACTCGACGACTTCCACATAAATCGTCTGATTTTTTCGCAAATGAACTCGTCCAGTTCCGTCGCCAAGAAAATGATGTACAACAACTGTCACATTAGGAGAATTAGGAGGATGGTCGATCTGTAGATTAGAATGACGGGTTAAAAACATTTCATCAAACTCGTAATACACATTTCTGTTCTCCACTAGACTTGTTGAAAATGTAGTTTTTCTGTTCCAGCTGTCAATTTTGATGAACCTGTGTGTTGAAACAGCTTCGGTTCTGTTTGTTTTTTTACTGTACTTAATATCAGCATACTGCGGACCACGTGCAGTCTCCTCAACGTACACTGTCCCCGCTGCTCCATATACCTTTCCTGATCCACCATAAGCTTCATATATCCCCGAGAACTTGTGTTTAAATCGAATATGGATTGCTGCTCGACCTCCTGCTCCTCCCCCAGCTTGACCTGTTCCCGATCCTCCAATCACATTCACGGTTCCATATCCAGTTATGTTGGTGCATTCTATCAATAGACTACCCCCACTTCCGCCTCCTGCGTCATGCCCGTGCCATTAAATCCTTTTAGTGATACCAAGCCATCCAATTCTAAAGTTTGTCCAATTCTCCAGTGTAATGATCCACCTCCTCGTCCTCCAACACCACGTCCGTTCCCACCTCCACTTCCTAAATGGACAGGTCTAAGTATTGATCCATACCACTCCCCAGTACGAGAGGAAGATGATCCGCCCTCTCCGCCGTGACCTGCCCCGGTACCAATCTGCGACGATGTAATCCCTCTTCCAGGTCCAACTTCACTGAGGTACCCAGTTCCCTCTAAAAGCAATAGGCCGCGGCTCTCGACCCAGGCCCAAGAAGAATCAATCTCACCGTGGTTAATACGTACTTCGCCCTCGTATTTCACACGAAATATTCCTGCAGTCAATACTAAGGTGTTATTAATTCGGGAGAAAGAAACCAGGGAACCGCGCTGCACGATTAAAGTACCAAACGTTATGTTTCCCGGAGTTGTAATAAATGTAAATGTCCCATTCTCTCGTATACCTGTTTGAGAAGTGGATGCAAAGGTCACGGACGCATCGTGAGCGACATAAAATTGGTGAACACCAACAATGAAGCCATCAAAGGTACAGCGTGTGCCAAGTATTGTCAGAGATGAAGGGAACGTTATCTCTGAACCTGAATCAATTTTATAACTGACAGGTGCTATAGAGTAACCTTTTTCCGATTCAACTACTTCTACAAACATCTTTTGTGTCGGTCTCAAATGTACTAATCCTGTTTTATCGCCAGAAAATTTATGTGCAACCAACGTCGCGTTTATTCCATGAATCCATAAGATGACGTGATTACGAATTTCTAGTTCATCCAATTCGTAGTACTTATCAACCTCTCTTTCAATTAAAGTGGCTATGTGTCTATTTCTATTTTGGTTATCTAAGATCAATTTGGTGAATCCTTCGCCAAATACGGTATTGTTATGCTTATCAATAGTGTAAGGGCGATGTGAGAGTCCCTTGTTTGTATCCGTGTAATAAATTGTTCCACATGCACCTGCAGGATTACCAAGGCCACCGAGAGCTAAATATGTACCTGAATAAAAATATTGAAATATACCACTTATTTTGAGATTCTTGAAAGAATTTATAATCGAGTTAAGGTTCGGTCATGGGGAAGCAAAAACATCCATGTGTCCAGGGTTATCGCTCTGAAAAGTGACAAGTCGTAGGGATATGATACATTGCTGGTATCAAAATTTCACTACAGTGGGTAAAAAAACTAAGATTCCTACCAGTATATTCTCTCAACCAGGAGACATGGACAGACAGTCTTCCTCCAGAACCTCCACCACCACTTCCCCGACCTTCTCCTCCATTCACCTGAATACTTCCATGACCTGAGAACATCAAAGTTTTAATAAAAATGCTTCCTCCACTACCACCGCCAGAACCGTCACTTGAAGCGTTTCCACCGTTGTTGTCAATCACACCGTCGAGATGAAGAAAATGACCGGTCTCAATCTAACGGTAAAAAAATATTAAACAAATGAAAAATTATTTAATATTTATTATTCATTATCTATTTATTTCAACTGCACTAAATATTTTGTATAAATCAAGCGAAAATTAAACATGTTTGCGAAAATTAAACTTTTTTTTTTATATTTTACAAGAATCAAAACGATGGTTTAATTTAATTACGACATTGAAAGCTTTCATATGATCACCAAACTCATGAAACAAATGCGCGGAGTCAAGATTGAAATGATTTTGTACACCTCAAAGTTATTCTGGCTTTTTTAAAGGTTCCAAGGATTGTTTCACTAATTTTTACACCAGCTTAATATCCTCCGTATGACATACCTTAATAACACTTCCACCAACACCCCCATGAATACCTCCACCTTTACTCCCAGGATGTGTAGGTACACTATAGGATCCATAGGGTTCGCCACCGCCGTTGACTTCATAACCACCTCCATATCCCCCATGCCCACCACCAGATCCCGACCTCTGTGTATAGTTTCCTGTCCCCAGACCTGGATCTTCGCTTCGCGCAGACGTAGTAATCCTTCCCTCGCCTTCAATATCAATCGCTGTAGATTTAATATTGAAATATTTTGCTGACATTAACGTCTTTTGACGCATGGTAAAATAGCCAATATCAAGTAGTGCACCATCTGTAAACACCAACTTTGCATTATACTCTAAATTCAGCATTCCGAGATTAATGGCGACAGCGGACGAGTTTTTACGATGTAATGCGACCGTTATTGAACCAGTTTTGCTGACGTGGCAGACTTTTGAGGTGCTCAATGTAAATTTAGTCACTCCCCGAATTGTTCCCCGTAGATCAACTGCCGGGGTCATACCGCCGCTTATACGGAGATCGTTTACCGTTATCAAGTCCCCATCCTCTTTTATAACGAGATTAATTTTAGGGTTAGATCTTTTGCTTGTTGCTTTTTGATATTCCATGTAAAAGGTTTGATTGGACTGAACGTGGACAAGAGATGTACCATCACCGTACACTAAACCAACATATACGGAGGGATTCAGAGTTCCATTTTGAGTAGGGGTAATGATTTCAAATATGGCCTACAAAAAAAAACGTGAAACTTTGATATCCGGGTGATTGGGTGATACGCAAAAAATTTCTAGCATAGTTAATTTCCATTCATGAATAAACTCGTAGAAATGAAATTTCTAAGGAACTAACTCCATGCATAACTTACTTTGTTAATGATCATAACTTCATCAAAATGATAATCTGTTAAAACACCATCCACTCGTTTATGATAGTCTTCCCGAGGATTTCTTTCATTTAACACAAATTTCTTTGTTGGCTTTGCGTTATTATTGTCAATATACAATCTACTGTGAATGTAAATGCCACGAGTTTCTTCAACATAAACTGTTCCAAGTCCTCCTTGCAGAGAACCTTTGCTTTCTCCACCAAACGCTGAGTATGTACCCCGGAATTCGTCTTCTTTTCTCATATGTATGGCAATTCGTCCGCCCGCACCACTCCCGCCTAATGCTGAACCATAAGTATTTCCTAGTCCACCACGCGCAGTTATTTCACCATGTCCTTTAAAGTAGTTAGTGGTGATCCAGACACTACCCCCGCTTCCACCTCCACTACCTAAAGAAAGAATACCAAGCTGATATAAGTGACAAGCTGAGCTGAACGATAAGATAACGACATTTTCGAATTTGAAACAAAGATTATCGCAAAAAAATTGCAAAGTTTGTGGAAGTTACACTGCAGCAGTGGCGTAGCCAGCCTTTAGTTCTGCTATGCAAATTTCTGGTCAAAACTCACCAGAATTGACATTAGCATTTTCTGCATCCACATCAACTACGCCATCTAAATGGAATGAATGTCCAACAGTTATCCTCATTTTCCCACCACCTCGACCACCGAGTTTTCCGCTAGAGCCCATTCCTCCACGGCTTCCTTCACTAACAGGTTCATACAAGGATCCGTAGGTTGTTTCTAATTTCAAATCATCTTTACTCCCACCATGAGTTGCATGACTGGCGCCAAATCCTCCATCACTTGCATTCTTTCCAGCACCCAGGGTATAGAAATTAAATCCTCGACCTTTAGAGTTGATTACAGCATCAATTTCTAAGAAAAATTCTGTTGCTTCGATTTTAAAGAATTCGGCGTTGAATCTTGAGTCGAACTTCATATCCTGTAAGAAAAAGGAATATCAGAAGAGATTCACGGTTAAGTATGATATTTTAAGTTTTCAAACATTTCATCACCAACCAGTAATCCAACAGTAAAATGCATTCCATGAGGTGAAGGATAATCCACTTGTGACTTGCTACTGAACTCCAATGTTGAAAAATGAAATGTTCCTTCCGTTTCTGAGGATACGAATTTATTATTCTCAATAGTTCCTGTATGAGCTTCAACACCAATGTTTGCACGTCGTCCATAGGCCAAATGCAAATGCATAACATTGATAAGCCTTCCTCGCCAATCAAATGCTACAACTCCTTCTCCAATCATGTGAACTGTGGTTGACATTATAGCAGAAGAATTTACATCCAACTTGAAGTTAGCATGAGCACGAGTTATAGTGCGCTTAGCATCTTTCACTTCTGCGATGAGGAATTGATTCTCGTGCACGTGAACAAGGCCACTCCTATCACCGATAATTTTATGTATCGTCAAATTTAAGCGCTTTCCATTGTTGATCATATGCAGCGAGGCTTTCCTCGCCAAGTAAACCTCGTCAAATTCATATGAGTCCCTAGTTTCGTTCAACGTGACGTAATGACTAAATGGCCTATTTTTGTTGTCTAATATTAAACGGTCATGGGAAACATGGTTACGTAATTCTTTGATGTAGACAGTCCCAGGTCCACCAGATGCTAAAGTAAGCTCATTCCCAGCATCACCAGCGCTACCACCAATCGCAAGAAATTGGCCAAAATAACGACTTTGGGTCTTTATGTATACTGCAAGCCTTCCACCAGATCCTCCTCCTGTTTTTCCACCATTTCCGCTTCCCCCAGATACATCAAGGACCCCATTACCAGTAAACTTAATTGTATCGACCAAAATACTACCACCACTTCCCCCGCCTGATGGGAGATGACCGCCATCTTGACCCCGTGCGCTCAACAAACCATCCAAATGTAATGCATCTCCGACGGTTAAGAAAAACCTCCCACCAGCATTTCCCCCTGCGTCACTGTTTCCACATCCATTTGTGCCAAATTCCTTAGGTAGATACAAACTTCCATATGGCTTTAAAGATACGCTTGGGTCAGCATTTCCGCCACCACTAGCATAAGTGCCGCCAGAACCATGGCAACTGGAAGATGGCGAATGAGATTTCATTATTTTTGGTCTGTCAGATCCAGCTGCTGTCATTGAACCTCCAGTCTCAACATTCAATGATGTGATGTCTAAATAATAGGGTAAAATACTAAGACTTTACATTGTTTACATTGTCGGACCAAGTTTTTGATTAGAATCGTTTTTCGCCTTTCCTCAAGGCACAAAATGAAAAAAGAATTAACCAACAAAATATCTAAAAGAAAGTATCTACGAAATCATAATCAAATACTTACTCATATGAAATTGGTCAGCAAACACTTTTGCTCTATACTTCACGTCAATTTTTCCTGCTAGACCTTTCATTCCATGTGACGTCATAAAAGATAGCTCTGCTCGATCATGAATTTCTAACGTCGCTAAAACAAATGTTCCGGGTGGACTAGGCACCAGACTTTGATTATGAAACCTAACAGTCTGAGCTTCCGACATAAAGACCATTTTTCTTTCTTTTGTCAAAAACAAATGTTGAACACCGATGATACGACCGTTAACACTCAGCGCATGGCCGTTAGGACTTTCACGGCTGTGACTGACCACATAGAGCGATGTATCAAGTACAGCAGTGCCATGTTTGTCAATATTTAGATTTATCGATGGTCGTGAAACTCCGCCATGACCTGTCGAACCACGCAGATAGAATGTATGATTGCTTCCGACGTAAATATACCCAGTTCCGTCCCCTGTAAGTTTATCAGTTTTTAAACTTCTCTTTGCACCATCTGGTTTAAGTTTTATGGCTGTCTTTCGTTTAATAATAACTTCATTAAAAATGAAATCGGTGACATTTCTTTCGTCAAGTGTAACAAAAATGAGATTAGTTCCTTGTCTTTCACCAAATCTCAGTTGAGAATAAAAACGCTTGTTCTTTAAATACCGCAAAAATACCGTCCCAGGGCCTCCATACCTACTTTGATCTCCCGGTCCTCCTGACGCTCGATAAACTCCCCTGTATAAAATATCTTTCTCAGAGTATATTGCAATTCTACCACCTGCCCCACTGCCAGAGAGAATACCACCTGATGCTCCCCCACGCACATCCATTACTCCAAAGCCACGATACGAATGTGTGGTAACGTGGATACTACCTCCGCTTCCCCCTCCTGCGTTACTTCCCCTTATCCCGTTTCCACCAGAAACAGTTATAATTCCATCAACTATCAACTGCGATCCAATTTTCAGGATCAGACTTCCTCCCCCTTGCCCGCCTTTAACATTATTCGTTCCTAAACCCCCCGGTTTACCGCGTTCAGTTGGGTGATATAAGGAACCATGGTATGGACTTTTTTCTTTAGTACTACCTTCTCCTCCCTCGCTTCCATGACCGCCACCAGTCCCTTTTGGTAAGTGAGACAGCTCTGATTTTGATCCGATAACACCATTTTCACCAGAACAGTCAATTCGACCACCAATTTCAACGTGGAGGGACGAAAGAGTAAATGAAAGAGAGGTTGAGATTAGTGATGCATTATACTTGATATCAATGCTGTCCGCCATTATCTTTACCTGGTGAATATCATCGATCACCAATACACTGCTACTGTGCAGGATGAGTGAACCGAATTCCAATACTCCTTTGGATCCCGTAAAATCTCTTCTATCCTTACCTATCCCAAGTATAGAACTTTCATAGAACCTCACCACTCGGTCACGTGCTAGCTCCATATTGCGCATGCCGAGAATGATACCACGTGATTCGATGGAATAATGTCGTTGACCCACAACAATGACGCTATGTGGAAGGATAACCAGCCCTTCCTCGTCTACTTTAAAACTTACAGGAACACGAGCCGGGGTTCTTTCGCTGATGACCACTGTCTCATTTCGATGTACATGTATAAAACCACTTCTATCACCAGAAAGTAACCCAATTCGTAACCTTTGATGGATGTTTGGTTGTTTTAATAACTGTAATGCGGCGCCGCCACGTAAAATAATTTCATCAAACTCATATTCATGTTTGTCCTCTTTCAGAGTAACAAAAACTTTCTGCGTGGAAAAACGATTGTCAAGTATCAGTTGTGTAGAAGTGCGCCTATTTCTTGTTTCACTAATAAAGATAGTTCCGGGTCCTCCATTCAACCGCGAAGAACCACAGTTAAGACTGGCGCTACGGATGCTACCACGATAATTGTACTTTGATTTCAAGACTATCCCTATACGTCCTCCACTACCGCAACCACCGCTTCCATCTCCTCGACCACCATCGGCAATAATTTCTCCCTTACCCACGAGATTATCAACCACAAGGTATATGCTTCCACCACTTCCTCCACCTGCATTTGATCCACGGTGCGCATCTCCACCATTCACAGTCAACTTACCATCAACTTGCAGCAATGCTGCTTCAATAAAGATAACGCCTCCACCATTTCCTCCAGTTCCTGATGATGATCCTCTTCCTCCTTCACTGCCGGGATTTTGAGGTTTAAATATATTTCCGTATGACTTATCATCTGGCGTTTTGCCTCCAGGACTTGCATAACTCCCTCCAAACCCCACGTTAGAACTTGATGATCCGGCTCCAGACCCTCCGGAAGACACGCCATCAGCAGACGTGATCGTTCCTCGTTCGAGGATCAGACTTCCTGCAGCAATTTCCAAATCTTTCACGCGAATCATCACGCCATTCTTCACGATCATATCAGCCGTCTGAATTCGTAAATTTTCAGGTGCACTAAACGTAGTTCCACTTTTAAGAGTCAAACTTCCAAACAACTGAGTTCCGGGTAAAGATAAATAAACAGAACCAAATGTTTTAAGATAAACGCCAGTCTGCGACTTCTCAGAAAAGGTCACACGACTTCCTGTCTCTAGTGTGAAATGCCGTACATTCATCAGCTGCCCATTGACTGTAAGCTCTGCGCTATCAACAAACAATTTTGATGCAGTAACAAACAGACCTTTGTACTGAATAATGAGATTCGTTCGAAGTGTAAAAGATGTCTCTTCAGATTCGCTAGTTTCTGAGAACATAACTTGATTTGCCTGAATCACGATTTCACCCTGAGTATCAGCCGAGAGTTTTGCCACAGATATCTCCATTTTTTGGTTATAGTTTTTATTTTTATTGAAAAAATAGACGCCTGCTGGTCCTTTCATCTTAAGTTCATCTAAAGACACATAATCGCCAAGGTTGTTTGTTAACGCCGTCATAGGTTTTGCATCTGATTTCATGGCATGGTTGTCTACAATTACAATTTTCCTGGGAATACGATCTTTATTATCTTCGATGTAAACAGTTCCTGATGCCCCGATGTACTTCCCTGACCCACCATGTATCTCGAAGTCTCCTTGGAAAAGTAATGTGCTATGAAGATGAACAGCAACGCGACCACCACTGCCTCCACCACCCGCTACATTACCGTTACCACCTCTGGCCCCAATTACGCCAACACCTTCTAAACTTCTTGATTGGATGTAGATACTACCGCCACTACCCCCTCCACAAGCAGATCCTTTGCAATTTTCACCACTGACCAATATTGAACCATCAATTATAAGTTTTTCGCTTGTTAATATATTCAAATAACCCCCGCCATTTCCACCATGTGACGGAAAGTATCCTCCACCTCCACTTCCAAAGTTCGTAGGTGCGACCATATCACCATACCATTTTCCACCAGAACTAATGTCACCACCCCCTATACCAGCATGCCCAGCACCTCGCCCATAGCCATATTTATATGCACCAGCACCATCACCACGACCACTAGAATACCCTCTTTCAGCAAGATCTATCCTTGCACCTGAATGAACAAGTATAGTCACAGCTTGAATGCTCAGCCAACGTCCCTTTAATACCGATCCATAACGTAATTCCAATGTTGCAAAAACCAAGGGAACCTCTGTTAAGTCAGACTTCTCAAATGACACAATCGAATTACTTTTTAAAAGCAGGGATGCAAACTTGTATTCACCTCGTTTTGATATAAATGTATAGTTTCCATCAACAAAAAGTGCTGTCCTTGCAGAAGCAGAAAGAACTGTTTGACGTCCTTCACCGATGACCATGTCTAAAACACCAGTAATAGTTCCAGAAAACCGATTGTTTGATCCAAGAAAAGTAACGGAGGAAGGAAGTCGTAGTTCACCATGTTCTGCGACATGAAAATTACACGAGGGACTAGACGCACGCTGGCTTGTATCAATCTCCACGATAATCCCATTAGGTATATTCAAAGTACTGAGAGAACTGGTGATAAGTTTTTCAACAACCATGTGATGATCAGGTATTAGTTCAATGCTTCCCATTAAATGAAGTATATCAATGTAATAACTGCTCACAGTTTCACTTAGAACAATGGGAAGTTGCTTTGAAAGACTGATATCTTTGTTATTCAAAATCAATGTTCTTATCGTTAATCCGTTTTTCTTCTGAAGCAACCATATTGTTCCAGGGGAACCCGAGGGTAATTTTACACCAGTACCTCCTCTAGCATCAAGCGTCCCAGTAAAAATATCATTTCCCTCTGTATTGATGTAAATCCTTCCCCCGCCTCCGCCTCCTCCTTCGGTTCCCGATAAACCCCCCCGTGCATACACTGAACCTCGCCCTCTGAATATTTCCTTGATAGACATGTAAATACTGCCTCCACTTCCTCCCCCTGCACTTCCAAGACCATTCCCACCATTGGTAGTAATCGTACCATCAAGGTGTAGAATGCCTACATCTAATACAATGACCCCTCCGCCCTGACCTCCATTACTCCCAGTTGCAGCACCACCACCACTACCTGGCTGAGCTGACCCAAACATTGACCCATATATTGGACAAGAGTTTCCAGTATAACCTCCACCACATCCACCGTAACTACCCCCCTTCCACAACGAGCCCCCAGAAAAACCACCTAAACCTGGTCCTGACCTGTTCCCAAGCCCATCTGATATGATCTGGCCTCCCATGTGTATATTTATCACAGGTGTCTTAAGGAGCACATGTGGACTTTGAAGGATACCATTGTATTCAATGTTAATGGATACGGCACGGACTTCGAGCCTTGATTTTCCACCATTGTTGAATACAACACGGCCGCCACTTAAGATATGAAGTTCACGGAACGTGAGAATACCCTTTTGTGAAGATTTTGTTCCAATGATTCCTTCAGGAGCAACTGAAACTAAAGCATTTCGTCCAATTATTAATTCTTGCCCTCCCTGTACTTTGCCAAAAACATCGAAACTTGGCTTCAATGTTGTTTCCTTCACAAACACGCGTGATGCTAGAACCAGTTCACCACCCATCTCAACGCTAACCGCACAACGTAGCACAAATGGTTGAAAACCTGTCACGCTACTAGATCCCAAGAGCAATTCCTGGTTTTTTAACACACGTAGTTGACCAGTGAAATCCCCTTCTAAATCCAAAACACTTATTCTCGTTTTATTTGAGCTTGGGTTGACTACTTCAACTCTCCCTCCCTGGGTAATCTTCAGTTTTTGCAAAGTGTATTTAGTTTGTGTTCCGTGCATAATACTGGTGATACCCGAACTCTGTCGTCCAGCATTGTCCACAATCGTTGTTTCATAAGGAATACCCACCACATATTCTCTGATAAACACAGTTCCAGCGGCTCCACATTTGGTTCTACATCCCCCAAAACTACTTACTATTCCTGAATAATCTCGTTTGTCCTCAACATACAAAGCAATTCTACCTCCAGAGCCCCCACTTATCCCGTTTGCTCTAAACACCCCTGATCCTTTAAGTAATTTTGCCTTTATCATCAGACTTCCTCCACTACCACCGCCATCCCTCTGTGACCCTACACCATCAGCGTGCACCTCACCATCCACATGCAGCACTCCAGCGACAATTATAACAATTCTTCCTCCCCCGCGATGAGATACCCTACTTGAATCCAGACTTCCACTACCAAACTCAGTTGGTTCGAAGACAGAACCATAAACAGAATCTTTCTTAGCACCAGCACCTTGTCCTCCATGGCTTCCACCAACTCCTGCGTGACCATCATACCCTGGACCTTGTTCGTGTCCCCCGCCCGTTACTCCCACCGACGCAAAACTATGTATTTCCAAATGGTTGGAAGTGATGTTGAAGGACTTTAAAACGGATTTTGAGAGTAAAGAAGAACGAGACTTGAATATCAATTGCTTGCACATAATCACGAAATCGAAAGCGGACACCATTAATTCTGCATATGGTCCAACGACTATTTCATCTATTTGGAGTTTGGATGAGAGTGCAGAAATATGGACTGTCGAGTACTGCCTCATTATAAAGGAATTCGTCTTCAATGTACCGTTATTCCAGTTGAAATTCGTCTTCTTTGCTAAAGTCAACCTTGGCGTTTTAACAATACCCCAGAGATTCACAGTTCTGGTAAAAATAACTGGTACTTGAATGTCCACAACACCACTTACGTCCAGCTCGCATGTAATCTTTTCATTTAAAGGCAGTTTTGTGATTACTAATTTATGCCCCTTAGGTATAACAATCTTTCCACTCCCATCAGTCTGTAATAATTTAACTGTCAATTCAGAAAATGAAACCCTGAAAACAGAAGACTGTGCAATATAAAGCGAGTCAACTTCAGTCAATGTTGTGTTTTGAGGTAAGAAAGCAGGTTCAGCTCCCTGACCTTTTATAACAAGACTTCCATTGATGCTATTTTTATCATGAATGTAGATTGTCCCTGCTGTACCTCGAAACACGCCATTGCCGCCGTATGCCTCTTGGTGTCCCTGGAAATTATCAACTGATGAGTTCACATGTACTGCAATTCGACCACCTCCACCACCACCCGAATTTCTGCTTCCCCCACCATTTGCTCTTAACACTCCTGTACCTTTTAAATTGTGAGCAAATACAAGAAGGCTACCACCACTACCTCCTCCCCCATTTGTAACACTTTTTCCGCTGACATCCACCACTCCATCAATAATGAAATCATACGCTACGTTTATCTTAAGTTGACCCCCGCCACTTTGGGACCCACCCCCACTTGTACCATAGCTTTCCGGTAAAACGACATCACCGTGTACGTCACTTGGGCTAGCCCTACCACCAATACCGCCGTATGATCCACCTGTACCCAATGACAATTGACTGGACCATTGCCCGGGTTTAGCCTCGAGTTGCCCGTTGGAATAAATTCGAAGATATTCGACATTTAGAGCGTTTTTATTTACACGGCCAGGATCGGCTTCGAAGCTCATTATAGCCTCGCTCAAAATATCTAAACGTCTATAATTGTAGACTCCTGGTCTGAAAACACAAGTTTGACCGGGCAACAGACGGAAGTCTGTATAATCACAGGTTATATTGTAGTTCTCCGTGTATTTCGTAACATTTACTAGTCTATAAATCCCATCACTGTCTGAAATATTCATCACAACTTGATAAGGAATTGGCGCGGAGACTGAACTCCACTCTCCTTCACCACAAGGATTGTATTCCCTATTTTTTGAAGTATGTTTTACTATACCATAAGGACATAGACTACTTCTCAACGCCGGCCCTCTTCCTTGCACGATTTTTTCGTTGTACGTGGTAGCACTATGAGAGACGCGATAAAATGCTCCATAATCTATCTTTAACACGTCTATATTTAATTTAACTTTACTTGAATGTGAACTTTCAACAATACCACGTCGCTGTACGTGTAATGTTTCAAATTGAAATACTCCTGGATGTGTTCTGTAGCTTGTACTTCCTGGGTACACGGCGGTAAATTTGCTGTTCTTTGCAATGCTGATATTCTTTACGCCAGTCAAGCTGCCGCCAACATTTAGATTTACACCATCAGTCAATAATACATTCTCTGGAAGCAGAACAAATCCATTATTCTGGATATCGATATTAGTTTGCAACATCATTGTTGTTGTACTAGAAACATAAACATTTTGCTCGTTTTCAACTCTTAATGTACCAGTTCCATCACCATATAGTTTAGTAGATATTTGCAATGTCATGGATTGATCAGTGCCACAGGAAATCAACTTTAGCTTTCCACCACGTCGGATTTCAATCTCACTAAAATGGTAGTCGATCGCTTTTGTTTGACAAACCAAAGCGGAAAATCCAGCTGAGTTTTGGTTGTTGTTGTCCAAAACAAGTTTTCCATTGGAGTTATCTCTTCGTAAATAGATCATTCCTGATGCTCCTGGAGTATTTCCAGTCCCACCAGATATTTGAAGGTCGAAAAGTAGCGAGCTCTGTTTGTAATATATAGCAAGCATTCCACCACTTCCACCTCCGCCATTATAACCTCCGTTGCCCCCGGAAACTGAGATGATGCCATCACCATGAAGCATGTTCGTCGTGATCCAAATGCTACCGCCAGCAGCGCCACCTGCTGTACTGATACCAGGCTTTCCTCTGAAAAGAGTAAATAGTTTAAAACTTGTACGTTAAAATATTATCAAACAAAAGAACTCAACCTACAATCACAGTTAGCACAAATTTATGACATTCGTGTTTTGTGACTGAACTGGTCCACAAGTTTCGACCAGATAATTCAACCAAAAAACAGATAACTCGCTAAATAACTCAATTACTATCGTTATCAATCGTTAGAGTCAACCAATGCAATAATGATTTAACCCATCTTCATTTATACGTTAAGAAACCGTTCATCTTTGTTAGCATAATGATGAAAATCATTTACTAAAACGTAAAAAAAACCTTGCAGATATTTCTCCATTAATGATTAAACGATCATTAACAATAGCACGAATCACACCACCCCCAGGTGCACTTGGTGTGGATTTGTAGCGTGGAGGGCCACCGCCTTCGCCAGGATATACAGGCTCCATCACAAAATCATAAGGTCCTCCAAGTGATCGCTGGCCTCCATAACCAGCGTGGGAGCCTCCTGATGACTCTTGTTTTGCTCCTAGAAATACGAAAATCGCTGATCAACAATCATGTACACGTGAACTTCTTAACATTTATGTTCTACTTGTATAATTAATTATATTATTAAGTTAACATAAACTGCTAACCTCCATAACTCGTCTTCAATACACCTTGAGTAAATCCTTGACCATCAACTGTGATCTTTGCCATCTCCTCTACTTCCACAATATTACTTTTAATTGTCAACCTTCTTGCTTGCACTAAACCCTCAGCTTTCACTTCAAGCCTGGACGTTTCCAGAACATTTCCGTGTTCGGAATTCGTAAATATCATCTTTCCACCTGCCTTTACAGTTACTCTTTCAAATACAAAGTGACGATCAACATAGGGGCTACGGATGAATGATCCCGTGTTGACGCCAAAATTCATTGTTGTCTCAGATACAGTGAGCTCTTTAAGCCCCTTCAAACGTCCCTCGCAGTTAAACACAGTCTTTTTCACTTCAATACTCGGTGGTAACCCTAACGTACCGCTTTTATACACTTGGATATTAACAGGAAATATAACACCAGCTTCCTGCACATGAACAGTTTGTCTTTGACCAACATGTAAATAGCTTGTCACGCCATTTCTTAAGTCATTATTTTTCAGTCTTCCAACAACCATCTCCTGATCAAATGAGCTAGACTGAAGAACTAAATGTGATCCTCCAGTCAGAGTAATTTCACTAAAATCGTATTTGCTTTTATTAGGAAGTGCAGGCAACCATGTTCGAGCATTATCTTTCCGCGGGTTGGCATAGTTGACAAGTACAGTTAGAGGCTTTTGATTTTTGTTTGAAACAGAGAGATATTTTTTATTGTTTTTATAGTCTTCTTGAAACACGGTACCAGCAGCCCCTGCTTCATACAATGAACCTCCACCATAAGCGGATATATGACCGGTAAATGAACTGGAGCGATAATACACTGCGATTCTTCCACCACTGCCTCCTCCTCCATAACTGTTACCAGGACCTCCAGATGCATCAATCATACCCTCACCTCCAAACGTCGTAGTATTGATATATATACTACCTCCACTACCACCGCCATGATTCGTACCTTGCGCATATACACCGCCCTTACATTCGATATTTCCGTCCAACTGTAAAACACGTGTGGTTATTTGTATGACTCCACCTCCTGGGGATTGCCCACCACCCCCAACACTTCCAAATGATGAAGGGCGGATCATACTACCATAAAATGCACCAGTGTCTACGTCATAGCGCCCGCGACCACCAGTACCACCATGGCCAGCGCCTGATGAACCACGTGGATTGTATCTTCCATAACCTGGTCCTAGTCCACTGATTATACTCTAAAATATACGCAACAAATGACATTTTTATCATTTGATCTCTAACCTTAAAGCAAGATCCAACAATCTCTCATTTTTACTACAGGATATATTCACCTTGTAGAATTGAGGCAAATAGTAACTACACGCTTACATTATGAAAATCATTACCTTTGCTTCGTAATTTGCTTCCAAGATGCCAGATTGGTCAATTTTGACAAGATTTGCAGTAAGGTCTAGTTTGGTGGCATGAAACTTTCCGCCACTGCTAACAATAAGTTGATTACATGACACAGACAGGCCACCAGAATCACTTTCCACTTCGAAAATACCTCCACCTTGAACGCTGATGACATCAAATGTAGTGTGACGTGATATATTTCCTTCAGGGTCAATCATTTTTCTAATAAAAAAAATAGTGTTGTGCCGTTTAAATTTAAAGAAATGGCTGCATCAAGATTTCAAAAACCCAGACGCGATTGAACACTTTGAACATCCCAAAATGACTTCAACCGACGTGGTGAATTTTTTAGGTTCGACTTTAACCACCATATGTTTTATACTTCTTATTTAAAACTGGAAAGTCGTTTGTCCATGAAATGCGTTTTGGACTTGCGACCACGTCCGCAACCACAGTAAAATTTAAAGTTGGGTTACAGTCGGTAATGTAAACAAACACCTTGTTTACAATTTATTTCTAAAAATATCAAGAATTGTTAAAATATTTTACACTATTTTGGTTCGATCTAGTTCTAAATGAATATGAGCTGGAGTCTACTACCCATTGTAATGAGTGGAACCTTGTTTTTTTGTTACAGCGTGTGTTGCTCTATTTGTTCCGCTGTTTAATTGTGTTATGCCATGCACTGTTGCTCCATCCTATATACCGTAACGTGGTTATGATATGAAATATAGGAAACAGTTTTCACCTTAAAATAACTTTACCACCATTCGCTACCGTAAGATTCCTGGCTCCATTTAATCGTCCCGCAACAATAATCTTTATTCCGTTCACCACAAAACTCTCTGAGAGCGTCAGCTCTCCCCGCGGGTAAACATTTATACTCCATGGTAAGTCAGCTGATTTGCTTACTTCCTCTTCACCCGTAATAACAAGTTTTTGACTACCAAGTATATGTAATAGACCAGTCTTATCTCCTGTGATGCTGCCTATGTCCCACTCCAAAATACCTTCGCTGGAGTTCCTCATTGATGCTAACTGACCCAGGCCACGTATTTCAAGGTGACTCAAAATTACTTGGTGTGAACCCTCTGAGGGTGTCAACCATGTCCTTCCTCCGTCGCGTTGAATGTCTGTGATGCTATCACTAGATGGTTTACCAATATTTTGGTTGTCGATAATTAACTTCTTAAATCTGCCATCCTTACTTGAGAGATACACAGTCCCAGCACCCCCTGGGGATAAATTACTCTTTCCCCCATAAGCCTCGAGTTTACCTGCAAACGTGTTGTTTTCAAATGTGGTTGCTATGCGGCCACCGCCACCACCACCACCATAGCTAAGACCATTTCCACCATTAGCCTGTATGGTACCTCTTCCAGTAAAAATTTTACTTTGGATCCAAATACTACCACCACTACTTGCACCAATGCCTGCACGAGGACTGTCATTACCTATGGCAACGATTGTACCATCTACTGTGGTTAATTCTTCGGCATACAATTTAACAACCCCTCCAGCAGGAGCACCATTGCTGCCACCAGTACTACCATACATTATTGGATTCTGGAAATCACCATAGGAAGCACCGGGACGATCAAACACGACTCTACCATAACCACCACTTCCACCATGACCAGCCCCTCCATTTCCTTATCAAAATAGATAATTAAATATTATTACAAAAATATACAATTAATTCCCAGGTAATGTGACTGTCCCAACCTGAACCAAAATACTGTTTACAAGATAATAACGGTACCAGGAGATAATAGAAGGAATTAAACCCAGAAAACGTAAATTGACATTTCCAATTACATATATTTCTATCTTTATATCTCTCCAAACTTTCTATTCTGTTTTTTATATCTTTTTAAACTGAAAAAAATACTATACCTTTTCCAGTGCCCAGCGAGAACCCAGATGATTTTGTGACAATACTGCCGGCGACTTCTATTGTGATATTTCGTGCGTGAACATCGACATTCTGACCGCTGATCATCCCTCCAGGAAATACGTGAAACTTGTCGGAGATATTTAAATTTAGAGACTGGGTAAGAAACTTAGGATTCTGGAAGTTAAGGCGAGCGTTTGGCATTACTGTCAATGAACCAAACATAAAACTGTTGTCTTTTAACCCATAAGAACTGGCCTAGGAATAAATAACAAAATATATGAGAGATAAACCTGGCATAGCAAAAGATAATTTTTGGGGAACGAATGATAAATATATATTTTTAGCGAACAAAATAGAAACAAAAATTGAAGTTAGCGCGACAAATTGTAATACGCAAAAATTGATACAATTAGATAAATAAGTGATACCACTCAGTGTAGGTAATAGTATAGTTCCAAGTGCTATAACGGATATTAGCAGCCTTATCCCAACAAGAGATAACACTCAGCACAATAAATCATGAATAACACAACAATAACTTGGTGTTAAGACTTCAATTATGGACGTGACAAGGCGAACAACATTAAAGAAGTACATTTTTCGTTGGGAATAATTATTAAAATACAATTTAACTTTACCTCGTTTCCAAGGAATACACTGACACCTGTACCAATACGAAAATCGCTGATAAAACCAAGTTTTCCTTCAATAAATAACTGCGAGTATACGCTGAGCTTGTTGAGATGAACGACACGAGGAAGAGATAAATATCCACCTCTGTACACGCGGAACCAGGATGGAAACTCGGCTGAAGCTGATTTGATGACAAGACCCGCTCGTACGTGTAACATACCTGTGCTATCACCTGTGAACATATTTATTGATATATCTCCAGTCACGCTCAACACAAAAGAAACATGTGCACCTCCAAACAAACGCAGTTCATCGTAGTCCAAATCTTCAGGTGAATCCACTAATATCCAAGCTTTTCCACCATTCTCATGTTGATTGCTGCTAACCAGGTAACTATTCAAAGGAACCAATCCATTATTGTTTATTTCCAAAGTCTGCAATGCTCCAGTTTTGCGATAAATCGTCCCTGGTCCTCCAGGTTCACGATTGCTCGTCCCCCCCTGTGCCGACATTTTACCATTGAAATCAGTTTTGTTGCAATTAATGCTCAGTCGACCACCGCTTCCACCTCCTCCGTTGTTTACAGCTTTCCCGCCATTAGCAAGCAGTTGACCTTTTCCTATGAACCTCTCAGCCAATAACATGACACTTCCTCCACTTCCACCACCACTTCCTGCTTGACCATCACTTCCGCTGACGTCAATAGTGCCGTCAATATCGATAAGTAGAGCTTGAAGAGACACGACGCCACCACCTGCACCTCCGGGCTATAATAAAAAAAATCGGCCCAAAGACTTATGGTGAATTCAAATCGGTAATGATTGCCGTAATAATCGCCAAACAAAGCCTTAATTTTCTTTGCATAAACGTCACGTAAAAATAGCTGTTGGACTTTAATACGTATACCGCGGCTGTCGGAAATTATACATTTATTGAGGTTCAAAGAGAGTTTTAATACGTTAACCTTAAACCAAAAACTCGAATGAAACAAAAAGGATCATATGATTTCGACGTTAACTTACCAATTGACTTGAACCCCGTCCACCACCGCTGCCAAATTCCTGAGGAGTTTTCACGGAGCCATAAGCCACCCCTACTCTTATTTGGTCTCCACGCCCTCCTGTTCCACCATGTCCCGCTCCTGAGCCACCTTGTAGCAATGAAACACCAGAGCCAGTTCCTTGGGTTGAGGGATAACCTCGGCCACGAGCTTTCAATAATGAAGACGTGTCTAGTTGAATCTTTTTTGCCTGTGAAGGAACATAATGATCGTGAAATCTAGAGGTATCTCGATCACTGGTCGCTGGTTAATCGAGGGAGATTGAACAGCATATAAAAAATATTCAGTATTTTAATACAACATAATGTCACACCTGAAGAAACATTCCACTAATGTCAGCCGTACCATAAGCATTTACAACAAAATCATCTTTAAGAATTATATTCAGTTTTCCAACTGTTAAATCACCTAATGACTGTTGCAACAGTCCACCTGTAAATATATGTAGGCTGTCAAATTTCAAACTACTTGTGGTCGCTGCACCCAAACTGGTTTCAGGAAAAACATTAAATATGCCCTTTTCATCAATTCGTAATCTTTTTAGTCCCAATATTTCTCCTCTTCCGACGAATATACCGTTTGTTATATGCGTTTCTTCCGACAAAACAATCGTGGATTGCTGCAAGTAAAGTAATTAAAATTCATTACCAAGATAGTATAAATAAAAAACAGACAAACGAAAGACAGGGAAGAAATTAAAATTTATATTTCTTAGATACGTACCTTATACGTTTGCACGTTAAATGGTAATACAGTAATCTTTTGGCTTGATATATTAACTATTTGTTGAGCACCAACATGTAGGCTGCCAGTATGATCACCATTCACTTCATTTATAATCATACTGCGGTTGAGTGATGGTAGTTGTAATATTCCAAGATGCGCCGAACCACTTATTTGTAGATAATCAAACTCCAAGTCGTTAGAAATGTCAGGAACCAACCACGTTCTTGCGCTATCTTCAACGATATTTCCCTGTTTGAAATCTCCAGAATCCCGACCAATGAAAAGCTTTATCTCGGACAATGAAATGTATTTTTCCAAGGCTCCAAGTTTAATTTCTATTGATGTTATTTCATTGTTTATTTTAACATCATGGAACACGCCAGTGTTGAAACAACCACGAGATGAGATTCCCGAAGGCGTCAGATTAATCTTTCGTTGATTTTTTGTAATGAATACATTGTAGCTGACACGATATTGCGATCCACAGGACTAAAAACGAAAAAAATACTGATAATTGTGGCTGGGCATTTTACAGGTTCATAATTACACATAAAATGCGATATATTTAACTGATAAAAAAAGACAAAACGTACCGGATATATCCTAATGCGTTGCAACCATGTCTGCCGGAAGAACGTTATGGTGATGGTAGCAGACGTTGAGGTACTCACATACCATGTGTTTAGATTACCGTCCAATAGATTGTAGAGTTGATAATAATGATAATAATATGTCCGTAATGGAGAAGCATTAGTTGTTATGGTGATACCTTCGCGAGCTTTGTAAGTTGTGGAAGATTGAGTTCCACCTGAGCCACCAACCAATTTCAGCGGTTCAAGGAGCTACGTTAAAGAAATTTTATTTGGTAAATTATAATTTTTTAATACATGCGTTTTGACGTACCAAAATTGAAGTGAGTGTTCGAACAATGCCCAGTTATCGGACATAAAAGTAACCAACCTGGTTCACTCTGTCTGTCTGTGGTCCATGACCATCGTTATTCACAAATAAACTCTTCTTTGTGAAATTATCTGACATCGTATGATGATGGTATAATGTTCCAGCTGCACCATATTCCTCGTTACCAAATCCACCATGAGCTTCAATTTTGCCGACATAATCCTCATTATCCCCGTAATACAGTGCTATCCTACCACCGGACCCTCCACCTCCACCTCGGTGTCCATAATTGTACCCTTTACCGCCGTTTGCCTGAAATTTTAAATTTGGCATCATAATTTTCTGGGATATGAATTGTGTGGGGAAAGGGACACTTTCAAATTATATATCAATTATCAGTTTGTAGGAACACCACGTCATGTGTATTTGCTTCTGAAAAGCTATCCGTCCATTATTTTTGATATTTACTTAATTGCACTGATGAAGGTTATCGAACCCATAGCTTTGCAAAAACAATTGTAGTATTCCTACTAAATGATAAATAATATTGTAAATTTGCCATGGAAAATTACAAAATTATAAACATATTAGCAGTTGCTTTTACCTGTATTTTTCCACTGCCATCCAACCTTCTAGTTACGAGATAAATACTTCCAGCACTTCCACCACCAGAGTATACACCCTGGGCATTTTGACCATTGACCAGAACATCGCCGTTCACTGTTATACGATTAGATATGTTTAGGAACAAAATGCCCCCTCCAACCCCTCCACGTTGATTTGGTCCACCATTACCACCAGAACTTCCTGTTTAGAGTCGAATACACTAAGTTTTAAATTGCATGTAAAAATTAAATGTTTATTTTTATGTCCCCCTTGACCAACACACCCTGGCAGTAGGCTTGTTACAACAAACAAACTATTGCGTACCAAATTCCAGTGGCCTGAAAACTGATCCATAAGTATTCCCAGACATTATTCGTCCTACTGCTCTACCACCACGCCCACCATGACCTCCTCCTGATCCACCCGCAAGGTATCCTGGGATATAATCAGCGCCCTTCCCTGGACCTAAAAATTTAGAGAAAATTTCTCTTTAAGTCAGTTTTATTTTCAATCGTTCGTCTAGTCATTTTGTTATATGTAGTAGTGAATAACACAATTTAATATATTTAAATTTATACCAGGTAAGTCGAAGTTTTGCCCAACTAAACTTGCTTCAAACACAGCTAGCGTATCAACCGTCACATTTATTGCATTCACATGAAGGTTGACAGCCGAAAGCCTTCCACCAGCGTGCACGTGAATAGAACGTCCATTAAATTCCCGTATGTTGTCTTGATTCGTCACCGTCATGGTACCATGGTTACGGATACTGATCTCCTCAAAATCAAAGGTCTTAAGGAAAACAAAGTGGGAAAAAATAAGTTTCAGAAGTTCACATTGATCTTCGTGAAAATAAAATTTAGCCTGCGGTTACATTTATTTGTAATATGAATAAAAAAAATTAATAAATCTTTTACTGTATAAGCGAACATAAGTTTTGGGAAAAAACCTGTAACATACTTTAGTAGATCTGCCACGGAAATCATACATTTCTTTCATCTTGACAATACCATAATCAGCAATGGTTATATTCTGACATTTCTGTAATATTCCATCCACGTCGACTGTCACACCAGCAACCAGCAGTTCACCTTGCATGGTGGTAACACCACCCTGGTAGATCACCATATTGAAAGGAAGATAAGATTCTAGCGAGATGAAAGATTGATTATAACCAATGAAGAAAGAACCATCACGACTGCCCTGCATTCGAGTAATTGTGATAAACAATGGATGCCTCGTCTTTTCAGGAATAATGAACAGTACTTGTGCACCACCATAAATTTGTAATTCACTTATTTTGATGTCGTTATCGTCAGGATCCAGCGTTACCCACGTCCGTGCCGAAGCTTTTTTAGAGAAATCATCAAAACTGGAACTCAGATTCCTCTCTGGATCACGTGGCCGTCGACCATGCGCATTGATATACAAAGTGCGATTTTGGATCTCAAATTCTGTTTCGTTTGTGTATTTATTATGGTGTGCTAAAACCTCGATATTATCTGTACTATTCTGAGTGATCCGTTCTAGATAAACGGTTCCTGCTCCACCAGGTTCAAAGTTACTTGCTCCGCCTAAGGCCTGGTACTGGCCTATATAATTATTAGCAGTTGTATAAATACTAATTCTTCCAGCTCCACCACCCCCACTCCCACTGGCAGCTCGGTCTCCGTCACCCCCGGTAACGTCAAGTAAACCTTGTCCGTGAAAATGTTTCGCATACATCAGAATGCTTCCGCCACTTGCACCACTTCCCTGTGGTGATATTGCCGAACCACCTCTGGCAGAGAGAGTACCATCAATATGAGCTGTATTTTGAACAACAAGTTTTATGAAACCTCCGCCATAACCAGGTACACGAGGGAAAATTGGGGCGGCGCCTGGTCGACCAGACAAGCGTGGAATTCGGAATGAACCATAAGAGACCCCAACCAAACTTTCACCATAGCCCACGCCACCATGACCACCATGACCAGCGCCACTACTGCCTGAAATATGAGGTTTACCATCGCCCACATGAAGTGTGGAGGGTATAATCTGATTATTTGCTGATAACGTGGAATAAGGTTCCAAACTGATGTTCGTGAATTCCAATTTTAAACGATTTGCTTCCAACTAAAAACGACATGTATGTTTAAACTAACTTTCTTGCCATAGTATATGTTGATTCGTAAGGTTACGTTATTGTACAGAACGTAACCTTAGCTTTACCCATGACGTAACCTTACGAATCACCATCGTACTACACAGTATAAAAAAGGAATTTAGCTGTTTTTCACGGCGGTAAACGTGAGAAAATAACAGCAAATCACAGTATTTTAAATTGTGTCCGCCATTTTCCTTTTCGAGGTCTGTACTTTATGTAGTCCTATTAAAATGTCCTCAACCAGCAACGTTCCGTATTTGAGGCAGAGAGGCAGTAAAAAATGATCTTATCGCCTCGTAATACTGTAATTTAGTCTAGAATTAGCTGAGCTCTCAGTTTGAAAATAATTTCTTAATATACAGTACAATATGTACTTACACTAGCACCGCCGCGTATATCCAGTGATACACCTTTAATCAAGGCTGCGTCTTCTTTTGCTAACACTTTCATTCGACCATTAGTTTGAACAACCAACTTCTCCATGGTCAAATTTAATTTCTTGTCATCATTCGTGAGAGAAAAGAAGCACTGAGGACCAACAGTAACTTTCTCTAACGTATTTACAGCCCCTCGGACTACAACATTTACTGAATGACAATTGAAGTCTTGAGGTAGATCTAACGAGGAGTTCATATGAGCCAAGAGTTCTGTCTTGAAATAATTAGTGGTACGATTCACTGAAAGTCGTTGAGTTGAACGAACATTCATTGATCCTGTTCCATCTCCATCTAACTCTTCTATTGCAAGATGTATTTCCTTATTTGACCAGCTCAAACGTCCTCCGTGGCGTAACGTAACCTTCAAAAGAAGAAACCTAATGTGGAAACCTCAAATCAAACCAGGACTGAATACCAAGGATGTAGAAGCTTCTAGCTTCACATGTCCCTCGATTCTTTAAATTTCGATACTTTCCTAAATTGAATGCGGTTTCATCTAGAATCCGATGTTTCAGTTATTTCTTAAACGACAACTTTTATTTTCTCTAGCAAAAAAAATCATGAAAAATGCGAGTGATCAAAGTTTCTCGTAAAGGCCTGAGTTCCCTACCTTATCAAACTTCAGGAAACTCTCTGCTGTTTGATCTTCATCTTCTGTAACAATCCAAGCTTCCGGGTTTTGAATCACGGTCTGCGATGCTCCGGGGAAAACTTCTTGAAAGAATAACTGCACTTTGTTCATTGCTGCGTAACTGGAAACTTTACTCAGTGAGATCACAATCTACGAGAAAGGAATCCTAATACGTTATCACCGTTTGTATCGGAGCCTACAACTCCAAGTGTAGCCGAAAGTACGTCTGCATTTAATTTGTCGTGGTAAATACGTGTACGAAAACCTGTCAAATCTCAAAGTCTCGTAAATGAAAACATCCTGAGGTGTCTTGTGGTGACGACAAAACACTTTATTTAAACATCGTAATTCATGCACAATCAATCTACATGACACGTACTGCATGTTATCAATTGGAACCCTTTGTCTATAGTGCTTAATAAGTTAAAATTTTTCGCAATTTTCCAAAATAATTCAGTTTCATCACTTTCATGCAAGTATGCTATCGTAGGGGAGAAAAGACTTCTAAAAAACGGTTCTGAGGATTCCCAACAGAGCAACAGAATGTAATGGTACCAGCTCAACATGTCTAACATTGTATTACCAAATTAAAATACGTTTTTCACCTTATTAACATCTCTCTGTATTTCAACTTTTCCATATTGCCCCTGTCTACAGAACTTTGTTTCAGTCCAAGAAACTTGCTCGTAAACCTTTAGAGTTCCCTGGTAGGCGCGGACTCGATAGTTTGTCCAATAATATTTCGAGCTGCATTGTGGGAAAATTCTCAAATGATCAATCGTTATTGTATATGGGAAAGTAAAGGTTAGTTCAGGTGTTGCAGATGTTGTAGAGTAAAATAGACTTGTCCCAGAAAATAAATTGGACAATTGACCATTGTATGGACATGAATAGACGCAATGTGGTGAACCAGTTGTATGTATATAAATTCCCTCTGGTGATGTGTATGATGAAGAGCTGTAGCGTATTCTACCAGTGATAGACAACCGTCGAACTTCAATAATGTTTGATGATGCTGATATGTGACCATTGTCTATTATGAGTTGTCTTTGAGTTTTATTACCACTATCATCTTGAACATAAATTGAACCAGGACCTGGTAGGTGATATATATTTGTGTTTAGTTCATAGGTCAATCTGACATGCTATAATTGAATTATAAATTGAAAACACAGTAACCAGAAACAAATATTTCTATTTGAAGCATAAATTTATTTACCTCCTCTCTCAGCTACACTTTCTCCACCAAACGCTTGCAGACGGCCTATAAAGGTACTTATCCCATAGTGATACACAGCTATTCTACCTCCCCCACCTCCTCCACCCAGAGTGCCGCTAGCAACAACAGTGGCACCATCTCCACCATTTGCTTCTATTGTTCCCATGCCATCAAAATGATTGGTACGTACAAGCACTGTTCCTCCTGCACCACCTGCGAAAGAAAATTGCAATACATTGTAATACTTAGTAAAACAAAATCTAATTATTATCTTGCTATCTTATATTCAAATATTACTTATTCGCATCATAGTTACAAAATAACTAAAATAACTAAAAGCAACATAAAATATATCTAAAACATTTCATAAATGTTTTGCCATTCTCAACATCCCTACATCTTTAACATCAAATCGGTTTCTTACCCCCAATATTCTTTTTCTGGCCATTTGAGCGAACATTTCCTTCAACTCTGAACAGATTACTGACATTGATATAGATAATCCCTCCTCCAGGGGCTCCACTTCCTCCACTCCCTGCTTTAATAGGCGTGTATATCGAGTCATACGCCAAAGGAGATTGTAGTTGATACAATGCTCGACCACCGTTACCTCCGTGTCCCCCTCCAGAGCCTGGGCGCGAGCCGCTTCTATACGAGGGTCCACTTCGAATCGGATAACCAAGTCCAGTAGAAGTTATTTCACCTGGAAAATGATTGAGAAAATATCAGTTAGAACAGCTGGTGTTTGCACAATGGTGCTACACTCATTCACTCAGTTAAGTCATGATAATAGCCGGGAGGACAGTGCGACTATTAACATGTGGTTTTAAAGCATTTGATAGACATAACATGGCCATGGATGAATAAGAATTCCCGTAACACAATTGCATATCGTAGAGACTTACCTGCAGCGTCAATTGTAATATTAACCGCAGTCAGATGAACATCGTTGGATATAAACTTTCCCCCGGCATTTACAACCATTCTTCTGCCGTGGATCGCCATCTTACCATGTCCAGCCAAGGTAGTAGCAATCAATCGACCACGAGCACGTATAGTGATGTTCATAAATACAAAAGTTCCCTCTGGTTCACCCTCGCTGTTCCCTCCTGACCACAGATGTAGCTGTCCATCTCTATCTATTGCATATTCTTCCGAATCAGACACAGAACCATTCACGTACATCCAAACTTCTCGTAACGAAACACGCTTAGGAAGGAATAACGAGCCGCCAGGGTAGACAAACGTATTCACGGGAAAGTAAACATCGATATCATGGAAATAAACTTCTTGTAATGTTCCGACATGCACGACTGCTGATCGATCTCCTGTTAATAAATATGCTCGCAGACTCACATGCTCTTGAGAGGCGTTACCATAAATGACGAGATGTGAGTTTCCCTGAAGAACAAGTTCATTAAACATGTAATTTTCTGATTCTTTGAGCAATGTCACTGTGCCAACTTGGCTAATGTCACTATATACACCACTAAACAGATTCAACAAGTTCCCTGCGTTCCTATTTACTGCCTTTGGTAGTGCCAGGCCCTCATTATCAACAACCAACTTTCGCCACGTGACATGGGTACTATTTCTCTGTTCCAGGTACACAGTTCCGGACGCTCCATCTTCAAATCCAGGCCCTCCGCGGACAGAGAACGAACCGTTGTAATTATGAATGTCGCGATAGTTTACAGCGATACGTCCACCAGAGCCCCCGCCTGCTCTTCCTTTCGAACCAACTCCGCCACGTGCCTCAATAGATCCATACCCATCAAGCTCATCACATGTTAACCATATACTTCCCCCACTACCACCTCCACAGCCACTTCGCTGACCACCAGTTGGCGAATCTTGGCCATTGGCTGACACAGTACCATCAACAATGGTACGTGTAGAGTGTATTCGTAAAGATCCACCACCAATCCCTCCCATACCTCCTACCGTAACCGGATTTGAGTAAGAACTTGTGCTTTGATAATAGTAACTGCCGTAGTAAAGATTGCCTGAAAATTGAAAAAGTTTTGATATCGCTAGACATTTCATAACTAAAGGTTAACCCAGATCGAGTTTGGTATCATATTATTGTAACAATAAGGAATGCTTCGTAAATAGAGCAGTTCTTAGATTTTGATTTAAACTGAGTGGCAAGAGGAAGCGGTTATTCCTGCAGGATATGTCACTGTAGTTTGTGCGTGATAACCGTTAAAATGACACAATGTAATTTTGTCAGTAATTACATACATAAAATGTTGAATTTAGGTACCACGTTCAAAAATAATCTTACCGTAATCTTTGCCGAATCCTCCAGGGCTTCCAAAATGATGAGGGGTATAAAGGGAACCATAAGTCTGTCCTGCTAACAGAGTTCCTTTCCCACGACCACTATTACCACCATAACCACCGCCTGATGCGCCATTTGCGTGTCCAGTTCCTTGGCCGGGTCCCGATCCAGTCGTAAAACCAGAATGATTCTGTTCCAATTTTCCACCTGAGTTCACAGCCACTGTGTTTGATGCATTGATTGTGAGACGTCCATGAGATAGTAAGTGTCCCCCACCGTAGATCTTCAACACGTGAAGCAGGAATATACATTTATATGACATGATAATAAAATCTCCATGCAAACCCAATTTCAAAGGTAGCGACAGAAAGTTATTTTATCACAACACAAATATTAGGTGAAAACCCTGCCAACACAAATGACTGAAATATTCATGCAGTATCTGATCAAAAATTCTCTTTATTTACCGTAAAGTTGATGAGATTTAGCTGTAGTTCTGGCAAGTGTTCTGAGTCACCAAGTTTGACAAAACCTTCATCTTGCACATGTAATGTCTCCAAACTGTACTGCGATGGCTTGCATTGAGAACCGATGCAGCTTGCCGATGAACACTCGAGATGACCTCCATGAAGTACATAGACTTCCTTTAAACCAGTCAACTATGGAGATGAAAAAAATATCAATAAATCGCAGCAAAATCTTCTACATCAAAACACATTCGAAAAGACGTTGAAATTGGATTATATATTCTCGAGTTTTTCTGTCTAACTATTTTCACTGTGACGGTGTCAAAATTTCATTTCTAAATTTTTGAATGAGTGCAATTTCTTCAAGTTACCTTGCCAGAGAGGAACACGCTAACACTTTTAAGGAAACTTTTCCTGGGCAGAGAAAGTTGACCGTGTTCGTAAACCTGTAGACTTAATGGCGTGTCAGGATCAGTGACACTGACAGCAAAACTTTGATTGTAACCAACATGCCAGGTGCCTGATTTATCACCATACATTCTCTTATTACTTATGGATATTTGCGCTTGTGAATTTTCAGGATTTTTGAAAGCAACCTGAGCAGATCCAAAAAGATGAATTTCATCAAACTGATAGTTGGAGTTGTTTAGAAGTAGCCACGTTACTGCACCGTCCACATCAAGGTTCTCATAACTAACAAAATATATGATAAATTGGTTGGTTAAAAAGGTAAGGTTACTAAATTCGGTAGGTCATCTTTTGTAAATGTAAAGAAGAGATCAACCATAAGTGAAATATGCTTTTACTACAAATGGATTTTGTTCACACAGTCTGCTAGTACACTTGTCTTCGTCAGTGTCTGATTGTAATAGTTTTGTTTCACGTCAAAAAGATAACATTGGCACAATGCAGAAAGGTAACTTATGGTAAATTTAAAAATCAAAGGTAACTTTCTTATAATCAATGCTACTGTTGGCAGAGTCTTAGCTTACCGTTTCCAGGGTAACGAAGTTCTTTCAAATATTTCAATTTCTGCGAGACTGCTGTATCTATGTTGCGCTGCCACAAGATCTATAAATATTTTAGTCGTGTTCCTCGTGAAGTTAACATCAGTATAAGAGCCTTGTGTGCAGCCATAGTTCATGTTAACGTAATCCCGATGGATTGCAAAAGTTCTGCCTTCTTCATCCTCACCACTCAACTAAAACAAAACAAAATTAAACGATTAAAGTACTTTTTAAAGAAAAAGCTCGCGCATTGGACCGAATTTGTATAAGACTAAAATAACACAACTGGGAAAAGACCAGCGATCCTTTGAATAATATTCATAATATTCAATTATAGAACAAAGTGTTGATCACCTCAATTGTTATGTGAACGTTGTCAACAAATGTTATTCATACTGTCGCAGATTGCTCGAGAGGACTCATGAGACAAGTAGATAAATTCGTCAATAAAATTAACGGTATCAAAGACATTAAGTATTTTAAGCTTTAAAATACCTTAAATTTCGATAGGTGAGAACAAGAAGGATAAATTCGAACATGGTTGACAAAAACGTTTCTCTTGAGATCAATGCTGAGTCTTGGTCTTGAATTTGTGGTTATAAACTTGGTACCAGGATCACCGTCAAACATTCTACCAATATTATATGGATAATAGTAATGACTGTAAAACGTCGCAGAGCTTGATACAGTTACCCCACCAGGTACTGTGTACACCTGATGTGAATTTGAACCTCCGGATGTGGGTAGTCTCCGGCCTTCGTTTTTAATGATGTTTCGGATTGCTTTCTGTTTGTTATTGTCCACTCTGAGAGTTCTGTAAGCGTTTGACACGTGTTCAAGATATGTCGTTCCAGATGCTCCAGCCTCGCCCCCAGATGGAGATTCACCCCCATATGTTTGAAAAACTCCGCCGTAGAAAGGCTCGGTCAGGCTATTGTTGTAAAATACAGCTATACGTCCACCAGCCCCACCACCGCCAGTTTGAGATAAACCTCCAGTAACACTTAATATTCCCGTATGTCCGCCTGTGAATGTATTGGTCCGAATAAAGATACTTCCACCGCTACCACCACCCCCTGCGGTTGTTTTCAAACTATTCGCTTCAATATATCCATCGACCTTTAATAACATTGAAAATTAGATTCAATTTAAATCACTTTAAATCTTCCTGTTTTTCACCCAACGATTTCGTGGGGATATAATAACATCGTAAATTTATTCCATTGCTCTCATTAATATCCCAGTTCAATTAATATCGAAGTATAATTTGCTCTACTGAATATGCAAGAATAAAATAGCTATCTCGACCACCGAAATGTCAAAATCTCTCCTACCTTTAAGGTTTGACTGATATCAATTTTAATCTTGCCACCGCCAGTTCCACCACGACTACCATCGCCGCCGCTGCCAAACATTGTAGGTTCGAACATGTTACCATAAGTTAAACCTTTTCGAATTCGACATGTTGTGTATCCAGAACACCTCGGTTGTCCCCCAGTACCACCGTGTCCAGCACCACTTGCGCCCCAGTTCTTTGTAATTACAGTTCCAGGTCCTTGCATTTGTAAATATCCACCATTGTTTAGGTTTATCATTCCTCCGTCGTCAACCTCCATGTTGGAGGCTTTCACGTGAATATTTTTACTCTGCAGTAGAGCACCACCTAAGAGATGTGTAACCTTTTAGCAAAAAAACGAATTAGCCTTTTTTGAGAATTTTCATAAAATATATGAACATTACCTTCAATCAACAAAATCCTACATTCCAAAGTAAAATTTTTTTCATCTGCATTCCCGCTGTAAGTCACGATCTTTGAGCCAGCCATGACGCGGACAGTCTCGTTAAACTTTAGAGTTCGTTCTTCAGCATCTTGAGTGAACCCAGTTGGACGATGATGTAAAATGCCTCCATTAAGAAGAGTTAAGTTCTTTACATGGGCAACAGTTCCGGCCAAATATAACGAAACTTTATTAATTTCCGTGACGTCAGCAAGTCCTAGGTATCCGCCTTGATAGACATGCGCATGCGCTGGAAAATCGATGAATTTTCGACGAAGATCAACTACCTGATGATTGCCCACATGGACAGTTCCTGTACGATCACCGATCATAAAGCTGAAATAGAGTGAGGTCACACGGTTTGTAATGTTTGATAATGTAATCCCAAGATGAGCCCGGCCGTAGATTTGCAATTCTTCAAAATGAAATCGATGCGAGTTATCAGCGAATTCATGTTCACCAGAATTACTCAATATCCAGGTTTTCCCAGTTTGCAGAGAAAGGTCAGCGTAGTTATCGACCACCTTATTAAGTGGTGGTTGTCCATCATTGTCCACCAATATAGTGCGGTGGGTGTGTACAAGATGATAGTAAAATGCAGTTCCGGATCCTCCAGCTTCTATATTGCTCGCCCCACCTCTCACTAAAGTCTTACCAGTGAAGGTTGAGTTCTTCGTGAAGTAAAGACTTATTCGACCTCCAGCTCCTCCCCCGCCTCTAACTTGGCCTCCACGGCCTCCAACCACAGAGAGAGTTCCAGTCCCCTGAATTTGATAACAACGTATATAAATACTACCACCACTTCCACCTCCATTCCTGCCCTTTTCGGCATCATTGCCGTTAGCACTGACGACGCCATCAATATGAAATACATTTGAGACATTAAAGAACGTCACTCCTCCGCCGTTTCCTGAATTTGATCCGCCACCGCTGCTTCCAAACATTACTGCTTCGTACAAATCATCGTATGGTAGTCCTGCCCGTTGAGATTCACTACCTTGTCCACCAGTCCCTCCGTGACCCGCGCCTGAGTACAAGAAACCAAGTCCAGGATTTACAATGCCATGGAGACCTCGAGGATCGACATGCGTTCTGTTATAACCAAGTCCATCAGCTGACATAATACCATCATCATCAATTGTAATATTCTCAGCAATTATAGTTGGACGCGTCGCATGAAATAAGCCACCGCCCTCGACATCGAGTGCGCGGACACGAAAAGTCACTCCTGGATGGTCAACTGGGGAAGTTAATCCCTGGATAACCCCCTTATCTTGTATTTTTACCGTGTCAAACTTGTATGTACTGTTGCTCTGATTTGTTGTCCGGCCACCATGATACATCCAGAACGCGCCTTCATGATGTAATGTCATATTTTCCACGTGCGCAAGAACACCGGACAAGTATATTGTTACACCATGGACTTCGGTATACGAGGCAAGACCAAGAAATCCTCCTAGATAAACATGTACACTGAAAGGTAGATCGATCTCGTCTCGGCGCAAGTCCATTACTTGGTTTAAGCCAATATGGATGACTCCAGTGCGATCACCAATCATATGCTTGAAAAATAATGATGCTGATTTACCCACTGGATCAGTAGAAATTGCAAGATGAGCACCTCCGTATATTTGAAGTTCCTCAAAGTGATAATCTTGACCCTTTTTCGCAAAATGATGTTTGCCAGATTCAGGCAAAATCCAAGCTTTGCAGCCGTCTTTCCGTAGATCATTGTAGTCTGCAATGGCAGAAATTAAAGGTTTCTGTCCTCCATTATGAATAAGAAGCGTGCGATGTTCTTCAATCATATGATATAAAAATATCGTTCCTGGACCACCGGCCTCAGCCTGACAAAGATCTTCTCTCCCCACTTGGCAGCCTCGTGCTGCACCGCCTCGCGCCTCGTACACAAAATACGTCGACGTTTCATTTTCCTGAAAATATATCGCAATTCTACCACCAGCTCCTCCTCCTGCAGCTCGGGATGAACCTGTCATATTTCCATCTCCTCCATTAGCGGATATCTTTCCGTATCCCAGGATTCTCTTACAATACATCCAAATACTTCCTCCACTGCCTCCACCACTGCCACTTGCTGGACCAGCTTCGCCATTTGCTGTCACAACTCCATCGATATTGATTGTGTTTGTGATATTCATCCAGATTAGGCCTCCTCCATTTCCACCTCGCTGGCTGCTGTCTCTTCGCCCTCCAGCACTGCCAAACATATCTGGTTCATATAAGTCATCGTACGGGGCACCTGTGATATCTGCTCCATTAGTCACTTTACCACGTCCTCCCCGCCCGCCATGTCCTGCCCCAGATCCCCCATTTGGCGAACTTAGTCCAGCTCCGGGGTTTATTACACCGTGCAACCCTTTGCCGCTGAAGCCATGAGATGTATTGTACCCCAGATAGTCTGCCACAAGCTCACCTCCGTCATCTATAGTTAGATTCGTAGCGACGAAAGTTAATCGTGTCCCACGCATTTCACCCCCACCTTCAATCAACATTGACACGGTAAAGAAGGAAATTCCAGGGTCTTTAACTGGGGAAGTAACAGCATGGACTAAGGCAGTATCTTGAATACGGACAAAATCAAACTGATATTGATGAATACTCATGTTTGTTGTTTTACCTCCGTGCAAAAGCCAGAGTTCCGCGTTATGACGTAGAGTGATATTACGTACGTGTGACAATGTTCCTCGTAGTATTATCTCAACGCCGTGTACGTAAGTCCTGGGAGCTAATCCAAGATGACCGTCTCGATAAACATAAACACTAAACGGTAAATCAATTTCCTCTCTCTGTAAATCCAGGTCTTGTCCTGGCCCAACATGAACCATTCCCGAGCGATCACCAATCATGTCTCGAAAGTATATGGAAATGTTGCTTCTGTTAGATGGCCAAAACGCAAAATGTGCTTTACCGTAAATTTGTAATTCTTCGAAATGGAAATTATTTTCTGTATCAGCAAATTTATGAATTCCTGATTCAGGCATTATCCAGGTCTTGGCACCCTCGCGATCAAGTTGGGTATACGTCATGTGTTTGTTCTTCGCTGATTGCCCGTTATTATCAATCAAGAGTGTACGATGTTCATGGTATAAATGGTAGAGGAATATAGTTCCAGCTCCTCCAGCTTCTCTACCTGTCCCACCAAATGCCTGGTAAGCAAAATGTGTGAAAGTTTCATTGATTTGAAAGTATACTGCAATCCGACCACCAGAACCTCCTCCACCGTATCCTGATCCTTTTCCACCATTCACTTGCATTAAGCCATATCCTTTTATAATATCGGTGTATATCCACATACTTCCCCCACTACCACCACCATTATGCGATGTGCCATCCTGTCCATTAGCGCTCAGCTCACCGTCAATTTCAAGCAACCTTGATATGTTCAGAAAGAGACGACCTCCGCCGCGGCCTAAGAAAAAAATTGGTTCAATTTATTCAGACTTCTAACACGCTATAAGCCTCAGTGTTGATTTTAATAACTACTTATATAGGTTTTTCATACACTAAACTCTTAACGTTAGCGTTTGTGAATATTCCCTTAAGGTCCTGTTTTCAGAAAATAAAAGCAATATATTTTATTTTAATTGATTTTATCACTATATTCCAGCCTAAAAAGTATTACCTTCCTGTCCCGCCACACCACCACCGCTGCAGCCGAAATCTGTTGGCTCATATAAATTCCCATAAGGCAATCCAACATAATTCGTAGCTGAGCCTTCACCTCCTGTACCTCCGTGACCTCCACCAGATGATCCACTGCCAGAACCGAGTCCCCGACCGAAATTTATGACGCCATTGACCCCATGTCCTGAACCGTCAGTTAGTTTATAGCCTTCTCCACTCAAAGATAATTTCCCGCCAGCTTCAATGGTCAAATCAGTAGCTTCAATACGCAAGTCAGTTCCCAACATTTTTCCGCCACCTTCAACAGTTAA